AACATGAATGATTCAGACCTTATTTGTGGCGGTTAAATATTTCATAAGTTCATATTTCATGATATACCACTGGATGAAACTATCTTGTTTACATACATACATACATACATACATACATACATACATACAGAAGAACATACATACATACATACAGAAGAACATACATACATACATACATACATACATACATACAGAAGAACATACATCAATACCGCCACCACTCCAGTGTAAGCCCCTGCAGTCACAGTGGGTGCCCATCCTCTCCAGCTGGTGCAGTCTGCCAAACTCCTGGGTGTAACTATAGACAACAAACTTGACTGGAAGGACCATGTAAATAACACAGTCAAGGCAGCCTCGTACCATCTCTACATGCTACGACGACTTAGGTCACTTGGGACACCCACGCCATAGCTGAGGACCATCTACAACGCCTTTATTCTCCCCAAACTAACGTATGCGTCACCAGCCTGGTCGTCTTCTCTCAACTCCACCCAACAACGTCAGCTAGAGAAGGTACAGAAAACAGCCTGCAGAATCATGCTCGACGCAGAATACTCTGGCTACACCAACGCTCTCTCCACCCTGGAAATGCCATCCCTCAGTGACCTCCACCACCAAGCACTGGAAAGGTTTGGCAGTGGACTACTGCACCACCCTCGTCATCGCCACCTCCTGCCACCGGCAGCCCCCCACCCAACTCGCGCAGTCCGCCACTACAACAAAATTCAGCCCATAAGAACCCGCACCGATAGATATAAGAACAGCACCATCCCATCTATTGTTAAAATAATAAACAACTCCTGATTTATGTACTGCACAGCCCTGTAAATGTATTCAATGCATATTATATCATTATGTCTAAATCAAATGTAAGTCTGTATATTTTCAGCCACCGGCTGCAACTCTATTAATAAACCGTTTATTATTATTATTATTATTATTATTATTATTATTATTATTATTATTACATACATACATACATACATACATCATACATACATACATACATACATACATGTATATACCTGGCCAATTAATTTAGAGTAATATAGTCGTAACTAAAATTGATCTCTGAGACAGTTTGAAGCAGTATTATATAACGACTTCATTACACAAGGAGGCACATAGCCGGCACTGCATTCAACCACCTTTACTGCCCCAACTGTAAAGCTAGGCACCCCTAAACAGCTGTGGGTGCCCCTGTGTCGGGCCAGCAACTCCATTACAGGAGACATGGGCTATAAATGGCATTACACTTATCTGTTGATATGGATATGAACACCGGCACTATAATATCATTGTGAAGTGTGCAGCTGTTATCTGGTGCCGGCATCATATAGTGGGCAGTGAAGCTGACGTCAGTTTACATTCTATAATCTCGAGCTCCGTTGGTGTAACTGATAAACTTAAAAAAAAATCAATATAACTGGAGATTTTCAACAATTTTTGTCCTAGTTGACTTAGATAAAGCTAAGCGAGAAATTGTTTTTTTATTCGCTACCATTGCGATGAGTTGGCAAGAGTGTTTATTAGAAAGGCACATTACCGCCCTTATGGAACAAGAGCCAGGCACTTATATTTTTGTTTTTCCGCCGAAAGCTTAGAAGGTTTTTTCTAGGGTAAAAACACATTAGGAATGTGAAAATCTACTTCTTACAAAAATCCGTCTGGATTTCTCAAAAAATTATATAATGAGGGGTTTTAAGAGTAGAAAGTATAGAGAATATTTAGTAAGAGAGTAAAAGAGAGGAAGACTTTGGTAGCGTGGCCGTGTTAGTTATTTACTCTGTCAATACACTTATCTTATCTTATACGTCAACACACATCTATTACGTTCTTAAGGACGACTTCTCAAACACCGCTTCGATACAACTGTTTATTAATTACGACAATGACATGGACACATTAATAACACCTTCTATCGAAGTCACTAGGACATTATATTTACGTTACTAGGACATCATATTGCATTATTAGACACTGATTCTCGGACACGAACATGAAATGAATACACTTCCCATGTAAGTAACTCATCCCATGGAAAGCTCTGACAAAAACTCACGTGACCTGGGGGAGGCCTAGCAGGTGATTCTGGGTTGTCTCTATGGGAGACTGCTTAGCTGGGCACCGGTGTCGAGGGTAACTCGCTCCCGACCGGAGGCGGCTTCCCTCCGGCCCTCTCTGTCTGACTTCTCTCGAGCGGGACTGGGGACGTTGTTGCTGGCCCTTCTTGGTTACAAGACACTCTCTCCTGAGGGAGGGCTACGACGTCCCATATATTGGGAGACGAGCAGTCAGGTTCAGCTGATCGGGGGGGGCGGCGAAGGGTCTCCTTACATTTGACCTCGCTAATGTAGGGTCACGTCTGGACTTTTTCTGAGACTAAAGTTGTTGTATATATTGGAGCCAGGTGGCGTCTTCTACTGACTGGGTTGGTGTTAACATCGTTGGTGGGGCCGTGTGACAAGAGAGGGTTGCTGGTTGATTTGTGGCCCCTTGACTTGGGCTGCGAGGGGTCCCCTTTACATTTGACCTGGCAAATGTGAAGTCAGGTCTGGACTTCTTCTGCGATGTAGGTTATTGTGTATATTGGGAGAGAGTCTGCAGGTGCCTTCTTACATGTTTGTTGGGGCCATGTGACATGGGAAGGATGCTGGTTGATTTGTGGCTCCTTGAGTGGCTGCGAGGGGTACCCTTACATTTGACCCCTCTAATGTCGGGTCAGGTCTGGACTGTTTCTGGGATGTAAGCTGTGGTCTGACAACCCATCACTACAATTACCTTAACTTAAGGTAACTGCATGATCTGAACTTCGCTTCACAACCGAAGTACCATATGTTACATAATAACATAAGAATGGAGGAAACTGCAGCCGGTCTATTGACCCATACTGGGTAGTCCCGTTTACACTGCTACGAGTTCGCTCCTGGTTGGATAGTTTAAGTGCCTGTGTTATATCACCTTTATTTAATCCTAACTTCCATTTATACACCTTGATCATGTCGCCCCTCACTCTACGTCTCTCGAAGGAGTGCAAGATAAGATGTTTTAATCTGTCTCTGTACTCAAGGTTCCTAATAACCGGGATTAGTTTTATCATTCTCCGCTGATGCTTTCTAGGGATTCGATATTAATTCTGTAGTACGGTGACCAGAACTGAACTGCATAATCCAAGTGAGGTCTCACAAGCTCATGGTATAATTTTAGAATAACCTCGCTAGTCTTGTAACTAACACTCCTTTGTATGAACCCAAGTACTTTGTTAACCTTATTTCGAGCAAATAAACATTGTTGTCTTGGTTTAAGGCTCCTACTTATCATTATTCCTAAATCTTTATCACAGTCGGATTTATCTATATCAACGTTGTTCATCTGATATCTGGTTTCTCTGTGTACATCTCGTAGACTAAGTACTTTATATTTTCCACATTAAGTTTTATCTGTAATTTTTCAGACCATGAGAAAAATTTATTTAGATCTTCCTGTAGTTTTGCAGAGTCCTCGTCGGATTTAATTACACTCTATTTTAGTGTCATCATCAAATTTACTTATGTTGCTGTCTACGCCTACAGTATATCTATGTCGCTTATGTTTGTAATAAAAAGTACTTAACCTTGGGATACTCCACTAATGACGTTACCCCAATCGGATTTAGGGCCGTTAATGCTTACTCGCTGTTTCCTGTCCTGTAACCACACCCTAATCCAGTTTAGAGCATCTCCAATTCCATGAGCCTCCACTTTACATAATAGTCTTTCGTGGAGCACCCTGTCGAAGGCTTTGCTAAAGTCGAGGAAACCCACATTATAATCGTGCCCGTCATCCACTGATTCGAAAACAGTTGAGAAGTATGATAATAGATTTATCAGACACGAACGCCCACTTGTGAAGCCATGATGGAACCTTTGGTCAATTTTTGTTTCTCGGGGTGATTACATCCGTCTGTTTGAGCCATTAAGTGCCACTAGCCTTCACTTATCCAAACACTAATGGTATCTACTGTTACGAACCCCTCCACCCAGCACTACGAACCACGCCATCTATTGTCCTGATCTACCTACCCAGCACCACGAGCAACGCCATCTAGGGACGAGACACGAGTATGACTCGTCTTAGTTACCACTCCGAGGTTTCCCTTCTCCATATCCTGGTTGTTGCGTCACCTCCTCAAAGTCTTCTTTGTCAGCTCCAATTCGAGGAGAGAGGACTTGGCTCTGGGACGTGACCACAGGATCATCTATCCTCTAAACCTACGTGCAGTGACTACCTACCGTCTTCTACAATACTCAGCCTTACTCGTCAGCCATCTCAGCTCCTCACTTAAGTACTTATATTTTGTATTAACTCCCCCACGTCCACTTGCTTCAAGATTGTTTTATGTTTATTAATATGTATATACTGTTAATGTTTAGGTTAAGTTTGGTTAAGGGTAATTTATAAGCTGAATATTTTGTTAAGGGATTTATGGTACTTTATTATATACAACGAAAACTCGCATCCTTTGTCTACCCTTTTATAGTCCGATTGTCTTTGTTTTTTTTTTTTTTGTTACCTGTTGGGATCTGGGTAGACGTATAACTATATTCTAAATCCCCAACTCGTAACACTACGGATTCAGTTTTGTATATATCTTGTGTTTTATATGCTGAAACTACACTACTCATAAGTTTCCATCTTTATTTGCAATTCCCCGATTTCAGCTGCAGACTGCAGTTACTTTCTAATTTGTGTAGAATAGCTTTGCCGATGGCTTATTTCTTAACAAAGTGCTAATACCTGTATTTCATGTTTCTTTTAAACCGATTATCTACAATCAACTCGGTTATCATGAGTATAGCAAAAGACAATGGCCGATTTTCTTGTAGATAATCTGTTTGAAAGGAACAGGAAAAATATATCACAAATGACCATAAGACTAAGTTGATTATTATATGGATATATTCAAGGTATGACCTGGATAGTATAACACTTATATTACTGTATGATTTGTTCGTGCAAGATACAACTTGCCGTGGCTGGCTGGCTGGGAGGAGCCCGGGTAGATGGCGTCATGGAAGGTGGGAGGAGCCCTGGCTGATGACGCACGAGGCCAGGAGCGAGTGGCGTGACTTGGTGTTCCCTTTCCTCGTACAACTAGTGGTACCACAAACGCTAGCGCAAGCACCAGCCGCCTTCCTAGCTTCGTGTGTGGGATTACTTTTACAATGACAAGTAAGGCTATAATATATGTCTGACAACTATTAAGATCAATAGTGTTAGAGTGTGTTAGTGATTAGACATAACGTGCGCTGGAATAAAATTAGTATGTTTGTCGAAGCAGACACTTATTGCAAGTGATGGTGTAATCGCTGGGAGCCTGGAGGGTGACTGCAGTCAAAGGTCAGTTATCCTATTGTGTTCATAATTTTGAGTCGGCTTAACAAGGAACTATTCACCTATGGATATTAACGAATTGGTAACTCAAGCCAACTTACACTCCTTCGAATGCCTACCTATAATAATAATAATAATAATTATTATTATTATTATTATTATTATTATTATTATTATTATTATTATTATTATTATTATTATTATTATTATCAGTTAATTGCATACAGGTTTACAATTGGATCAGGACCGTTCCTATAATTCAAGGGGCCCGGGTGCAAGGGTTAACAAGGGGCCTCCTATCTAAAATGATCCACGGACGATGGGTATTGCGATATGCCCGTTGATCCTGTCCCACTTTGGGGCATTACACAATATCCATCGTACGGGGTGCCATATTGTTTTACACCGTGTTTTTTTTTTACCGTGTGTATAATCGCGAACAAAAATTCTGTCGTCGCTTCTGTTGCTCCACGAAATTGAAATTGAAATACTTTATTGACCATAGAGTTATTACATCAAAAGGACAGGGTAGTATACTACTCCCACCCTCACCGTTGCCATCCCCTTCTGGGGTTTACAAAAAGTTATAAATATTATTACAATAATTATTTTTACATCAATGAAATAGTTCATATTGGCATGAACACTGTACTACATTAAAAGAACAGATAACAATCCTACACAAAATTAAATGTCATATCCTTGGAGTAAAATTTTTATACATTGCAAGAATTACTTAAATTTTCCCATTATTGATCATCCAACAAACTTGTTTCTTTAAAGTAGTGATCTTACTGTTCCTGTATGGTCGAATTTTTTCACATCCTAATACATAATGTTGTAGTGTATGTGCATCCGTAAGATGACACAATTGACAAGGTTGACCCGCCCCTCCACTTATCTGCCATTAATATTTGTATCCCAATCTTAGTCTCATTATAACAGTGTCAACAGATGGTAAGTTAGTCCCATTGTCCTTGATTGTGTTCAAGGACTATATGACACACTCAGGATTTCGAGACGTGGGTTAGAAGAAATGATAAGCAGGACAGGAGGATGTTCGCCAGATCCAAGAACCAGGCTAAGTCAGTGTGTAGACGGGCTGAAAAAGAATTGCAGAAGCAGATTGCTAGTGAGGTCAAATCAAACCCAAAGACTTTTTACCGCTACGCAAAGTCGAAATTAAAAAAGCGAATAGGCATATCGGACCTGAGGCCTGAAGATGGTATAATAGTTATGCAGATTCTGACCAGGATAAGGCGGGGGTGCTGAACAAATTTGTTTCATCGGTGTTCATAAGAGAGGATGCGAACAATCTTCCTGCGTTTGAGGAAAGACGGTTTGACACAGAGCTGGCCCACATTGTGTTCTCGGATGAGGTTATAAGAAATAAACTGTCAAAGCTATAAATTCACGAGACTCCCGGCCCAGATATGGTCCACCCCAGAGTGTTAAGAGAACTGTGTAACGAGCTTGCAGAGCCCCTCAAGATCCTGTTCTGCAAATGTCTGGGGAAGCAAAAGGTCCCGATGACTGGAAAATGGCTTATGTGTGTCCTATATTCAAGAAAGGCGATCGTCACTACACGAATAATTATAGACCAGTGAGCCTGACCAGCATACTATGCAAAGTACTAGAGAGCAACGTAAGAGATGCCATGATGGAACATCTGCTACAAAACAACCTTGTAAAGGACTGCCAACAGGGTTTCATGTCGGGAAGATCCTGCTTTATTTTAAGGGATTAGTCCACCCGGGCAGAGGTCATTGACCCACATTGGGGCCTGGGGGACGAAAATGTATTAATAATAATAATAATAATAATAATAATAATTCATAGCAAATGTTTTTTAAATACACATTTAAAAATAATGTAATAAAATAAGTGATAACAATAATAATAATAATAACCACTATACTACTAATAATAATAATAATAATAATAATAACGAGTGAGAAACGATATATGTATGTTGTGTTGTCAAAGTGAGATAGACAATTAAGACCCTGCAATTGTGCATAAATGAGGCAGAAAGTCAGATCAGCAACCTGGGACTTGGTCACAATTCCTGTGATGCCATATGGCAGCAGGGTCTACCATTAGACATCACATTATGCTTTCAATATCTTTCCAGGCGGTAGTACCTCCCTGTTTGACAGCTGCCTACTACCTACTACAGTAGATGTTTGGACTCAAATTCTAGAACAAGGCGGAACTATATACCGAGATTTTATCAAGGCTTTCGACAGTGTACCACATGAAAGGCTGAGAATTAAATTAGAAGGGTACGGGTACGGGATTCGAGGAAGTGTCTTAGCTGGGATCAGAGACTTTCTGTTTGACCACAATCAGTGCGTGGTGATAAATGGTACGAAATCGTCATGTGTACCTGTGACTAGCGGGGTACCACAGGGCAGTGTATTGGGCCCATTGTTTGTTTCATAAATGATATGCCAGAAGCTATACACTCCTCCATACAAATGTTTACAGGCGATGCCAAGTTATTTAGGGAAATTAAGAACCAAACAGACTGTGAAAAGCTGCAGAAAGATCTCGATCAGCTTTAGAATGGGCGAGGAATGGCTGCTAAAATTCAATGTCACGAAGGGCAAAAGGATGCACCTGGGTCGCTGCAATAGTAAGGAAGCGTATTGCATGTCCCAACAGGACGAAGAGACTGCATTAATCGAGACCGAATGTGAAAAGGACCTGGGTGTGTATGTCGACAATGAATTTAAGTTCTCGGGCCATTGTGAAAAGAAGGGGAATCAGGCAACAAAACTAGTGGGTCTTATAAGAAGGTCGTTTAGATATCTGGATGGTTCGTCACTCGTCACGATCCTCAAGAGTGAGGTGCTTTCCCGTCTGGAGTATTTGTACCCCGTCTGATCCCCGAGGTATGCTAGAGACTGTCAATTGATTGAAAATGTCCAAAGGAGGGCCACCAGACTGGTGCCTGCTCTAAAGAACCTCAGTTACCCAGAGATTGGAGCGCCTGCAACTACCGAGCTTATACCTCAAACGGGCAGGGGGCAACCTAATCGAAGTGAAGTGTATAAACATCTCAGGGGGCACTACTCAGTCGAATGTACATACCTGGACCTGGCGGATGTGCGGACCCCTTGTGGGGTATAAGGGGTCACAGCTTAAGGTTGATGAAGCCACAAATCCAGAAAACTGTGAGGAAAACTTTTTTCGGAGTGAGAATTGTGAACTCCTAGAACAATCTGCCGGAGAGCATTGTGACGGCACCGAGTGTGAGCTCTTTCAAGGCCAGACTTGACCAGCACTGGAGCAGGTTCCGATATATTCAGGAGCCATTGCGGCGAAGAGGATAAAAGTAATAAAGCCTAGTACTTGTTCTCGTTTCCACAGCTTGAGCGGGTAGAATATTATATAGATGTACCAACCTCTGCGTGAAGATGACTTATATTCGTCCTGGCGAGCTTGTAGTTGTCTTCGTATGGTGTTTATATACTGTGTGTATATATATATATATATATATATATATATATATATATATATATATATATATATATATATATATTTATTTTTTTTTTTTACGGGCACTAGCTCACCCGGGCACAGATCACTGACCCACATCGGGGCCCGGGGGATAATAATAATAATAATAATAATAATAATAATAATAATAATAAAATAAAAATTATAAAAAATACAAAAAAATATTTAATAAAAATTATTAAAAAATAAAATAAGAGTAATAATAAATAAATGAAAAATTAAAAAAAGTAGTGAGAAACGATGTATTTTGTGTTGTCGAAGTAAGAGAAACAACTGAAACCCTGCAATTGTGTGTAAATGAGGTAGAAAATCAGATCAGCAACCTGGGACTTGGTCACATATGGCAGCAGGGTCTACCATTAGACAACACACTATGCTTCCAATATCTTCCCAGGCGGTAGTACCTCCCTGTTTGGTAGCTGCCTACTACCTACTACCGCGTGACATCGTGAAAAATTTATCCGGGTTTACGTCTTCATTTGCAAATATTTTCATGTGAAGTTAAACAAAGACAGTATAAGACTCGCTTCACGAAATTATATTCGTGATATGTCATATGTCGTGCCCATATATGGTTCGTTATTTACCCATTATTCATCACGCCCTGAGGCCAGCTAACCAATTAGAAGACATTGTATAGAAGCACAGCTTGAGGTGAAGAAAAAACTATTTCAGTTAGCGCCCACTAAAGGAGGGAAGGGGTTACCTGGTAATGTACAAAATATTACTTCTCACGGAACTTTGCGTGTTTTAGGCGTTATTTTTTATGCTGAGTTAAGAACAACTCTCAACTCACCAGCCCTCCCATTCCAAAATCTTAGATCTACCATTGTTGGTATACCCATACTCTATTTGTCGCCCTCAGGGCATAATAAGAAAAACATGTGCTAGCTGTGAACCCAAGTCAACTAAAAGACAATTTTACTGAAGAAATATATGTTTCACTATTTATCTACATCTATATATCTGTCTATCAGGATTAAGGTGGATCCAGTGCGGGGAGGAGTGGGAGCCTTTCCTACTTGGCAGCAACAAGAGCGCGCGGGTCGTGGCGGCGGCAGAACATGGGGCCGGCTTCATCCCTGGCATGCTCCTCTTCGGGGAGAAACGCTGTGTCATCCCGTGGGGATGCAAAGCTCACACCAAAGTTAATTACTACGTACGTGCAATTTATTCTCAGGATTTCCCGTGATGTTCAATCAGGGTTTGTCGCGAGGCTCTGGTCCAAAACGTCGCCACCGCTGACTGATTTTTCTTAAGGTGTTCAAAGATGGCACGATATGTTTGTTCAACTTGTGTATGTGTGTAAATAAGACGTTTCTCAGTCTCGGTAACTTTGGTAGCAGTGACTGAGTGATACAGAGGTGATGTCACCAATTCACCACACTAACCCTTCAGCTGCCATCAATAATAATAACAAGATGAATGCTAAACAACGCAGCGGGATAATTAATGAATGTTGCGAAAACTAGCTGCATTCGAAACAGATCTGGGACCCTGAACTACTGTAGAAGTCTCAGGGTCCCTCAATATTTAAATTGACTGATAATGTTGAAAAGTCTGGAGAGAAGGTAGCACAGAAATAGGATAAGTGCTTTCGTGTACAGGTGCTGGAGAAGGAAGGTATAAACTTTGTTAATATTTGAGGCAGGCTTATTAATTCTTTGCCGTATTAATAGCGTCACATTGTTATAATCAATCACTATAACCATCATATACTTTATTGTGTAGTTGCTGTACAGATCAGACGCTGTGTAACCCTGACTTCTCTCCTGTTCAGGTCCTCGATAAGTCAAACGATGTTGACTTAGAGTGGGTGCCTGACGTGAATGGCAATGTGCCCCGGGGAGCGTTCGGGGGCGGGGTCTCCGAGGAAGGCGAGATCCTCTACATCGGCAGGTTCATGGTCGAAGGGGTGATGGCGTATGGCAAGGTGAGCATGTGTCCACCTAAACAGATTTTCAGGCTACTACTACAATTATTATTAATATTATTATTATTATTATTATTATTATTATTATGTTAACAGGTCCACCCGAGCCACAAGGTTTGCTACGTCCCACATGGAAGTAATGAGCTGAACAACAAATCCTACGAAGTTCTCTGCTTCAAGACTATACCCTCGGACTTAGTCTATATAAAGTAAGTGTTGCCACTCGTCTGTCTGTGTGAAGCAAGCGTTGTGTCCCGTCTGTGTGAAGTAAGTGTTGTCTCTCGTCTGTGTGAAGTAAGTGTTGTCTCTCGTCTGTTTGAAGTAAGTGTTGTCTCTCGTCTGTTTGAAGTAAGTGTTGTCTCTCGTCTGTGTGAAGTAAGTGTTGTCTCTCGTCGGTGTGAAGTAAGTGTTGTCTCTCGTCGGTGTGAAGTAAGTGTTGTCTCGTCGTGTGTGAAGTGTTGTCTCGTCTGTGTGAAAGTGTTGTCTCTCGTCTGTGTGAAGTAAGTGTTGTCTCTCGTCTGTGTGAAGTAAGTGTTGTCTCTCTGTGTGAAGTAAGTGTTGTCTCGTCTGTGTGAAGTAAGTGTTGTCTCTCGTCGGTGTGAAGTAAGTGTTGTCTCTCGTCTGTGTGAAGTAAGTGTTGTCTCTCGTCTGTGTGAAGTAAGTGTTGTCTCTCGTCTGTGTGAAGTAAGTGTTGTCTCTCGTCTGTGTGAAGTAAGTGTTGTCTCTCGCCTGTGTGAAGTAAGTGTTGTCTCCCGTCTGTGTGAAGTAAGTGTTGTCTCTCGTCGGTGTGAAGTAAGTGTTGTCTCTCGTCTGTGTGAAGTAAGTGTTGTCTTCCGTCGGTGTGAAGTAAGTGTTGTCTTCGTCGGTGTGAAGTCGGTGTGAAGTAAGTGTTGTCTCGTCGGTGTGAAGTAAGTGTTGTCTCGTCGGTGTGAAGTAAAGTTGTCTCTCGTCGTGTGAAGTAAGTGTTGTCTCTCGTCGGTGTGAAGTAAGTGTTGTCTCGTCGGTGTGAAGTAAGTGTTGTCATCGGTGTGAAGTAAGTGTTGTCTCTCGTCGGTGTGAAGTAAGTGTTGTCTCTCGTCGGTGTGAAGTAAGTGTTGTCTCTCGTCGGTGTGAAGTAAGTTGTCTCTCGTCTCGTCGGTGAAGTAAGTAAGTGTTGTTCTCGTCGGTGTGAAGTGTGTTCTCGTCGGTGTGAAGTAAGTGTTGTCTCTCGTCGGTGTGAAGTAAGGTGTTGTCTCGTCGGTGTGAAGTAAGTGTTGTCTCTCGTCTGTGTGAAGTAAGTGTTGTCTCTCGTCTGTGTGAAGTAAGTGAAGTAAGTGTTGTTCTCGTCGGTGTGAAGTAAGTGTTTCTCGTCGGTGTGAAGTAAGTGTTGTCTCTCGTCGGTGTGAAGTAAGTGTTGTCTCTCGTCTGTGTGAAGTAAGTGTTGTCTCTCGTCTGTGTGAAGTAAGTGTTGTCTCTCGTCTGTGTGAAGTAAGTGTTGTCTCTCGTCTGTGTGAAGTAAGTGTTGTCTCTCGTCTGTGTGAAGTAAGTGTTGTCTCTCGTCGGTGTGAAGTAAGTGTTGTCTCTCGTCTATGATTATCACCTTCATTATTATGATTCTCTCACTTTCACAGGACCCACCAAATGCCGTCCGGATTATCACCACGTAACTTTATGGAATCGGTCGGAAGCTTCGCCAATGGAGACGAAAACCCTTTAATGAAGATAAAAGCGAGAGTTAAGGGTGATGTGAAGATAACACAAAAACAAAACAAAAGAATACAAAAACGAAAATCAGTTGGAGCAGCTGCTTGGGTCCGCCACGGCAAATCTCGACGATTGCAGCGACGTTAACTGATTCGTAGTTGGCCCACCTGCAGTCAGCGCCATATAGTAGAAGCAAGGGTTCTCCGACTACAGGAAGATAGCTCACTCCAAAGGGGCGAACGCGTTTACCCCCAATGTGGCGCCACCAAGCGGCGGAAAGAAAAACGCATTAAACCCATTGCACTTTACATAATTTTGTGTGATAACACCAGATTATTAAATAAAAACAAATTATATATATATATATATATATATATATATATATTTAGTAGGTTGTCGACGTCCAACTTTAGATATCTAGGAATAATTTCTCAAACCAACACATTGATAATTTGCAGTAAAAGATAATTATGAAGGGCATTGGTTAACTGTGCGATATTTTTGCTCAAATAAAATTGTGTAAAGTTGTAGCTACTACCATCGCGCTTACTGAAGAACTGGCTGGAGTATATTCTCTTAAGTAGAATAATTATCCTTTACTGTAAAATACTCTGTGTTGCTCTGAAAATTTATTCCAAACCTCGCCTGAGACAGAGTTGGTCAAACTTTACTCTTTAGTTTTTCCTCGAACTATACATAAATGATGCCTCTGACAATTAGTAAACGTGTTTTTAATCTGTTGTAAATAAGTATAAAACTTTAGTAACAATAATCTATCTCAGAAGCCACACTTGGTAAAATAAACATTCGTTTTATAAATGGTCCATTTACCATCTCGAATACGCCCACTGACATTTACTTGCAATTTGATATTTTTGCAAAATGGAATATACAATACAGCACAAACGGTACTGACTTCAGTATATTAAAATGCATTATATGAAGAATAGGCGCTATTGTACGAATGTATCAATGCCTATAGGTTGGTTCAGTAACAACGGGGTGGGCAAGTTATTTCTGCAATATATTTCTATAAACTATATTGTTATGCCATAACTTAGCAACTTAAGTTAAAGTTGAATATAATAATGAGGGCACATGGCTCAACAAAAAACAAATTGGCAACTCAGCACAACTTAACCCTTAATATTTATCACTTATAATTAATGTTATTTCAATACACGACAAACAATGGTAAAATGCAAAAGCTATAAACACAAATAAGGACGAAATTGTGCATCATGGGTTCAATCACAGCCTCTTACTTTATCACAACAGTTCAGGAATGAAGGTTTGGAATTATCCACGACACGAAATATTTAAATAAAATTTAATAAAAGTTTACAATAATAAATGTGCATGTTATATAATGGATGTAAAAATTAATTCAAGAGAATAAATAATATACACGATTATTGGACTTTGTAAATATTTAGCATAGGACAAACCATAGTAGGTAATGACTCCTTACCAAGTTAAACTGCACTTGGTTTTCCATCCTTAATAAACAATTAATATGTACACAGTATATATGTGAGAGGTTTGAATCATAGACCACGTTCCTTGTAGACTTTATTCTTACAGCGTCAGCTGGTGACTGGCAACCCGGCGCTGCCACAGACAGGCTCCACCTCGACACATAGGAAAACATATGGTACGATGGTACTCCATTTCACAATCTTACAGTATATAAACCATAAACCACATTATAACAATATTTTGATTGCACTATACACACAATACATAATAATAGAGCAGCACTGAATATATAATACTTAACTAAACCATATTAGAGAAGGTGTCCACCACTGACTGACCCAGACGTCCAATGACCAGCAGTGACTACCCAAAACACACTGGTGAACTCCAAGCCTAAACAGCACTAATATAAAACAACTACTACATTAAGCTGCCAAAATAGTTAAACATACATACATTTTAGGACACAATTTTAGGTATCAAGTACCAGTTTTGCTCACAAATAATTATATTAAAAATTTTACATTCAATCCACGAATGACATCAGAACACCAACGCCACCACCACACTGAAGGGGGAGGGTAACGAGCATTTCCCAAACTAGTGTAGGGAAATACTTGTTAAATACATAAAGTCAAATATTTTGATGCATAAAGCAATGCATTACTGTGGACTATGCTATGCATAACAATATGTTTTATTATTTATTTTAATTCTTCCAACGTTACTGCCTTTCCACTCGTATTTTTATTTTTATTTTTTGGGGGGCTTGGAAACCACCAGATATGTCCGGCTATGTGGTGTATCGGACGGAAGGGCTGTAAACTATAGGCGTTTACTGCAAGGCGTTTTAAGATGCACGGAATAGCTAACACATTAGCTTTCCCAGACTGTCATTAAAACATTCGACATTGTACCGCGTCTTGGGAATAACTGTTGTACAACACAGTGTGGGGTTTCGTGATGTTGAATCGCTCATAGGATGGAGGTGAGAAGGGAAACTCAGCTATGGAGGTTTTCTTATATAAATACATTATATACAAATCAGTCTGGTGCTGGGAAGTTACTGCGTGGTAGAGAAGTTGCTGTGCAGGAGCTTCTTTAGAGTTGGTGTTGCGTGTTGCAGGGCTCTAGGTAGAATGGACTTCAGTACGGTACGGAGTCTTTAGTTATGAGGTGAAAGATTATTAGGGGTTGAAGGAAAAGTGGTGAAACTGAAATACAGTAGGAGTAGAAAGAATCTGGGCTCAACCAGATCGCTTCATCTTTCCTATTGGTGTTTTATCTTTGTTCTGCTCCCTTGGGTCGTCAGACCTTTGTATTAATATTGGTTTATTTATATAATGCTGCTTATTATTATTATTTTGTATTATTGTTGGAGTTAGTGAGCCCGCCCAGGTCCTTGTGTAACTGGGAGGGTAGTCACATATTTTTTTTCTGAGGTGTTAGTTAAGTGTTAGTTGTGTTCGTCTAAAGGTACACTGTATGGAGAGGCCTGCCAGGTTCTTAGTGGAGCTGGTAGGTCACTCTCATATTTTATTCTCTCTATTAATGTTTTATGTGTATATTGGAGCTCTATCTCTCATATTTTTGTTACTGTTGATGGAATAGTGTATTTACCGACCTAGTTATGCGCTTAACGATCTTAGTTATTAAAGCACAGTAATAACATTATAACAACTGTCGCTTTCTGCACATCTCTTGCACCAATATCTCTTTTTTTTTTCTTTTGGGGGGTTCTGATCCTGTAAAATTATTAAATACAAAAGTGAGAGAGAGAAAATATGGTTCGGTTAGGTTAGTCACCAGTAAAGCCGTCACACAATCACTGTTACTTTATTTACTAGAGAAAGACAATTTATGAATTTATTTGTATACAAAACGTTGCCCGACAAACATTTACACTTCATAAAATAAAAATATATGTTCTACAGAAAGTGGGCATATATTCACCATGCAAGTTGTTAAAGGGGAGGAGAGTTCACTGCCCACACGCATCGTGTATAGTGGTGCTAATAGGAGCAGCGCTCGTTATGCACTGATTAGTTTCATATTTGATAATTTTCTTCTAGCTCACATCTGTTTATCTTATTAAAGTAAATAATTGAAAGATGAAAGGAAAATAGCACAAATGAATGGCAAACCGCACGCTCTGGCGCCTGGCGGCACACAGCACAACCACCCACCCTCTACCACACCTGAATGACGACATGTTCTAGCTAAAAACAAGACTGCCCGAGGTCGATGAACCAATGCGTCCAGCGCACCACTCAACACACACCCAGCACGTCACATAAACCTCTGCCCTCCCTAAAATTGACCCAGGAAAACGAACCCCTTACATTTTCATACTGCAGGGAGAACCTTGTGTCGCCGTGTTCCGTATTCTCTGGGCCGACACAGGATTTATCAGGACAGATCGATGAGCTCAGCTGGTCGAGACAGTGCCGCGCAGTTCCACATGGCTTAGCTTAGAAACAGGAACTTGACCTCACTGGACTTCCAGAGAGACTATAGTAAACCATGACTGTTGGAGTTGTCTGATGCCAATATAGTCAACGATAAGCTAAGGCAACTGAGAGGGTCATGGTCCTCCTATCAGCGACCTGGTGATACACGGTATAGTCTTAGATATGTACCCCTGTGGCTGAGTACAATACAGTATTTTGCACACTGCCGTAGATTACTTAGCAGCTTCGATGCCGTCTTTATTCCGGTATACTGTATTTGTCTCTTTATACACGTATCTGATTAATTTGATAGTCTTGAAAAATAAAGGAGCAATGTGTTGTGTGGATATTTGGTTCTACATAGTCCTAAGTTCCTTTACTATTGTTTTGGGGTCATTCTTTTTGTTTTACTCTCACAAATCCTTAGCAAAGTGCATAGCTGGTGACAAAGGAGGGAGATTGTGGAAGTCCTCCTACCATTCAGCAGCACTTAACTAACACTACCCTTCTGATCGACCTGTTAGCTACATGTCGGTCACGTCTCTGTTGCGCACTATTGCCTTGTTATCCATAGACAGGAAGTTTCGTATAAAAAAGTAATGATATGAAGTTTTTATGTAACTTAGGAGATATCAAAATAATTAAAAATTAATAATGCGGAATTGTCATTACCCGGCGGCAGTCGTTAATGAGTAACTAGACCTCCAGTTGTCAGTTAAATACCAAGCTATAAGCGGTCTACTGAGCTGGAGTTGGCATACAGAAATAATTGCACTGAGCGTCCATTAACCTAACCTTACCTGGCCTAGGTTAGGTTAGGTTAAGCTAATGGACGCTAGTGTAAATATCCCAGTAGACCAACTCCAGCTCGGCAAATATCCCGGTAGATCGCATACTATAGTAGCATCATATGATCATTCTTTCATCCTTCAGGTTACAATTAAGTTTGATATATATATATATATATATATATATATATATATATATATATATATATATATATATATATATATATATATATATATATATATATATATATATATATATATATATATAACAGCTGACTTTAAAAAATAATTTATCAAAGATAAAACATCTCATTTTGAAGAAAAATCTTTCTAATTCAAAATATTCATGCTAGTCGTCTATAATACTGTACTGTTCCCGTTATTATAAACGTATTTCCCTGAGAAATTGATATACGTGGTGCTTCTGGCGTGCTGTAGCAGTAGTAATAGTATATACCTATAGCGTATGTATTAAAATATGTGCGTTATACAAAAGAACCAACAAGATCATAATTATGAATAACATCAGAGACAAAGCTGTGATGGAGTTTGAGCCATGATTGGTTACTAACATCAGTGAATCATCGCATTGTAAATATAGCACAGAATTATAATTATGCTTATCAGGATGATTACCACACAGGATAAGAATACAGATACACGCATGGCACACCTTACAGCCAATCTTTACGTAAGACTGAAGCAACTGCGTAGCAGGCCTAGCATCAAGTCGATCGTTGATAAATGAACTTCTAAGTCATTTCCAACTCCCATGTCGCCATAAGTGCAACACTGTTCATATCCCGGCGCCAGCTTATTTTACTGTGGTTAATTCTGAATGCGAAGACCACGTGCTGACAGTGATTGCTTATTTAGCTCTCACGTCATGCCCCTTCCCGGAGACAAGTTTTCCGGCGGAGATCATTACTTGCTCATTTCTGGTTTAAACTTATGTATTTTGACCTCTGTTAAGCTTAAACTGTATTATATTTTAATAGGGTACTTCGAGGATAAAAGGAAGGAAGGTTAACGGGAGAAAAACCTTTAAGCCTTCAGGAAACAGAAAGACAAATGAAAAGAGAAGAGCAATAACCACCTGATAAATTTTATATTTCAATTACGGTTTCAAACAGTACAAATTCTCTTTAAAATAAAACAAATAATTTATTATATTAAATTTTAAATACACATTTGACGATTAATAGATATAAAGTTTACAAAAGTGAATACCAATAATATAGTTGACTGATCCACTCCAGCAGTTGTAAACATTGACATGGCAGACCTGTTGTGTTCCTCCTCTCTCCTCTCTCACTAGCCATCATGGTATTTACTCATCGTTATTATATCTTTTTTATACTGATGTGAACATAAAAATATATACCTCTGTTGTGATAGATTATTGAAGGATATTATCACAGTGTTGTTTCACCTGTTGCTGTGGCGCCATCCTCACTAGAAACTTATAAAGTGCTCTCGAACCTTTGCTGCACAGGTGTTAATGGTGACCTAAGCATATTATAAAATGGAGCAAGAAGACGAGAACATCTCACTGTTGCTCAATATGGGGTTTCCCGATGTACGAGCCATCAAACGGGCCCTTAAGTTGAGTAATGGAGATGTTAACGAGGCGGTGATCTTCCTGACGGAGCAGCCGCTGTCCTCCTACACCACCGTCGACGACCTCCGGGACGTGGAGATGGCCGACCCCGCCCACAGACCTCCTACCTATGATGAGGTGTGTGTTCTTCCTTTCCTCCTTTCTATGGTACTTGTAAACTTAGTGATAGAACCCCGCCCTCAGACCTCCTACCTATGATGAGGTGTGTGCTCTTGCCTTTCCTCCTTTCTATGGTACTTGTAAACTTAGTGATAGAAGTTTTACCAGAATTGTAAGTGATCGATTCCCAATTTTCTCTGGCGTCTCACTTTATTTGGTAAGTTGACCTTAATGAAAAAATATATACTATATAGTAATGTAAAGAAATAAAGATGATGATGCAAGAAGCTAGTATGTTAGATATTCTGGAGGTAAGAAGGAAGTTTTAGTTAATTTTGTGGTATTATTTTAGATTCGGTCATCCAGGGAATCTTAAGGAATTTTAACTGTTGGTATCAGTAGGGGTCTGGAGGGGGGTCGAAGCCCTCCCGGTTAGGTTAGATAGTTCTTGGGTTCTGTGGCTAGGTTAGGTTAGGTTAGGATACATTAGTTTGGATATCTAAATACAGGGATGAGCGAAATTATAATTTAACCCAATTCGTCTTTTCAACAAAGCACAGCATTTTTTTTATGAAAAATATGTCATCCGATGTTTTAGGCAACTTTAAGACCCTTATTTTCTTTGACATATCCTGGGCAAATTACTTAAATATACTGGGGAATCCAGGGGACGGAGCCTTCCGGTTAGGAAGTTAGGGTTAGGTAGTTTTAGGTCATTTATGAAAGAAACTTCATAGAAGAAAAGTATCTTAAAATTGTCTAAACTATCGGATGATGTACTATTTTCATGAAAAAATTCCGTGGTTGGTCAAAACTACTAATTATCCGAAGTTTTCCTCCATGCAATACATACAGTATGTAGAAAATTGGGTAAAATTTTAGTTTCGGTCATCCCAGTGTTTGATATTCAACCTAACCTAATGTAACTTAACCTAACTCTAGCCACAGACCCCATGCTGAACAATCTGTACAGGGTCCGACTAATTACCCAAATGTACCTGCAATGAAGTCAAATAATGGTCCTACATGAATAAATCGAGTTACCAATCACTTCTCGACTAGTATTTGGTGTCACAAAGTAAAAACAAAATTGGAAAACGTAATTTAATTTGAGTTGATAGATCACGTGCATGTACCTAACCTAACCTAACCTCCTAGTATTTGGTGTTACGAAGTCACAAAAAATTGGTAAACTTAATTTAATCTGAGTTAATAGATCGAGTGCATGTACCTAACCTAACCTAACACAACTCAGATTAAATTAAGTTTACCAATTTTTTGTGACTTAATGACTCCAAATAATAATCGAGAAGTGATTCACAGCCCGATTTACGCTTGTACGACCATCATTTGACTTCATTGCGGCTACATTTGGGTAATTAATCGCTCCCTCGGTACATGCACGCGATCTATTAACTCAGATTATAGTAAGTTTTCCAATTTTTTGTGACTTTGTGACACCAAATACCAGTCGAGAAGTGATTGGCAGTCCGATTTATTCATGTAGGACCATTATTTGACTTCATTGCGGCTACATTTTGCTACATTTGGGTACATTTGGGCAATTAGTCGGACCGACCTGTACATCTAACTTAACCAGGGTCCCAGATCCTCCCTTTCTGGTGGGGTTTAAATTCCTAAGATTGCCCTAATGATTGAAACTAAAATAATACCGAAAATTTGCCTAAAGTTGCTCCTTCAGAGTTAACCATCTAGACCATTACTTATTTACTTTCCCTCTGCACCATTACTGGTACCCTTACACTATTGGCTAGGTGCTATCTGTGATTATAGTTTACCAATTTGGAGCTGATGATGATTACAATGAATGGCATTTTCTCCTTTCTATACCTTTGTTTAGGTACCTTTGATGCTTTGAAAAATTAAAAAGGTAATTAGATACTGAACTTTCTGATTTTATTAAGCATAAGCCACTGAGCCTGATATATCACTCAATGGTTCATTGCTCCCACTGAAGGCACAGAGGCAACAATGTTGGAAAGATAAAAGGGCATTGTAATCATCAGTAGGTTCCAGATTTGTTGACTTATGAGACACCCTGTAGACTCCAAGTTGCTGTGTAATGTCTCATAAAACACAACTGTGAGACTACATCAGTAAGTAAATCATTTATGAACGGCGACATAGCCCAAGGTGATTTGATTTAATCTAATGATCGTAGACAATGTTCTACAGTTAGGTAGGTTGAGCTAGGTCTTATTGGTGTATTGTAGGTGTTGCTCATTATTGACTACTGACCCTTGGCCACTTTTTCATACAAAACGATTAAAGGCACTGCAATTTCATTGTGTTTTATAGTGGACACTGTTGTAGTTTGTACAAATGTATTAAAAAATGGACATTTCTAAATGAAACTTAGCCCAACCTTTGTTGAGAGGAAAAGCAAGCAGCAGAAGCATTGTTAGAAGACCTCACCAACCTAACCAAACAAACCTACCTAACCTTACCTAACTTCCTTACCTAACCCCCGATATATTAAACAGAAAGTACAGTACTTTCCATGATATGGTGTAATTTTAATTTTTTTGTGGACGTGAGAGCAGCCGCCCATACCAAATGGCTCATAAGGATACACTGAGCATCAGCGACGATCTGGTCCAGGCGGCAGAGTGTTTTGAAATACAGTACGTCAATATGATTGGCTCTTTACATCCTGGGATGAGATTTAATTGCTGCAGTAGCACCAATAAGACAAAGTAGTGTATGCCTGGGCACCTAATTATCTACCAAACGAAGCATTGGCACAAGAAATGATTATCATATCAGAACTCACAGATGAAAATATAGTTAGAATATAAATATTAAAACAAATGACGTGTCGGCGGGTCTGTTGTTAATATTAACCTCGGTGTTTTAAAAGTGTGGGAAACAAAAACACAAAAATATTACATAGATATAAATTCCTGGGGTAGATGCGGGTCTTCTTTTCTTTCTTTCTTTCTTTCCTTCTTGTTTTATTTAGGGGATGAGCAACTTTAATATTTTGTAGTGAATCTCTAAAATAAATTATGGTAATATTCATCTATTGGCTGTTCTTAGGTTTTGATATGAGAATATTTTTTGAGGGGCATTTGACTCAAATCTGACCTTCATTTCTTGTGCAAATTAGCAGTTTTACACTGTATATGTAAAGGGTCAAAATGTCAACCTGAGAGTCAAAACTGAAAATCCATCCAAATTAATACATTGTGTGTTTGAATGCTAAAGCATTGTATCTTTATGAATCTGAAAAGAATAAGTCTCTTACACAATTATAAAAACAGCTACAATCAAAATTGTCACATCATGTAGCATAAGAAACAAAGCTCCCTAAAATAGGACATTTACCATCATCATTTGCCAAAATATCTAGGTTGAGCCTTGTTTAAAATGGTAGAGAATGACAAGGCTCCTGTTGTATTGTAAACACTGCCTGAAATGAAAGTGCAGTACTGTATTTCCAAAGTAATGAATGCCACAGTTTTGTGCATTTTTTCCAATACTGTACAAAGCTTATTTGGAGGAAGTCCATTGAAATTTATATTATAAATAGGCATCCTATTGCTATACTAACATGACCCTGGAATGTTTTCTCTGGGGCTTTGCTATACCACAAAATTCTGTGAGGATCGTTACATGTTCAGCTTGAGGTGTCGCTATATGTAGTAGTAATGACCGTCACGCATATTGCTAATTTTTCCACTGCATTTACATCATGTTCTGTGCGCATTTTCTAGAAAGTAAAGAAAGAAGACCTCTGCTGTAAAAGTACTGTATGTGACAATATTCAAGGACAGTACTGTAATGTTAAAATACATAAGACAAGATGTCTTCAAAGTCATAAGTTTTCATCATACCTTTAATATAATAAAATATCGTATTCGGAACTCTTCACATGTCAACTTCTTTGTACCACGATTGAAAATATCAATCTGCAAATGTGACAGGTTTGTGTGCAAAAAACACTACAGTACTCAGATATATATTCAATATTTATACTGATACAATTTATTTTATAAGTTATTGATATTCCCAGCTAAAATTTGTGTAAAAGAAATGGTAATTGCACAAAATGGTAACGACCCTCATGTTTTCCTGTAACTAATGTTAACAGTCACATTTTCCTCAATAATTTCAATACTAGCTACATTGAATAATTTTATTTGCCAGGTATGGTCATGAACTTTATTCATTGCTGTTCCAGTCTTGCAGTACCACCTGAGTCAGTTAGTCATTCTGCATCACGTAAAGATTGGCCCATGTGGACTTTCCAACGTAAAAAAGTAATGGAGAACTCTGACTTTACTTTTTCAAAAACATAAAGTGCCTCCCTTGAGCCTATTATAAGTGGATCTACTTAATACCCATGCTATCCAAAAACAATATGTGTCATGTTAATGAGTTTCTGAGGTAACTCAGCTTGGATATCCTCTGTGTAACTGAAACATGGTTGTATGAATCAGACATCAACATTATGCATATTGCTCTTCCTACAGCACTTTCTCTTGTTCATGTTCCCAAACTTGCTGCGAGAGCTCCGGGTGACGTAGTGGCGCTGATTTATTTTGCTCAATATTAGGCTGATTAGTAGTGACTTTGTTTTTCCTTTCTTTGACTTTATGGAGGCATTAATACATCTTCATTGCCAAGTTATTAGAATGGCTGCTGTTTTTCGGCCTGATCACCCAGGTACAGATAGGGATTTCATGGATGAATTTGGCTTGTTTCTTGAGACTTTTTCAGGAAAGAATGGGCGACAGTTGTTCTGTGGTGACTTTAATTATTGGGCTGACATTCCATCTCTAAAACGTTTTTCCTCTGGGTTCTTGGAAATTCTTGATCTAAACAATTTTTCAATCACGTGTCATGTCCAACACATCTTTCTGGATACACTAGATCTAGTTTTATCCTGCTGACTGTGATCATGTAATAGATGTTAAAGTTGACCTGATCGATCCAGCAGTCTCTGACCATGCTTTGGTAAAACCTTGAGGAACTTAAGAAACATTGACCAGACTATGATTGATCAGAAAATTTATCATTCTCTGAACTGGGTCGACTCCTGATGTGTCCTCTGAGGATCATAAGAACATAAGAAAATAAGGAGTCTGCAATAGGCCGGTTGGTCTGTGCATGGCAGCTCCTGTCGAGAGTTACTACCACTCTCTATCATCCATGAATCTATCTAGCCTCCTTTTGAAACTTTCCAGAGTTACAGCACTTACTACAAAGTTGCTAAGCTTGTTCCACCCGTCCACCACCCTATTTGTGAACCAGTTCCTTCCTATCTCCCTCCTAAACCTAAACTTATCCAACTTAAATCTGTTGCTCCGAGTCCTATCCTGCTCGGATATTATAAGAACTTTATCTATATCCCCTTTATTGATTCCTTTCACCCACTTAAATACTTCTATCATATCTCCCCGCACTCTTCGTCTTTCTAGGGAATGCAAGTTAAGCTTCTTTAACCTATCCTGATATGGAAGGTTTCTAAGTCCCGGAATCATTTTTGTCATTCTTCGCTGCACCGACTCTAGTGAATTGATATCCATTCTATAATAAGGGCACCAGAACTGAACTGCATAATCGAGGTGCGGCCTGACTAGCGCAAGATATAGTTGCAATAAGACCTCTGCACTCTTGTTACTTACACTTCTAGATATAAATCCCAATACTCTGTTTGCCTTATTTCGAACATTAACGCACTGTTTTCTAGGCCGTAGGTCCGGGTTTACAGGTACCCCTAGGTCTCTTTCACAAGTCGACTTCTCTAGGTTGATGTTTGTTAAGGCTGTATACATTATCAGTATTTGTTCTTCCAATATTAAGTACGCTGCACTTGCTGGTGTTGAATTTCATTTGCCATTTTTCAGACCACCCCTGCAGTTTATTTAGAGCCTCCTGTAATGCATTTGCATCCTGCCCTGAATTAATCTGCCGCCCTATTTTGGTGTCATCCGCAAACTTGCTTATGTCACTGCTGATCCGAGTATCTAGATCGTTTATGTAGATTATGAACAAGAGTGGGCCTGGTACTGACCCCTGGGGAACCCCACTGGTTACACGGCCCCACTCAGATTTAACACCATCTACGCTGACCCTCTGCATTCTATCGGTGAGCCATGATTTTATCCAAGATGGTTAAATTGCAAAATTATGTCTTCGAGTTCATTTCAGACCATTATTGTCACGAGGTGAGTCTCCATGGTATGACTTGTCAATAAATTCTCTTCGTAAGGTTTGTAGAAATGCTGAACGAGAGTGGCACTGACGGTGAACAGACCATACTAGATTAGAGTACAGTAATATATGACTGTGCATAGTGTTGTTGTTTGTTCAGTTGGGACAAGCAAGTTGAATACTACTGTATAAAAGTCAAGTAGCCTCTTGTGGCAGTGATCATCAAAAATTGTTTGCATTTCTGAATGGGCTGTTGGACCGGAGGTCTGGGACTACTATGCCTTTTGAGAAATGAAAGACCAGCTATTATTTATTATTATTATTACATTATTGATGTTGGATATATTGCTTTTTATGTGTAATTATTTATTGGTTTGTACAGTCTTGTAATTTAATGTCCCAAAGCACTTATGATCATTGATGTTGGACAGGTTGGTGGAGACAATGGCAACAGCATGGAGTTTCCCACCACGAACCTGTATGAACTTGAGAGCAGAGTGTTTACTGACACCTGGTCTATACCTTACAAAAGAGAAGAATCCCTTGGAAAGTGTCTGGTTGCAGCAGCGAGATTGGCTGAGGAAGGTAATGTTCCTATCATAGATTTTGAAGTTTCAGTGTACAATAAAGTGTCTCGCATGGGTTGGCCAGACTTGCATAACCTAAGAGCTGCAAACGATAATCTTCAGATGTTCGAGAGCCTCAAGACAAGAAGAAAATATACACATGTTTTTAGTGTTACACTTTATTGCAAAAAAATATATGCAAATACAGGTTGTACCTCTCTAGTCCGGCATTCTGTGGTCCGGAACGATTTTAGTTTGTCCAATAGGTAGATAGGCAGCTTTTTTTTCTTTTTTTTTTTACTTATCTGAATTATTATTATTATTACAGGAGTATTAAATTTTTGCCCCTCAGGCCCTAATGTGGGTCAGTGACCTATTCCCGGGTGGGCTAATCCCCTTAAAAAAAAAAAAAAAAGCCGCGGGAAATTAAGGTTTGTTTACATCCGGCAGTTCGGCTGCTCTCTCTCTCTCTCTCTCTCTGCTTGTCTATACAGAGTACAACATTTAACCCTTCAATATATATGAGCAGTAAATAAGTGTTGCTTTCATATTCTTATGTAGAGTAATGACGATATATTTTCACATGTGCGCACTTACATACGAGCAGTCTCACTTTTTTTTTTACCATTAATGGTTAGCTACTTATATTGTTCCATTTATTAACATTAAATAACATTACAGGTACTTCAAGCAACCATATTCATTTTTTTACATTAATTTTACTACAGCTAAACTCAGGGTCTTATTTTCTTCAGTTTTATATGTAGAACCAATCAGTCACTGGTTTCGTAAGCTTTAACATAAACAATGCCGGCAGCCGTCTCGTCTCCTCTAATATTCCACGTATTATTAATAAATTGTATTGTTAATTTTGCACACACGTACATTAATTCAATAAAAACAAATTCAGAAACATTAATTAAAATATATATGAACAGTAAATAAGTGTTGCTTTCATATTCTTATGTAAAGTAATGATGATATGTTTTCACGTGTGCGCATGCGCACTTACATATGCGATCTCTCTTTTTTCTTTACCATTATCGTTAGCTACTTCTATTGTTCCATTTATTAACATTAAATAACATTACTTAAAACAACCATATTAATTTTACTACAGCTACAACCAAGGTCTTATTTTCTTCAGTTTTATATGTAGAACCAGTCAGTCACTGGTTTTGTAATCAACGAAAACAATGCTGTGTCATTTCCTCGTGTGTTTTAATATTCTACGTATTATTAATGAATTGTATTGCTCATTTTGCACACATAAACATTAATTCAATAAAAAAGACATTCAGTAATAAACAATAATGAATCTTTTGTACATAAGAGAAATGACGCTGTTTACACGATTATGCACGTCGTCTGCACGTTGGCGGGCCGTTCAAACCCGTCGAAATTCAAGTTTCTGCCGTCAAAATTTTTATTTATTTATTTTTTTGTGTGTTCCAATAAAATACGTTAAGAATTAAAAACTCGCGAAATTTGAGAAGCTACTATACGACATTTAACCCTTCAATATGTCTTCAAAGAGACCATGATGCAGAGAAAGTGGTGCTAGTGCTTCCAGGCATAAGCACAAGTCACTATCTATCCAGGAAAAGGGTGAATTTCCATGGTGGCAATTTCCATGGTCCGGCACCGGTCAGGTCCCGAGGTTGCCGGACTAGAGATTACAACCTGTACTACCTGTACTAAGAAATACATGCATGCAATAATATTTACTAATGTATGTAGTTTTTGATTTGTTAAATTTTGTTTCAATAATCAGGAGTATAAATATATACCAAATGTTATAAGAATCTTGAGTGATGTTTGCTTTAACAGTGGTGAGTATGTTTAATACTTATGGTAATGAACTTTGGGCACACCTCTGAAAAATATGCAAGTCTGCATTTCAGTAACATAAAATGGGATTGTTGAAGGGAAAAAAAATTGAAAATAACTATAGAATATTTATTTTTATTTGTCTTGGTGAACATTTGGTCATAACTTGGAGGAAAATATAAAAGAAAATCAAGCAAACCAATAAAGTTTGAGATATTTTAATCAGATACCATCTTACAAGCTTGTTTTTCCGTAATTCTGATTTAGGTGGATGATCACACGAGAAGTTTTTGTGATTTGTTTTGTAGTGGCGTTTCAAGTTACTGGCTTTGTACTGAGTGAGTGACACATTGCAGAGAAGGCACAAAGGTTTACCCCCTTTAACGGTGAATGCAAAATCCTCCTCCCACTCTGGCTTAAAATTTTTATTTTCATCTTAATAATTTTGCTTCTTACAATTGGATGATGCCATCACAAAATTTTCACATACACTGCTATCAAATAAATTTAACAGTATTTAAAAACAACTTATTTTTATGAACTGTAAACACAACTTGTATCCGGAGTGTACCAGTTAGATCTGGACAGTTCAACGTCCTGTGTTACGCTGCGTTAATGTGTCAGATCATGATGGGCCCCCCTGTCCTGCCCCTCCCTCTGTAATCCCTGACCTGACTCTGCACTGCTGAACAATACCTGACTAAATTCTAGCATTAAAATTAAGTTTTAAATTCTTAAATGTTTATACTCGCCTTGAGTATTTAACTTATGTTTTAATCTAGTGGCCTCTCAGTTTATAAATATAAAGCTCAAACATTTTTTTATTTACTGGTACTTTTTATATTCCTTATGATGCGAAAAGAGTTCGGCCAAGATATTTTCGCGAGCCACATTAGTTGTCAAAGAGCCATGGATTGGCCACCCCTGGTATATAGTATATGTTGACCTTAACGGAAAGAAGGATTCCAATATAATGTAGAATTCTTGCAGGACTCTACCTTGCCTGTCTTGAATCTGGCAAGTAGCATTCTTGTATTTTAATACTTACTTGCAAAAATTTTTTTCAGTAACATTCTTAGGTAAACATTATTCACCTTGTTCAATTCAGGTCCTTGTTGTTATTTATTCTTGTTTCACACTGTTTGAAACACTTCTACCACTATCATTCTCTGGCATATTCATTCACTCCACTGTTCTATGCATAGTAGCTAGCTGCCCAAGAAAGTTCCTCCCATGTCTAAGGCTCTGGTACCTTGTAAGGATACAGTACTGAAGAAGGGAAGACTATATGAATCATGACCGACAAGTGTATGTAGGGGTTTCATCTATAGAGCCCCCAGTTAGTATAAATGGAATCCTCAGGCTTACAAGGGGTTGTTTCAGAAGATGTGAGCTAGATTGGGAGAAGAGGTTTGTCAATAAAGTGTGAAGAGTTAAAACAAAAAGTAGTTGTTAGAACTGTAGCTTAGAAAAATTAAAACATATTTTTTACTATGAACAGTACTTGTAGAGTACGTACAGATATAACTTATGCAGTGTAACTTTGGGTCTGAGGAGCTGTTAAAATACCCTCTGCAGGATTTTCTAATTGCAAATCTTTTGATATGTCTCTTCAGGTCTCTGTGATGCAGATGAGTCCTGCCATCGTTTCATGGATCGGTGCCTTCCTGAATGTTTTCACAAACTTCTAGCAAATGGAGCAGTTCGTCGATGGGGTTTAGAAATTCAAGAGGGTGTGTTCAATATGCTCGACTTGCTCACGAACCTTGTTATTGTTAGGCTCAAGCATGGGTCAGTTCCAGAGGCCTTACTCAAGGATGTCTTTGCTCTTGTAAGTATTTTTCATTTGGGAATAGTTAATCTCATAATGATAAAGTTAGGAAAGTATTGATTACAGGTGCAATTGGACAGCTGAAAGAGAAAAATAAGGATCAGTATGCCATGCTGGTCACTTCGAGGCTGTATAATAGCATGGGCTCTAGGACAACTGCCCCCTGGACAGTTGCCCCACTTTGCCAGTAAATAACTGGCACGAAATATGGAACTAACCTAACTTTAACCTAACCTAACTTTACCTAACCTAACTTTAACTTAACCTAACCTAACCAATTTTGAAATATTAAATATGACTGATCCACATTTTTTTTTTCACTTAACCATAATTTTTTTATCAGCATTTTCTAATTACAGATTTGTAGTGTTAATAAAAAAGTATGAGTTGTACATTTTGTGTATATAATTATTACTATAATTAAAACATGAAAATAAGGCATTAATTCTTAGTGTTCCATGTTTTGTGCCAGTTGTTCACTGGCAATGGGGGGGCAGTTGTCCTGACACCAATAGCATGGCAGGTGTTACAGCATAAATCTCTTTCCAGTTTGATAATTAGCCAGATTGTGTTTAAAAATTGAGGCAAATAAGTGAAAATAGGAAAGAACAAATTTGAAGTAACAAGTGTCATCTGCTTTTGTGTGTATGGTGTAATATCAGTAAATGAGAACATTAATAAAGTACAGCAAATAATTTGTTGCTTCCTCGCCATAACACATATACAGTAATGTGTGACTAATATCAAATAAATTCTTATTTTATTTCTACTATTTTTATTTGAAATTATTCAGTTTATGTTCTAAAATGTAAGATAACTTGTCAGACACATCAGTACAAGGAAGAGAGATGGATGTGTGTGACTGGTGGTGACACAACAGAGGTTATTTCCTGGCTCATGCAGTATAACATCTTGGCTTATCATTTTGTATTCTGTAATTATTTTTCAAGTGTTATAATTACAGTAATTTATTTTAATAAAGTATGCCAGTTGTAATTAAAAAATATATACAGTACAGTGTGTGTGTTTATATATATATATATATATATATATATATATATATATATATATATATATATATATATATATATATATATATATATATATATATATATATATATATATATATATATATACTATGCAGTACTATACTGTATATAATACAGAATACTGTATACACAACAAACAGAATGGAAATACTGTAGATATTTTTCATTAACATCAATAGCATACTGTATAAAGCAAACATCTTCTTTTATTTATGCTATAAGATAAGTTTCCAGAAAAAATAAACAGTAGTGTTAGAATATTTTTTGGCATTAAGATACTGTAGACCAATATTGATATATCATAAAAGGAGCCCTTAATTAAATAAATTTTGTCTGCTCTTAAATTAAAATTACTACAGGTATAACTATCCATCATTTTTATATTTACATGGGTTATATTAAAGATCCCCTTAATATTGGGTTTATATCTGAATAAACTACTACTGTATTGTAAATGATATCACAATTTACGAGAACATTACAGAATTTCAAAGGCACTTACTGCTGTTTTCACAATTTCATACTTTTTAAATAGAACTTTTGGGGAAATGCCCCTGTACTTGACTGCTGTGTACCCACCAAACACCAATTTCAAATGTAAGTTATGATTTAATTTGTTAGATGTTATATCACCACGTCACTAGAACCCCACTGTAGGAGAAAATAAAGTAAAGAAATACAAGATCACCGTATATTTCAACCTTTCTTTATTTTCTCTTCTTGTGGGATTTCAGAGTTATAATGTGGTAATGTACAGGTATTACAAATCTTCTTCAGGTGTTTTAGACTACAGTGTAGTTATATTCTGTACTGTAATCCCCTGACACATAGATGATTCTCTCAGGCCTTGGATTCTGATTGTGAGTGGAACCAGAAGAACAAACATCGGCCAGCTGAATTTACTGGAGATGTCATCTATGCAGAATCTACCTCACAGTTTGTAAGTCTTCGTGTTTTATTGTGCACTGTACTCCATTTAATAGGTTGTGTGTTTTTAGTCACTCACGCCAGACTAAGAATATTATCCTTAGAGCTGCTGGATATATTTCACATTTGAATTGTGTAGTTTTTTCACACATCATTTTAACTTTTGTTCTTCATGAGATCCTTCATCTTGCTGATCAATAGTCAGTGGTTTATCTAAGTGATGTAGCATTAAAGTTCAGTATCATTTTATAACCTTTAAGTTCATATAATGCTTAAAATTGAGCTCTTATGTTATGTTTTAATGATACAGGAATCATATGGATGGCTGATGGACCTCATCAATATTTTTGGCAATCGTGGAGGCCTTGAACTCGTCGCAGGTCACTTTTCCTCTGGAGAAGAACTTGACGCAGGTCAGATGGCTGCCTTGCTTCTTCCTCTAGGGCAGTGTGCTAAGTTCTTGATCATGGAAGTGACTTGTCCTATCCTTCTACCAGCCGTTACTCTGGCTCTTCAATATGTGGCCACTCTGGAGGAGAAGCAACTGAAGGGTCAAGTAAGTTCTTTCAATAGAAAACTATTTACATAGTAAATGTTGTTTTACTTATGTAAAATTACAGTATTTTTTTAGTGCAAATTCATCTTACTGGTACTTAAATATATATTTTGGTAATTGATACAGTACTTTGAAATATTTGGTTTAATTTTTGTTGTTGACTTTATTGATGTTCCATGTGTTTTATAACACCTCCAGATTTTTAGGGGTTCATAATGTTATGTTGATAATTATTTAATCTTTTCAGAAAATAGGCTCCTGTTATGAATTGTTAGAAGCTGTACGACTCCTCTGTGTATCTCTGTGGCCTGAAAAGGTTCAGCGGACGAGTGATCTGAGATTGGAAATGATCATTCGCATGCTAAAAACACCTCATTTTTCGGCACGCATGAATGCGTTAAAGGTTAGGATTTTTTACTGTGTATCAGAAGTTGTTTGGTGGGTGTGCCTTGGCCACTTTTGAAGTCGTTACTACTGAAAAAGATAAGAGGCTGCCTTGTGTTAAATTTTATTTCTTTTCTCTGGCAACATTCACTGAAAGGTCAGAATTTTGAGGTCCTAAACTTCTACCCAAGCCAAGGTACAATGCTGTGATATACATGCAAGGTCCTGTTTGTATTATTCATTCAAGACTTAAAATTACATGTAAAGTACAGCTTAGGGATTAACCTTAAATCATCATCATCGTTTTATGGTAATTTTTCACGCTCTTGTGGATTAACCACAGCTACTTGCTGGTAGCTGTCCATGCCGCATGGTCTCTTGCAGTGTCTCTTGTCAGGTTCTTAACTCTAATTAACCATAAATTACCTGTACTGTATTAACCTTTAACAAACCTCGTAAATTAGCTCATTCACTGCAGCTGGTTAATTTTATGGCCTACCCCTGTGTGGCAGTAGTAATATCTCCGTTAGCCGAATTCCTCGAACCCGGAACTCTCCGATAGCTGGAATTGAAATTTTCTCGGAAAAATTTTCCTAAAGCCATAATTTTCCGGAAAATTCCGACTTTGGGAACGATTTTCCAAGGGGCACATTTGCCGGAAAAATCAGAGAAATTTTTCCCGATACCCATAAAATTCTGGGGATGGGGGATTTTTTCCGCATTTGAGAGATGAAAATGAGGCACGTTTTCTGGAAATTCCAATAAATTTTTTCCGTTACCCTGAAAATTCCAGGGATGAAGGATTTTTTCCCGGGTTCAAGAGATGATGTAATGGGCAATTTCTGGAATTTCCAAAAAAAATTTCCATTACCCGGAAATTCCAGGGATGAAGGATATTTTTCCGTGTTTGAGAGAGTCGTCTCGTTACCCAGAAATCTCTCATTCCCGGAAGTACTCTGCACCAATTGTTCTGGCTAACAGAGATATCACTGTATTTACAAAAGAAATTGTATTAAGTATATTTAGTAATGAAAAAGAATAGGGTACAGTACTCTCCTGATGGTGACAATGTAGATCTCAGGTGGATCAATCTGTCTTCTCACTATCAACATAATGTTCTTTGAAGGTTATGCAACTCTCTGCACTGCCAAACACATAATATAGTAAAAGGATTTCCTGCTTTTACTCGTAATTATCTTGTGAAAGTTTATTACAGCTGCTCCCCGACTTACGACAGGGTTAGGGACCGACATCAAGGTCATAAGTCGGAAATGCTTAAATAACACATAGAAAATTTGGGTCTCTTTTTCTTCTCAGCACCACAAAACACTCACTTTTAAGCTTGCCAGCCATTTTAAAGTGAATTACAGATGAAAATTTTGTCTGTGTACTGACTTTGGGACTCAAAAATACATAATTTGACCACATTTTGGTACGACTGAGGCGGTCGTAAGTGCGGGTGGACGTAAGTCGAGTAGGTCGTAAGTCTGGGACTACCTGTAAAAGCTTTATATGAATAACTGTTTTTACATGTTTTGAAAATATTCATGTGAAAAGTAATAGATAAAATACAGAACTTATAATTTACTTTAAGCACTTGAACACAGTAATTGTACTGTGTTCAGGATGGCATGGTGGCAGCCTGCAGTTGTTGTACTCTGCTCTCAGCCACGATCAAACACACTTGGCTCATACACACATACAGTTTGAAAAAAATGCCAGTATCTTATGGTAACATTACAAAATTTACCAGTTAAGCTTTCTATCGCTAATATTTGTTCACCAAACTCCTGCTCATATACTGTACATTATTCAGAGAGACCACGTACGTACCAGCTGCAGTGAATGGGTTAAAGATAAATACAGTATTAGGTTTATATCGAGTGTTTTTGCCTGTTGCTGTGTTACTTTTGTCTCACCTTTAACATTTGTCTAACACCATTCTACCCTAACATTTCATTCCTTTCATGAGAGTTTTTAAATTTTTGATATGGTAATACTGCAGATAGTTAAGGAATTCCTTATCTTTTTATACTGTTACAATATTTTTATAGCTTATACATCCAACCTTTACCTTAGAAGAGAAAAAATTTTCTCCGGCGTTGTTTGAAGGCACTTGCGGTCCATCTTATCCTGTTTATCTTAGCTTCTTGTTGTTACCTGATTTTTTTTGGAGCTTTACATGACTTTTTTAGAAATGTTCCCCATATTCTTGTTGGTGACATTCATCCATTGTTCACTGATTATTGCTTGTCTTTTCTCTTCCTATCCATTGTATTGTTTTTACTTCAGTTTTATGATTTGTAACACATAACAATATGTAATTCTTTAAAATAATTATCCCATCTTTAAATGATTGAATGTTTATATAATGAAAATGTTTTCTTCAACTTATATTATTCTTGTATGTGATTATCATATGGTTTTAGGACAAATGCCCCTCATGGAACAATTGCCTGTACAGTACTGAATAGAAAGGAGAAATTAACACTAAGAATTTATGTAATGTCTTATTTATAATGCAAGGTGTACTGTGCTGTAGCCATATATCTCAACATAATGCAGCTATATAAAACTTACTTATCCAACATTCAGAGGAAGTATTGTTAATAAATGAATTGACTGTCAAGATGAAGCAAACTACTTGTACTAAGTAAGGGAAAATTATTGGGTATCACATTACTAAGTTGTCTTACATTATTTGTTGTGGAGATGGACCCCAAAGTGGAACACATTTATTACAACAGTAAGAATGAATGACATCAACTGGAGGAAGACTGTATGTTGTGTTTATTTGTTTTAGAATCCAGCTGCCTTACAGTATGGCAGGGAAAAAAGGGGGGTTAGGAAGTGTGGAGAAGAATTTATTGACTTTCAATTTATTAATTACTAGCAAATTGATGATTACATGTAATAAATAATGTGGGTAGTTGGCTGTCCTAAAAAAATATGGAAATTTGATTTGTGTCCATATTGCTGTAATGGAATTATAATTAACTGTTGACATTAGCATTGCAAGATATATTACAGATACTTAAGTTGTTTAAAGAGTATGTCAGTTCTTATTGCCAGACAATTTTACTATAATGAAGTGTATATCTTTACTAGTGAGTTTGTGTACCATTGATCAATACAGTAGTTGGAAACATAAAAGTTTTTCTTGATTTGCTCTGTAATTATGTTGATTACACAGGAGCTGGCCAGACTTATTGAAGATAGTGAAAGGCGTCGAGGCAATGTCATTGATGCAGATATCATACAAGAATGGATGACAAGCAAACGTGTGCTCTCACTTGCACTAGAAGGTGGGTGTATTATCAAGAAACTGTATGAAAGGAATAAAAGAGGAATAATCATTTTTTCTTTGCATATCTTAAATGAAGATACATGTGTAAAGAGGCTGCTTCTTTTCTTTAAGGTAACATCGACCAAGTCCAGTATACAGATCGCATGAAGGAGCTTGTGGAATTTATGGGACCGAAGTTGCAAGAAGAGGAACTGTCTCGCATCTGGTACATGGCAGAGAAGGCCAGTCCTCACGTGGTTGACAACATTCATCGAATAATGGCAGCTGCTGCCACACGTTTCAGTCCTCATCAATTTGATCATCTCTTAAGTCTAATCAGAAAGGTATTTAGCTTCTTTGACGTGGCAAACTAAGCTTTTTTAGTGGTGTACTCTTTTTCCATATTTTAGTTATCAAAACTCTTGAGTCAGATAATTGATGTGAAATGTGGATGTATTCAGGAATAGTCTCTTAAAAGTTCCTATGAGAAATTGTGTGATTTTTCTCTGGGATGGGGGGGATATTGTGAAGATTGGGAGTCTCCACTTATTTCACATGATGATTAAACACTAATTCTACCTGGGAGGGTTAGATTGTGTTTGGTTTAGTTAGCATTAGGGTGTTTAATCAACAGGTGAAAGAAGCAGTGTTTCTTAAGCCCTGGGTTAGGGTGCTGGTGGCAGTACCCCTCACCCAAGGGTAAATCGAGAAAAATCAATTTTTCCAAAAAAAATTAACCCTTTTATATGATAAAGCAATAAAAAGTAAACATGAAGAACTATATATTGACCCTCTAGAAACATTCGTGATCGCGCAGAGGGAGGGAGGGAAGAGGGGGGAAGATAAGGAGACAGTGTTGGTTTGACAGCTGACGCTCGTGGTCCCTACACACTTAGCAGCTATTTTTAGCTCGCCTTTGTGTCCGAGGTGGCCAATAATGTATGTATTTACTGATCTTAATACTTATTTGCTATAAATAATTCATTTAGAATATTTTATTTGCATAATTTTTCATAAAAAAGTGCTTGGCAACACTCACCAGTCGGTCGCCAGTCTGCCTGGCTGTCTTTGTGTTTGGTAGAGCAAGTAATACATAAAGTAATAATAATTTCACAAATAAATACATTTATAACATAATCATAACACTGTTTTACAGTAATACTACCCTACAATACAACTACAGTGGTCTCTCGGTTAACGAACGGTTCGATTAACGAAATTTCGGTTATCGAATTACCTCCCATAATGATCTTCAATTCAGTTTATAAACAAAACTTCAATTAACAAAATCCTTAAGACAAACACGTTTTGTTGTGAGCATCAGCTGTTGGGCTAGTCTGCCAATTCAGTAATGTGTTCTATGTTTACATTCGTTTCCGGTGGAATAAATATCAAGAAAGTTGTGCTCTTTAATATTTTTGCATTTTTTTATATGAAAATTATTAGTCATTTTAAAATTTAGTTAACAAATTGATAATATATGCAGTACAGGGAACTAGTTTTTTGTGCGCCCATCAGCCACTTGACTCATCCACCAGGCGTCAGTTTGGCTTTGTTTATAGTGGAGTAAACATCGATTTTGTTGGTGTCTTGAATATTTTTGCATTTTTACATTAAAATTATTGGTCATTCTGAAACTTAATTAACATATTGATAATATATAGTGCAGTGCAGTGTTGATTTAAATAAAGTAATATTAAATTACAACTTAAAATTTTATTGGTGAAATTACTGCATCAAGCATGGGGTCCCCTGAAAAGTGATTTCTCCTCCATCCCCACTTCCTTCACTTCTCCCGTCTCCTCCACCCCCACTTCTAATTCCCATCATCATCATCAACCAGGAACCTTCTACTTACACACCTCAAAGTAAGTGTACTTTACTGCATTTTTTTTTTTTTTTACTTTGTATGTACTTTTCTGTGAGCTGGAACCAATTACCCAATATCCCATTGAAACATTGAATTCGGTTAATGAAATTTTGGGTTAACGAACGACTCTGTGGAACGAATTGTGTGCGTTAACCGAGGGACCACTGTACACTACTTTTAGCAATAATGTATTACTTTGATACAACATGATAAAATGGACAAACAATGAAAATGAAACAAACAAAAGTAGGTAATTATGTTCAGGAAGCTTTCCTGTGGCCGAGTGAATGGTGTGAGAGACAGATAGTCACACTGGAACCTGATAACCAACACTGGGCATTTAAACAGTGGCGGGAATAGGCGCGCGTTCTTGGAACGTCACCCGGGGCCTAAGGGTTAATCTGTATGAGCTCCAACCTTGGTACAAGATTGGCTTTCTGTTCGTTCACATTATGTCTTATACCAATTTTTTACTCTCTTCGTGGCCATATGCTAGTTTAACATTGGCATAGCATGACAAGATTCTGAGGTAATAATTTTTAAGATGTTCTTAAACCAAATTCATTATAATTTATTTACTGTATTGCTTTTGTGAAAATTTGAAACAAAGCTTAACCATCTAAGCTGCAGGATTAGCATTGTGATGTTGGAAGTATAAATTCAGGTGCAGATTTGAGATTCTTCAGTACTGTTAGTATGTATTTTAGATGTTAAATTTATTTTGAAATGTTTGGTGAGAAAGTTGCTACCTCTTAAAACAAAGAAATAAAATTATTTACACAAAGAAACCTTAACCATACAATGTTTTTCCAGAGTTGGGATGATGGAAATGATCGTCTACGTGAAAAACTCCTATCTTTTATCGGGAAAATTGGCCAAGATTCCCGCTTAGGTCGAACTGCAGAGAAAATGTTGGATGCCCTTTGGGCACTTGCCCGTGTTCCTGCCTTACCACCAAGACTAGTGCATCAGGCAATGAATGAACACTTAACCATCCTCAATGAATCTGCTACTAGGGACCAGGTACTTTTGTTTATAATTATTAAGCATCAGTTTCTCATCATTAAACATGTGTTTTAGCACATCTGTATTATCATTGTCCAATTAACTTTATTTTTAGCTAAGTAGCCTCAAACAGTTAAGTGTATGGGTCCACTCATAGTACTTTCACCTCCACAATTAAACTTCAGAGGGTCTCACAAAACTGTCAGTCAATGAAAATTATTTGGAGTGTATCCTAATGTTGTTTTATACTTCAATAAACTCAGTTCAGGATATATTAACATGTAATTACTATTATTATTTTTACAGAAGTGTACAAGGAGAAAATCCAGTCATAAACAAACCCCTGACCTTTCTCTTATGAGGCAAATACTGCCATCTCAACTACAGATCACTCAGAAATGTAAAACATAACTTTTTGCTTTTTGTTTTTCCAGCTCCGTAAGTCATATATTGTTCGTTGTGTGGAAGACATCAAGAGAAGCCCTGCTGTTTACCTGCCACTCAAACAGTTGCATTATTTGGCCCAGTCAATCACAAAAGGAGGGGCATCCTACTTTAAAACAGAGAAGGTATGTAGAGGGTTTTACTTCAATGTGTGTATCAGAAAATATCAGTGTTGACTTTTTTCTTAAAACTCCAGTGACTTAAATATGCTCACATACATTAAAATATGTTTCAGGCAACCCTGTCTGAACTGAATCGCAGCCATGAAATCGTTAAGCTTATTACACTGAGTCTTGGGAAATGTCATGCTTTAGCAGTGTCCACCTGTGGTAACCAACAACCTCCTCCATCTACACTCATTGATGGCAAATACACTCATGATGATGTAAGTACAGTACTGTTGTAGATCAACATGTTGTATCTTGTAATCAACAAAGTTTTTTTTTTGCATGTTCTGCAATTGGAAGAATATAAACAATGCACACCACTTGTCCATTTGTGCACCCTGTATCATCGGAAAAATTCAAATAAAACAACTCAAATTTGTATATAAATAAGGTGGTCCACTGTGTGCTAAATTCATGAGTGTCATTCAGAGGTCAGGGTCATGGACACGGTTCAAGACATAACCAGTACCATCACAGAGAGGCAGCCAGCTTAACCAAGCTTGTGTGATCTTAAAGTATAAGAAAGAAAATGCTTGAACTGCATCAAAGGACAGATTTCTGCATACTTACCTGCTTTTACTAATAAATTTTCATCATTTCAGTACCTGAGGGTTCACCTAGAGTTTCTTCAGTTTTTGCTAAAGGAGGGCGATATTTATCTAGCTTGGCCACGGTGTAAGGACATCTGGGACACACTAGTCGCAAACTCCAAAGCTTCTGGTTATGATAAGGAGGTCAGTTCCTTTATTTTCATAAATTATCTACTATTAAGATTAAATAAATCTTATACTGTATTTTAATCTTGTTGTACAGTATGGTAATATAGTTATAACAAAATTACAGTATATATACTCATGTGGAATGATATTGTGAAGTTTGTAAGTGAACTGTAACTGAAATTTTTTTTTAAATTTGTGCATTATAGGTAGGCATTCCAACTGCCCAAAAAAAAACTCACTAGAATTGCACATTTACACAGATTAAGAAAATAACATTGCAATAAAGATACAGAAGATGTGATATTATATAGCTGCATCATCGTCATTTTATATAGAATTATGAGTTTGGGAAGAAGACAACGGGTTTACATGCCAGTAGTGTGTGTGTGTTGCATGCGTACATATATGTGTGTTAATAGATATGGGAACAGGTCAAAGGTAAAGGATCAAGCAATGATCATTGTGAAGAGAGGATGTCATGATAGAGGAATTCTTAGAAAGCAAGATCAACAGTTTTATATATAAAGTCTTAATCTTCTAATGTGTAAATATGTTTTTGATCTCTCTCTCTCTCCTAGACTTGCTTTGCATGGTTTAGTGGATGTCGCGGTGACCTAGAAAGCAGCACTCAGCGTGACCTGTTTTGTGAGAAGCTTCTCCGCCTCGACCCGGTCACCATGACACGTGCTGCTTTCACTTGCTTTGTGGATTATTTTCATGCAGTGAACCTTAATGACCATAAACTTATTCGGAATGGAAATGTAATTGTGAGTATCACATTTTTATAGAGCTGTTAAGCTGAGAGGCAGTTAGTTGAGTTTTCTTTTACAAGGAAAAACTTGTATTTATAGAACAGTAGGGTCTCGGAGTATGCATATTCATAGTACGTAACCTCTCTTTTACACTTCTGACTTCCCTGAACCACACTCATGCCTGACTCTTGTTCTTATGCGAGCCAACCCACTCAGCATCTCTCGCGAGCCAACCCACCCACCATATGTCTCTAGCTCAGTGTGTTTATCATTTGTCCGTGCTCATTTGAAAAAAATTAATAAAATTACAATACTCTAATGTGGTTTACAAATAAAGAAAATACTGTATAATGTAAAATTATAAATTAGGAAAAGTGAAGAGCATGGGGGTGTATGTGGGAAGTGAACATTTATGCGTGGAGGCAGTGGGATATAACTGCATAGCCAACACACCATTCCAGCCACACTCCCTCTGTTTCCCAATGTGAGACCGCTGAGTGACTGAGCGGCTGAACTGTCCCATCACTCAGAGGATGGTTTAAGTGTGGAAGGAGCTACAGTAGCCTTTGTTCATAAATAATCTATGCTATACCAGTAATATATATATAATAGTTATAAATAAAACAAAATAAAAATACTGCATTGCCATCCAGCAATTGTTTCACTACACACTGGGTAGAGGAGAAAGCAAACAGCTGAGATGCCTCACTCCACAGCTCCGCTCCCCGCTGCTCCTCTCTGCATGCTAACTCCAGTGCACAAAGAAATGTTTATTCCTTTTATGTTTTTGACCTTATGATAATTTTTTTTTTACGCTGTATAATTGTATGTGTTTGTAATAGAGTAAAAACATTTGAATATGCTTATCCCTTTATATTTTTGACCTAACGAGAATTATTTGTTTATTTTTGTTTTTACATTCTGTATGGAAGATTGTGTTTGCATGTAACACTAAGAAAATAAATGAATAAAAAATACATAAATCTACCCAAAATTACAGGTTGAAAAATGACCATAACGTAACTCTCCCACTGATTCTGTAAACATCTCCCAGGCATTCATGGGGAGTAAAGCTTTTCTCTTCTGGTGAATTTTACTGTAATCATGAGCTCTAGGAGGAAAATTAGTGGCAGTTATTGTGGTGGTGAGAGTGAGAAAAATAAAAAATTGCATACTGTGAGAACTTATTAAGAAGTGCCATATTGAACTCTGAAATTGTGTGTCAGTTACCTTAGTATGAAAAGGAGGTTATACTTAATGTATATATACAGGGGGATCCAAATATATGTAAATTTGCACTTAAATGTGGATCCCAGAAACGTAACCCTTGTGTACTCTGAGACCCATTGTATTGTTAAATAAGAAGTTCTTGGTACATAGTACTGTAGTTTATTAATGTATGTGCTGTCACTAGAAATAGAATATCTTGATATAGAACGTTAGAGTAGCCATAATTATCAAAAGTAATGTAATACTGTACTTAGAAGTGTTTACAAATATATTAAGCACTGTATCTAATCATAGATTTTCATTTCTCTTTTATGTTCTTTAAGTTGTGTTTAAAATCCTGGGTATGTGGTAAATGATACTCCCTAGGGGACTCATTCAAAGACAACATTTGAATATGTCTTGTGTTGATAGATTGATGGCGTATGAGTATTAATACAGTATGTCAATGATTGATGTTGTGTTTGATCAACTTTCAGGTTGTAGATAAACTTGAACCCCTTGGAATGGAGTTTATATGGCAGCTTGTTCTAGAGTGTCAAGAGGAGCAACTTGCAGAAGAAGCTATGAAGCTTTTATTAGACATGTCATACATGTCTCTCTCTGCTCGGCTTAGACGCGACCCCCCACAGCTTCATGCCAAATTCATCTCTGAATGTTACAGAAAGTTAGAGGTAAGTTATGGTAGTATGAATGTTGCTGTAGCTAACATTTATATGCTCTGTTTCCCACCAATAGTCCAATGATATACAGTCCTGTAGTAGGTTGAACCATAATCTTTCATATTTTGTGTTTGTTATCCGATTATCTTGTTTTGGTTAACTTGTTTATAATCTTGTGCAGAGCTGTTTAACCTAGTTCTTTGTAGCATTTTAAAAAAATATTAACATTCAATATATGTGGCTTTCTTTTAGAAATCTATGCTGCGTGTAAATGAAACTGCAGTTGGTGCTGCTGTCTCCACAGCCACGAAAACATTAACAGCTATGGCAGTCTCAGACCTTGGAGGACTTCCCACCACATCTAGGTAAAAACTCCATTTAAATCTATCTGTTGAATTATATCTCTCACATAGAATGATGATTTGCATATGTTGTCTTCCTTATGTTCCTGTTTTTGTATGTCACACTCATAACATATTGTTTTGAAAAGTCAATGGATTTACATTAAATTTCCTATTGTCTCCTCAGTTTTGTACTTGATAAAATTGTTGTGCTCATCATGTGTGTATCTGTTCTGTCATTCTGGAATTAATTTCTTCAGTTTCATTTGGTATCTCATTTTTGGACCACTTATTTCATTTGTTCATCCGATAGTTGAAAATTACTGTTCATCTAAAATTGTGAATATTTTTGGCACCCAGAAATAGTTGCATCCAGCACATTCGTCGAGTGTTGGTGTTGGCAGAGCGCTATGTTAGCAGCATTGAGGAGCAACATCCTGCCCCAAGGTCTCTCCCTCCACATGGTGCCTCTTTCACTGGCATGCCGGTGATCCTCCACGTTTCCTGTGATTCAAACAAGATGGATATGAATTTTGAGGTTGGTGCTCAGAGTTGTTTACAAATATGGTCTCAAGATGATTGGCATCTAGCACCTTGAATTTGAGGTTTTGCACCCAAAATCATATTAAGAATGGAAAGTCAATGATTGATAGACACTCAAGAGTGAGACACAAGGCTGGTGAAGCCTCAAATAAATTTGCTATCATCATATTGGAATGATTTGGAACTATTTATGTCTCATCACTCTCCTCTCCCCTCCTCTTGTCCACCATGGCCCCTCACCCCCACACCTACAATGCCACAGTACTTTCTACAACACAAGTCCACCAGATATTAAGATATTTAGATTTAAATCTTAACACAACACATTGGTAACTGGAGAGTATAATTGATTTTAGACCTGTAGTATACTGTACAGTCACAGCAGGCTTCTGTAAGGTACAGTACACTCTCTAAACAGTCCCTGTATTCATATTATCAAAGGAAATTAAAACTGAAAAAAAAAATTGTTTGCTTATAGCCTTATACAGATGTAATTGAATATATCTGATACAGTAATTTTATTTTTATTTTACCTGTACTGTATATTTAAAGTTCTCCATAACATTTATGTGGGAAGTATTGTAAGAAAAATATATTTAAGTTCTCCATAAACATTAATGTATTCCCACAGTGCCACAGCAATGAGCGCCTTGGTTTAGTTCGTGGAAAAATTGCCAATTACGCCCGTGTGCCATTAGACCAAGTGCAGACTCTTTCATTTGGGGAAATTGGTGGTGGAATTCTGGTGAATGGTGGGGAGCAAGATAACCGTCTCCTGCACCAGTTAGGTGTCACCACAAATACATCTCTTGCAGCTAAGATCAATATATCTAGTGCTGCTCAGCTCAAAGAGGTAAGTCTATAACACTAAATTTTCCTTTTTTTTTAGAGAATTTATATACAGGGTACATCTTTTATATGACGAAATACTAGAATCATATTTAGCAGAACAAGAATTGTTGGAGTACTGTACTGAAAAACATATGAAAGGTATAAAAGAAATTAAAAGAAAATTTAAAGCTAAAAAATGAGGATGAAATTTTAGGTGGTTTGGATGAGTAGAAAATGCAAAGGGATTCACTTAGTTATAATCAATGTGATAATTGTTTATGGAATTTTGAAATTGAAAAGATTTACTGTTAAGTGGTGGGGCAAATATATGAGGGATAGGTTAGTCAACATGTTCAGTATCAGAAGGAAGCTTAAGATTTGCTTTTTAAATGCATTTTCAGGTTGGTGATACTTGGGATGAATTACCAGGTACTGCCAGTTATTGTGATACAGGTGAAGAAGGCAGCTCTGATGGTGCTGGGGGCTCTGGGGCAGCAAGTGGAGCATCTGCTGGACCCTCTAGATTAGGGGTGAGATCATTTTCAGCAGCAGTAGGTGATGGGCATGGCAGTCAGTACAACTTGGACCAAGAGAAGCAGTTACCAGGTGTAGTCATGGCCAGCCAGGGTCGTGATGTCTTTTCAATGCTGTACCAGCTGGCTCAACTAGAAGAGTCTAGGTATGCACAAATAGTGTTGCTTTAATGTTCTTGGTATAGTATATGTATCCCTCATGTAGTGTTAGTTCACTTAACATTAATTCGCTTTAGCAATAACAAAAATTTATGCCTTTTCTTACTTAACGTTAGGTCGAAATTTGTTTAGAAATGGCTTGACTCACTGAGAAGGGGAAACTAGGATGAGGTGTCCTGTGAGATGGTATGTTGCTATTGTTTCATGTAGTGAAACTATAATACTTGTGGAAAAATCATTACAATACTCTAATGTGGCTTACAAATAAAGAAAATATAAGATAAAACTAAATGGGGGGATCTTGTTATACGAGAATTCGATGATACAAGGTTAAGGAATTTGCACCTTATATTCACTATACGAGCGATATTGTTCAATGATACAAGAAGCGAGTATAGGGACCACTGGGGTTAACTATACTACAGACTATTTCCTGTGAAAAAGCAATATATTACTGTACTCACTTTGTGCTCAAATGTACTCCACTAAAGGACTAACATTTTTATCTCTAGTGCAAACTATGTGGTGTCTATACTCAAATTACAGTATTCGTTATCTTGCAAGGATTCCAGCAATGCAAGTTATATTCTGCTAGGTTTAGTCTGATATTTTATAAGATAAAAACTTAAAGCCTAAAATTACCTTCACCCTGGCTGGGAGGAGGTGAGGCATTGATAACCAGGCTGCGAAGGTTACCATGTTGTTTACTTATCAGTCAAATAGTGGGAGTTTAAGTTTTTCACTTATAAAATGTCACTGAATTGACTTGGACAGTTATTTCTTTTACCTTTTTCACAATAAGTATTGAGGATGGTGTGTACATATAAATGAGTAAATATAAATGAAGAAAGTTGCGTATATCTACTCGAAAACACGGTTCAAAAACAACCATAACACCTCACAGCTTGGCTCAGTAACCTGTGGTTGCTGTGACAAGCCTAACTTGGCTACAGTGCTGCTCAGTTTACCCAGCTGAGTAGGCGGAACAAGCAGTGACATGGTCTGTGACTTCTCTTGTGAGCGACTCGGCCAGGCCGCGCACCCCTCCCCTACTTCCCTACCATCCTCCCCCCAGCCACCCTCTCCCTTCTCGCAGTGTTTGAATCTGCTATCCCAATTTGTCCGCTCGTACTGAATCGCATTTATTTACTCTCGTCTCTATGCTCGGTGCTCGGGAACGCATCCCTATTTAACCCATGTATTATTCCCTCCGTTATATGAGTTTTGCTATACGAGCAGACTCCAAGGAACGTATCTGGTCGTATCATAGAGATTTTACTGTATAAAAGAAGAAAAATGAAGAGATTGGGTGTGTATGTGTGAGAAGTTCATATATGTGTGGCAGCAGTGAGCTGTAACTGGGTTGCCGACTAGGAGTGCCCCGGATGAGGAATCCAGCCAGATAATAGCAAATATCCAGTATCTTGCTGGATGCCTCTCTTATCCAGCCGGATGCTTCTCCTTTCCTGCCAGGTAACTGGATAATAGCTAGAAATGGTCTGTTTACTAGCTGGGAAGATGGGGGGAAGGGAGGGAGGTCAGGTGATACTTTTGACAGTTGATGCCAAGGTCTAGTGCTTGTTTATTTATCTGTCCTTAAGAGTGACTTAAGTTTTTCTCTTATAAATTGTCACTGAACTGACATGGGAGAATATAATTAACATTGCTGGAATTTTTTTAAGATAGTGATTAATTTGAATATAAACATGCTATAGCTCGCATTAGACATACAAATTTTAGTTCTAATTTAAGAATTTTATTACAGAGAGCAAAAACGTTTATCTCTTGTGCAAAATATATGATGTTTATATTCAAATTATTCGCTGTCTTGCAAGTATTCCAGCAAGATAAATTATATTCTCCTAACTTTAGTCTGTGACATTATATAAGATAAAAACTTTAAGCCTAAAACACCAAACCCTGGCTGGGAAGATGGAGGGGGAGGGAGGGAGGGATGGGAGGGAAGTGACAGTGACATGTTTGACATTTGGCACCAAAGGTCTAGTGAAGTATTTATTTTTTTATTTATTTCCTTTAGCTTGAGTTTGTTTTTTGCTTATAAAATGTCACAGAAGTGACCAGGGAGAATATAATTTACATTGCCGGAATTCTTATAAGATAGTGATTAATTTGAATATAACCATGCTATAGTTTGCACTAGACAAAAATTTTAGTAATCATTTAGTACATTATTTTGAGTACATGTACAGTACAGCTTTGCCCTTAGGACAGTGTCGTGTGCCCAGAGAAACATTAGGTGCAAAATTTTAAATATGGTGCGTCAGATTGACTCATGCAAAAATAGGAAAGATTCGCTTTAAATTAAAACATTGTCCTTAATTGTGGGTGTCGCTTTAATTCAATAATCTTAAATTGAATCACTTTAAATCAGCGTTCTACTGTATATGAAAATTAGTTAATTACCAGTCGCTATTTCATGCTAACATAAATTTTACAAAATGGATAGAACACAACATGGTGCTTTTAATTATGTAGCTAAGACTAGTAGGATTAAAGCCATTTCATATGATGATTGAATTGGTACAAAGTACTGTATAGATTTATACTAAATTGTAAAAAAAAATATATTTAAAATTTAATTAACTAAGCAAAACTTGGTGAAGTAAGGCTGTATGTAATTGGATTGTTATTGGTAGATCTATTTTCAGCTGTATCACTGTTAGCAGTGTTAGGATAAATATTAAACAATCCAAAGATAGCATTTATATAATAATAAACTATTCAGTGTTATTTAAGATCATGATAAATTTCCAAATATTTGTATAATTAAGAAAATTATAGAAATGAATTGGCAATGCAACTAAATCCAGGGCTACCACTAGATTCTCACATAAAATTTCAAGAGTACACGTTCTACATTTAATCTTGAGTGTTTGATAAAGGAATTATATGTCAATGCAATGTGAGCATTACATAATATAATTTGACATAAGTTAGAGGGCAGACACGGTAATTGGAGAACACTTATGAAAATGCTCAGATTTGTGGAAAAACAAACTCCTGAGACACAGATTTGCAAGGACAGCCGGTAGCACTGTGCATTGTAGGATTTATTTGGGGGTCCTAAATACGAGGTTCAATTAACCAGAAAATCTCGTTGTCCTGCCCCTCTCAATCCCCATAGGTGCCAGATAACTAGGATTATACTGTATTATGCAATAAAGATTCATCCTGCATTGCCCAGATATCTGTGGGTCTGACTAGAATATTTTTTGTAAACATGGTAAGTCTTCTAGTGTTAATTTTGTTGATAAAGCTTCGTAAGTGTTCTTCCTAAAATCTCTTAAGAAAAATGTAATGGAACAGTCGGTGACTTCTTGCAGTACCTTCAGAATGATTAGAGCATTGAAAATATCAGTCATTTTGAAATAATGTTTTTTTATGTTCATCTGTGGATAAATATTAACACTGACTATATTTTATGTGTAATCTGTTCTAATTCATAACATATGGGGTTGCTTATGAGAAGTTAATAGTGTGGTATTAGACATGGCAGACTATTTTATGTTTGTAAGCACATGGTAGCTGGCTGATTTTAGAACCAATTAATGTATATCAGACTTAAAAGCAGTACTGTACTGTATGTAAGATTTTCCTTTGAAGATTTTTTTTTTTCTTTTTTTTTACTACGGGGATTAGCCCACGCGGCCACAGGTCACTGACCCACATCGAGGCCTGGGGGGCAAAAATGTAATAATAATGATAATAATTCATAGAAAGTAAAATTTATAATAAAAAATTTAAAATAATAATGATAATACAGTGGTCCCTCGGTTAACGAACACAATTCGTTCCAGAAGGTCGTTCGTTATCCGAAACCATTGTTTCGATGGGATTTTGGGTAATTGGTTCCAGATCACCGAAATTACATACAAACTAAAAATAAATGCAGTAAAGTACACTTACTTTGAGATGTGCATGTAGATGGGAATTAGAAGTGGGGGTGGAGGAGAAGGGAGAAGAGAAGGCAGTGGGGTGGAAGAGAAATCACCCCATGCTTCATGCTGCCATTTCACCCATAAAATTTTAAGTTCACTTGGTGTAATTCAAGATTATTTTCTTTAAATCAACATTGCACTGCACTATATATTGTCAATATGTAAAATAAATTTCAGATTGACCAATAATTGTTCTGTAAAAAAGTAAAAATAGAGTATGTTCAAGAGAGTCTCAAGCAAGATGCTTCCTCCACTGAGCAGAGACACAAACTGACGCCATTCTGGGTGAGTCAAGTGGCTGTTTGGCGCGCTAAAAACTAGTTCCCTGTACTTCAATTATGTTAAATAATTGTTAAAATGACTAAAAATTTTAATATAAGACTTGGATATTTACTCAAATGGTAACGAATTTAAGCCCTAAAACCGATTACTGTATTGATGGACTAATACTCCAGCTGGTGAGCAGGCGAAAACATGTTGACACGATTTCGTAAGGATTTCGTGAACCGAATTTTTGTTCGTTAATCGAGTTGAAGATTCTTATGGAAGGTAATTCGTTATTCGAAATTTCTTTAACCGAGGGATCACTGTAATAGTAATAAGAACTAATAATAATAGAGAACCATAAATACAAAAATTTAAAACAGATCAATAGCGAGAAACAATGCATGTATGTTGTGTTGTCAATACTAAGAAAAACAATTGAGACCCTGCAATTGTGTGTAAATGAGGCAGAAAGTCAGATAAGCAACCTGGGACTTGGTCACAATTTTCATGATGCCATATGGCAGCAGGGTCTACCATTAGACAACACATTATGCTTCTAATATCTTCCCAGGCAGTACTACCTCCCTGTTTGGTAGCTGCCTGTGGAATGTGTGAGAGGTAGTCGAGTTTAATGCTTGCAAAATATTTGTCTTCTTTATGACAAAATCCATTTCCTAGACCACTTTTCTCTGGACTGGACTAGTTTCAGTGATCATATGTTCACTTGGTATCTCTCACTCTGATTCTTTATTCCCTGAGTTTTTTATTGTCATTATTGAAATGTAGGCACGTCGTGAACTAACTCTCATCACCTCTTTTTGAACCAGGATTGTGGATGCTGTTCGACGCGTCCTTTACCTGGTGCCTACAGACCCAAACGTTGCTGACAAGTTTGATTCAATATGTAGCGCTGGAATTGCCACCTCTGATGCAAGCCCAAGGACCACACCATACGGCTCCCCTGCCAAGAGAGATAAGATCCGAGATAAAGAGAAAGATAGAGAAACTGGGAGAGAGGTTTTACGGCGTCTGCTTGATCTCAATGCTGCCGATATGACACCATTTAGACTTTTGTACAACATGGAGGTGAGTTTTACTTTTGTGTCTGTCCTTGTGCCTGAGGTCTTTTATTTTAAGCTCATTTACTGGAGTGTCATTATATTTCATTCTTTGTTCTTGAATGTGTTTTATCATTTCCCCTGCAATCAGATCTCTTTTTTTTCATTGACCCCTCATATATATTGTATACATTTGTGTATAGCAGGGGTACGCAACCTTTATATAATAGTCGGCAACTTATTGGCAAAAATATAATCAGCATTTGGCCACAGCTGTGCTCAGGCAAAATAAGTCAACACATTCCCCAGGATTGAATAACCAGTAAAAAATGCAGAACTATACTTTAATTTAAGAAGAATTCTGATAAACATCATTGAATTGCAGGCTAAATTTAGCTTTTAGTAAATTATTAATACGTACTGTATTCAGTACTGCATGGTTACAGTATAGAGTATAGCAGAACTGGAACTAGCAGCACTTACCTAATTTGCACCTAATTTGCTGATCTGTAAAAGAGAGGTAATAAAACTTTTATCAGTAATATAAAATTGTCTTTGAGCAAATACAAAGTAAATGATTCACATTTAAAATAAACAAATGCAGGGAAAAGACTTTACAATGTAATACACTACAGTACAGAAGCAAAAAAGCCTAATGTGATATTTTTCGAAATGCTAAAAAAAACTGTTTCAGCTGTTATTTTAAGGTAGCTTAAAGTTGGATTTTTCAATACAAAAAAGGGTTCACGTTTTAAATACAGATACAGGTAACCCCTGAGATACGATGGTGAAATATTGTAAATTGGGAGCCTTATAACATGGGGTTCAATGGGATGCATTCCCAGCCAGTCCCCCAAATACACGTGTATCGCTGACAAAATATTTCCTACAGCACTACTATTCGTACAAAACAATTAAATAATACTCACCACATCATATTATATAAGTCTAGTCATCATCACATGTCCCCTTCAAGGCTAAGAGGACTCTTGTAGGTGGAGTGAAGACGTCACTCTGACTCCCACACAGCCTGTGGGGAGTCTAATGCTGCTTAACAATATCAAGCTTCACCTCAGAGACACAGTTGTCTTGGATGTTTTGGCCTTCCCAGATATTTTCTAAGTTACACTGCTCATTTCACAGTTACAAAAACAGAGCAAAAGCACTTGTCACAAAATAGCGAACGATGATAACAAAAACAATGATAGCGGCCGACACTGCTCACATTTTCAAAATAACAGAGTCAACGCACCTTACAATCACAAAAATGCTGAAAATACCACTTCATGGTCATCATAACACAGTTCAATCTAAAGTTTAGTGCTGTCTTCTCACTGTAAAAGAAAAAGAAAACACATGACGATGGCTGGCTTACAATCAACTAAGAACCAGACAGAGGTAGAGATGTGTGATGCAGAGGGTTAAATATTGTTTCCTATTAAAATGTCACTTTACTTGACATAGAAAAATATAACTTGCATTGCTGGAATCCTTGTAAGATGGTGATTAATTTGAATACAGTATAAACAACCCATAGTTTGCACTAGAGAAAAAAAACATTCTGACCAATGGATTTCGATGGATATTGTTAAAGTGAGCTGTTTTGATCGTATATAGGGAGATGGTGTTAATTTATAACCGTCGTTAAAGTGAATTATCGCATCTCAGGATATTGTATCTCAAGGGTTACCTGTACACAGAACAATATTAAATCTAATGTTGGAGTTGAGCCTGGGTATGATTTGCAATTTCAGTAAAATATGGTTCAAATTTGGTAACACCAGCCTTTGTAGGTACAGTTATGTCTGGGTTAGCTAGAATAATTGGTGTAGAGCAGTTCCGGGATTTAGAGATTTCTGGGTATGGAGACGAATTTTCTCAGCCCCGGAAAAAATCACCAATCCTGGAATGGAAAGATTTATCCTGGAATTTCTCGGTATGTTACTGTACATGTATATAGTCAACCAAAGATACAACGACCCCACCCTTACTCAAGTACTCATAATTTTACCTGGCAATCCTTGATGATCCGTTTGGCGCTGATGCCATTATTGTGTCAGTTGAGTCTATTACATAGTGTCTGCCCTGTATCTTACGTCAAATTATATTACATAATACTTATATTGATGAAACACTCAAGATTAAATGTGGAATATGTATTCTTGAAATTTGATGTGGGAATATTGTGGCAGCCCTGGATGTAGTTGCATTGCCAATGCATTAAAATAATTTACTTTATTATTTAAGCAACTATACGAACATTTGGAAACTTGTCATGATCTTAAATAACGATGAATAGTTTTTTATTAATAAAATGCTTCCTTTGGATTGTTTGATATTTATCCTGACAGTGAAACAGCCAAAAATGGTTCCACCAAACACAATCACCATTACATACAGCCTTACTTCACCAAGTATTGCCAGGTAAAATTGCAGGTATGATAGCCAGGGTGGGATCGATACATCTTGAGTTGACTGTACATTATAAAAGCTGCCATGCATTTTCTTGTCTCTTCAAACTTTGGATTCCTGTCCCACACCCTACTTGCCATCCACAATCTACTTTCTTATTCTTTCTCAAGCAGTATGATATTGAAATTTCCCATTATATTTTAGTAATACAGTATTTCCACATGTTAGACTGCTTTTTTTTTTTTTACTATACCACAACCATCCATCCATTAATTCCCTATTTGCTGCACTGCTTATATAATATATAATTTCAAAATAATTTCTTCTTGGGTTATTCTGCAGGTCCTTTCAGGGAAGATAATGCCAGTATCAGTAGAGGGCAGTATGAACAGTAATGCTCATTTCTGTGAAGAATTCCTCATGTGTGGTGGTCTCAGCCTCATCACAGCATTGCTACAGAAGGACTCACTCCCTCAGGAAGTGGATTATGAGATACGCCAAAGTGTTTACTTAATAACTCTGCAAATTTTAAGGTAAGGAGTCGGTTTAATAAGCTGGAAGTTCTGATATAAGACAGAATTTTCAATCTCCTGAAGTTATACTGTACAGTACTGTATTTTCCTGTTCCCGGCATTTGTATTTGAATATCATTAAATGGAATCAGTTGCAACTGGTGAACTGAGGGAGAATAATACTGAAAATACGGGATATTTATTGTAGCCATTTAATTACAATGAAGTTCAGAAGGTTTAGAAGAATTTATTTTTTGTAGAAAACAAATCTTCTTCAGCTTGACTAGTAAAGAATCTCCTTTAGCACTTTCTTGTGCCTACAAACTTAGAAAGGTGCAAGGCTACAGATGTAGGGTCAAGGTAGAAGCCAGTTCCCTATTTAGTTTTATATTATATTTTTGTTATCTTGCACTTATTATTTTCTCACACAGATATTTACTGTGTGGGTCAACACCAAGAGGACAAGAGGTTCCTGTCATCGGTCAACAGCCTCACCCGGGTCCACCAAAACGTTCAGCTCTCGACTCATCAGCTCAAGCCAGTCCTCCCCCTATATCATTTTCTTCTCTTACACCCATTATTGCTAATAGGGTCATACTGGTAGGTGCAAACACATGACCTCTCACACTATGCTCTATAATTACAAATTACAGGGAGTCCTCATTGTTCATATGGGTTCCATTTCTACAAGTCCATACGTATAATAATTACATGACTAATGCAGCAATTTCCCCCAAAATAAATAATAATAATAATAATCGATGTAATCTGAGGTTAGGTTCAGAAGCTGGTCGAGCTAAGTTCTATTTTTTTGGTTAATCAGAAATAAAAATCACATACAGTACTGTAATAATACTGTACAGCAATAAACACCGTAAATAAAAATTATAATCATATTAATATGTACCTTACAGTAATAAATAGAAGTTACTGTTAAACGATTACAGTACAGGTACTCATTATTTACAGGTCACAGGCTAAGTAACGGACTGCTTATGCTTTCCACGGCACAGAAATACATGTACACTGAGGCAGTGTCTGCTAGCAAACCACTTCCCAGCACTGCCTCAAATAAGACACCTTGAGTGTGAAGAGCTGCAGCAGGAAGCAGTTGTTTAGACTCAAGAGAGTAATAAGTTTTTAAAAGTGTTTTGAAGTAATGGAATTAGTGTTTAAGCAGGAAAAAATGGTGTCTAATTAATTGTTACTCTACTGCATTCCTAATTGGTTGGTACCTTCTGTACAGCTGTGCCATATCGTCATAGCCTTTAGTGTAAGAACATTGAATATGTCTTTAATGTTTCATTTCTTAGAGAAGCATTACATTTTCTATACTATGTTTCATTAAATAAATCTTAAATGGTTTAATAAATATATATCAAACAAAGACAGTTGATCAGCTGATGAAAACACTGTTATCACAGTAAGTCATGTGCTTGCACATATTTCAAATTACAATACTGTACAGTACATACAGTAAACCCTTGTTATTCACGGTTTTGACTATTCGCAGTAAGCAGTTGGTGGAGCCTCTGCAGGAGCACTGTGAGTCATCCCCAACCTCCACAGCATCTCCTCACCCTTGTTTATGCTAAACCATTGTCTGCGCCACAGCATCTCTTGTGCTATGCTCAAAACTTGGTGTTTTTGTGCAAAATGGTCCCTAAAAACTGCCTAGTGCTAGTAATGCTAGTGCAGTGAAACATAAAAGGCAAAAGTCTGTGATGACCCTTACTAAGAAAGTTCAATTATTAGACAAGTTAAATGAATTAATGAACGCAGCCGCTGTTGGCTGTTAGTTTGGTTTGAACGAATCCATGATGTGGTACATTAAGAAGAAAGAGCAAGTGATTCATGACTGTTGCAGCGAGTGTGCCTACAAGTGCTAAAGTGGCGCAGACTGTTAGTGATTAGAACATAGTGAAAACAGAAAAGGCGTTGAAAATTTGGGTTGAGGAAATGTACTGCAAAAATGTGCAAATCGACAACAATGTGATTTGTGACAAGTGCAAGTCTCTATACCCATTTTCACAAATCAGCGGGTAGTGAGGGGACTAGTGCAGCTACTGAACAAACTTTTAATGCCAGTAAAGGGTGGTTAGAGAATTTTAAGAAAATATTCTCGTTCCATAATGTGAATCAGACCTGGGAGGCCACATCAGCTGACCACATACAAATGTAAGTAGCATGGCTGACTTAAGTTTCTCATACAGTAGTGCACTATGGAAGTATAAATTGCTATTCGCAGTTTTGACTATTCGTGCCATTCCTTGGAACTTAACCCCTGTGAATAAGAAAGGTTTACTGTATTGATAATTAATATTTTATTGTCTCCCACAAATTGTCAAAGTTGAGAATCCGAAATACATTACAGGTATCCGCCCACGTTACAGAAACTCGGGTTGCGGAAATTCGCCCATATGGAATTTGTAAATTATTACCACTAAATTCAGAATACAGCTCGTAGATTTGACTTTACAGAAAAGGGGTAAATGTTAAAAAATTTCATCACAAAAATCATGATATAGAAAAAAAATCACAAATTATAATTTATTTGGTGGGGATTTCTTGGTGCTTGCTACCACCAAGCATGGGTACGCTGACTCAGTGTGTTATCTCCCAACGTGTACACTTTATCTTTTGACCCCAGCTCTTGGATTTAACACTTATATACATATACAGTATTATTCAAGACTATCCAGTGTATTGCCTTATTCAAGTTCAAGTGAAAGCAGCACAGTAGTGATAAAAGAGTTTGATGCAGTAGAAACACTTTGCCAAATTGCAAAACATTTGGGCTTGCTATGTCTACAGTGGGTACGATACCTGATAATAGACAAAATTAGGTCATATGCTCAAGCAGCTACTCCTTTAACTGTGCAACTTCTGAAGTAAAAACCTTTTCAGGCTAGTAAAGGCTGGTTTGATAGGTTTAAGAAGCTCCTTAATTTGCACAGCAATAAGATGATCGGTGAAGCTGCCAGTGCTGATACAGAAGCCACACATAGATATCCTGACTTGCTGAAGAAAAATGTTGATGAAGGAGGCCACACACAAGAACAAGTGCACAACATGGACGAAACTGGACTTTATTGGAAGCACATGCCTACTAGGACATTTATTTCTGAGGAAGAAAAGTCAGCATTAGGTTTTAAAGCTTCAAAAGATCATCTAATGCTTCTTGTGGGAAGAAATGCTGCGGGTGATATGAAATTAAAGCCCCTATTCGTGTATCACTGGAAATCCAAAGGCTATCAAAGACTATGCCAAGCTTAATTTACGTAATTAGAACTGATTTGAGAGGATCCAGTATAAACACTTCTTATGCATTTTCATAAAAGTTCCCATCATTATATCATGTGCAAATATTTGGTTTGTGGATATTTTTTTAACATTCCTGTAGAGAATTTATTCAGGATACTTATGGTATCAAATTAATTATTCTAATGCAGTTAGAACACATGCTATGGATAAAAGTTTTTACACTTTTTTGGTTGATGTAAATATTTTCGCTAACGGCCTGGCACCCCCAAAAGTACTTTTATTTGACGGCCTGTATGAACGTATCATATACTGTATACTGTGTGTGTGTATATATATATATATATATTATTTAAAAAAAAATTAGATACCCTATTCTGGATTATCTTGGTAAAAATGGTGTTTCTAACTTAATTAGAACTGATTTTATAGTTTCTGGTATGAACATTTCTTATGGTTTTCATAAAAGATTTGAGTTACCATTTTATATTGTGTAGAAACATTTTGTTTATGGATCTTTTTTATCAATCTTGTAGATGATTTATTCAGGATCATTACGGTACAATATTAAATTCATCTTTCTACCACAATTAGAACAGATGATATGGATAAAAGTTACATACTTTTTGCTAGCCATAAATATTTCGCTTGTGGCTGCAGCCTGATATAACAGAGGAGTGTTTCTTATGGTATACATTATTACTGCACTACAATATGTCTGCTGATGAAAAATAAAGCACATAGTACACTCGCAACAAAAAGCATCGGTGCATACTGTAGTGTGAACAATTTGAGACCAGTGACGATAGGTATTGGGAAAGGCGAGTTGTTCCACCTGTATGTTGGCAGCCCTGGTTGTCAGCCATATGGCAACACCTAGTGGAGGGGGGGGGGTTATGAGGATACACTTGCCAACCTTCCCGACATATCACAGTGTATACGTATCGTTTCGGAACTCGTCGATCTCACCCTGCACCGATACTTTTTGGTGCGAGTGTACATATTAATAATAAAGTGCTGTCTGTACTTATTAATTACTAGCTCATCATGAGATGGTTGAGTCTTGAGGTGATGAGGCAGGAGGTGATTGTACGACACTCACAATATATACCACTGAAGGTGGAGCAGGGTTATGTTTTCACAGCTAATTTCATTGACTATATATATACTCTATGCTACTGTATTCATATTTCTTAGACACTCTTACTGTCTCCTCAGAGGCACCACAGTGGCAGCCCCCACCTACACCAACTTTTCCCCATACTAACTGGATTTGGGTTGTTTTCTGGGTTTGGGATACATGTGTCAGGTGTTGGACCCCAGTCCGATTTACTAGGGGTTCTGGATTAAGCGAGTCCGGGTTATAGTGAGTTTACTGTAGTGAATTTTTGGTGGTAAAAACTGCAATTCATATAAACAAATATATAAGAAGGTATAAGAATAATGTGGACTCTCTGTACTGTATATATAATCTCCTAATATATGTTAATTATATTATACATGCCAGTTCAGGAGTTCAAGTCATTGATTGTTTTGTCCTTTATTAATTTTATCCACTTGACTTAAAGAATGTAGGTTATGACAGTTACATAGTGAGAGAGAGAGAGAGAGAGTGTGTATGCATGTTTAAAATTATTTTTGAAGGCTCTCCTCTATAACTGCTAGTACGTTGTTGAATTATGATTTTTTCTTTACTTATTGTAATGAAAATTACTGCTTCTCCAAATACAGTATGGTGCTCATTGAATATGCGTCTCGGGGGTTTTGCTCCTTGAAAATGGTAATGCTCAATTTTGAGTTGATGGTAGTGAGTCTATTTATGTTTATTTACTATGCTGAACAGTTTTCAGACCTCTTTTGGAAAAGTTTTAGTGAACATGTAACACAATGTTCATTATCATCAATTTGCCTAAGCTATACATACTCTACAGGGATTTAGTGCAGAAGAATGGAGCGAGATGGTTTCAAACTTGATGAGGGTCTCATGGGCTGGTGCTGCAGGGAAACTGTACCTCTCATCAGCAACATTGACCATGCGTGACCCAACACTCTCCCCACCAGAAAACTGCAAGTCCTCCAGACAGAGCAGTACAGGTGGGAATTGTCTATATTCATGTTTAATCATTATCATATTGGGAAAAAGTTTGAAAGAATGAGAACTTTTTTATCCTTTTATTAATATTATACAAGATCTTCCTTTCATTTAAGTCTCTAAAATCCATTTACAGGTATCCCTCGTTTAGTGATCGGGATGCTTTTCTGAAAAACCGATCGCTAAGTGAAATGATCACTAAATGAGGGGAAAAGGAGAAATAATATCCTTAACAATAAAGAAAATACTGTGTTACTGTATACAGTACAGTAGAGTATTTTTAAGTAATAATAAGTACTTATAAATAATACAGTAATAAATAAATGTAACACTTACTGTACATTGCGAGGTGAGCTGATAATACTGTATGAAGATGATATTCCGAAAGTGTAAGGGTTACACTGGTATATGAAGTAAAAAACCCACATTGGAGAAATAAAAGACAAAATCTTGAAGCTGGTATACAAGGACTTCTTCAGCCAACTAACAGAACAAAGCAAGGGAAAATGACATAGAACAAAGGAATCAGGTTACATGACCTGTTTCCTGAGTTGAGGAAGGGTTGGGATTAGGGATAATCTTATTGAGGACAGTTTTCAGGATCTGGTCCGGGATTCACAGTCTTGTCTTACTTCTTATGTAACATAGAAAACTATAAAAGTCACAGAAATATAATTTCAAGGCTTTACAGTAATTTGACATAGAAATAAAGGAAATATAACATAAATATAATTTCAGTGCTTTAGTGTTATTTTGAAATAAATAACATAAAACAAAAAAATTTAAAATAGAAAATATGAAGACTGGGAGTGAAATGTGTGAGGGAGTGGTAGGAGGTAGGGCGGGTGGCTGGCTGAACTCACGGAAATTCCCCAACTCACAACCCCTTTTTAACAACAGTATGCAGTTTCACCATGATCCCCATATTATTTTGGTTCATTTGTTGCATGGTTAATAAAAATTCTTGTGAAATAATCAACTTTCCTGAGGAAAAAATAATCCCACACACTACCTTAGATGAGTTTACATCATGGGCGAACAGTTAGCCAGCTTTCCTGTCATCATATTGATTTAATGGTGTCACCCAGAGGATGATTATGAGAAGAGAAGCTGATTTATGTAATATATACAAATTCTCTTTGGTGTGTACTGTATTTTTTTATGTACAGGAATACTGTACCTTGCTATTCCCAACCTCTATGTTCACAACCCCGCTGATTTATAATTGGTATTTTAACACCCATATTTGATATTCACAAAGCATAATCCGCTTATTTGCAAAGTGAATTAGAAAAAATAATATCCATGGAGATGTCATGTAGCTATAAAATAAGAAAAATGAAGAGCATTGTGTGTGTGTAATAATAATAATAATAATAATTATTAACGGTTTATTGAAAAAGTTCTGCAGCCCGAAGGCTGAAAATATACATTGGACATAAATGACTTATTTCATACATTGGTGGTTTAACAAAAGCCTTCATTAGAGAAAGGTAAAGGAACATGCAGTGAACATACAGATTAATGAAGGTGTTGAACAGCAAACACGTAGTGTAGTAACTCTCTCCCAGATGGTGTTAGGAGGGACCTCGTGTGGTGTAGTAATTCCCTCAGATGGTGTTACGAGGGACCTGACGTGGTGTAGTAATTCCCGCACAGATGGTGTTATGAGGGACCACGTGGTGTAGTAATTCCCTCACAGATGGTGTTATGAGGGACCTCACGTGGTGTAGTAATTACCTCACAGATGGTGTTATGAGGGGCCTCACGTGGTGTAGTAACTCCCTCACGGATGGTGTTATGAGGGGCCCCACGTGGTGTAGTACCTCCCTCACAGATGGTGATATGAGGGACCTGACATGGTGTAGTAATTCCCTCACAGATGGTGTTATGAGGGACTTGTCGTGGTGTAGTAATTCCCTCACAGATGGTGTTATGAGGGACCCCACGTGGTGTAGTAATTCCCTCACAGATGGTGTTATGAGGGACCTCACGTGTGTAGTAATTCCCTCACATATGGTGATATGAGGGACTTGACGTGGTGTAGTAACTCCCTCACAGATGGTGTTATGAGGGGCCCGACGTGGTGTAGCAACTCCCTCACATATGGTGTTATGAGGGGCCTGACGTGGTGTAGTAATTTCCTCACAGATGGTGTTATATGAGTGAGGTGTGGTCCCAGGCCTTCCTATCGAAGACGGATTAACACATCGCTGGCTGTTGTTGGGTCTCACGGGCCGTTATCACTGGGTACCTGGGACCTCACTGTGTGAAGGTTAACTTGGGTACGACTGTTACTGTTGAGTTGTTCTCACTGACTTAAGCACTGTTCACCACTGTTCACTTCTGTTTCACACTGGTTCCGTTCATTTCCTAAATGAAATTGTAACTTCTGGCGAGAACTTGTTGATATTCCGGTGGGGAGGAGGGTTCAGGGAGGGAGTTGGGATGGGCCAACATAACAGTTGACCTGGCTGCTCCGAGAGGAGCGCCAGGTACGTCTTGACCCTTCGGTGGTCAAGGATGTGTGTGTGCTCGTGCGTGTACGTGCATATGCACTTACTTGGCAGGTTGCTAAGTTAGACTGTCCCTGTAGCTACATCCCCCTACCCGGCCAAGGTGTGTTTTTGTTATTATTCAACTCGTAATTTCGGGTAGATATACTGTATGTAATTTTCTTGAATCAATATTTTTTTTTTTACTCTTACATGTACACACAATTGTTCATACAGAATGTGCAAAAAAATAATAAAAGAAATGATTATCATAAGGGAATAAAAATTTATGTGCACAGAAGTTAGCATGCTGATCATGGGAGGAGGAGGGAGCAGCTTTGGTGATCTCAGCCACTCGAGTCACACGTGTCCTTCATGTAGTGAAATTATTGCCAACTGGCATTGCAGTATTTTTTCTTTCATTGTATTTATTACTATAATTTTTATTTCTTCCTCACACTTGCTGGCACTACAGTATACACACGACCCTGGTCCCTAATAGCCTCAGATAATGAGGCATACAGGGGGGTCGGGTCCCTGACTTACGAATGTCCGACTTACAAACACCCACCACTATGAACAAGATCCCATAGTTACTTCTTTTTTTTATATACAGGGAAGCCCACCCAGGCACATTATGCTTCCAATATCTTCTCAGGTGGTAGTACTTTGATAGCTGCCTAGTACTTTTACCTGATGACTCATTTTTTACTTTCATTTATTGTATTTTGTCATTCTATTTCTTTGCTCTTAAATTAAGTTATTTTAGAGGAGTATAAGGATTTAGGCTATGATATACAGTGTAGTGAGAGTTTAAACATTGGTCCAAAAGCACAGGGTATGTGTTTCTACTTAAGAATGTGTGCAGGAATGGAACTCATGCGTCACCAAGGGACTGCCTGTATACAGGTGCTTCGCTACTTACGAACGAGTTACGTTCCTGAGGCTTGTTTGTAAGTCCAACTTTACTCTTGTAGATACCAAACATATTGTAAAAAATGAAAAGATTATGGATATTTAGTTCAGCTATACCCTTTAATACAGCCTTAACCCTTAGGCCCCGGGTTAGGGTGCTGCTGGCAGTAACCCCCCCTCTCCACGTGGGGTTAAATCAAGGAAAAAATCTACTTCTCCAAAAATAATAATAATAAAAAGAAAATGGCGGGAAAATAGGCAGACGTTCTGGAACGTCACCCGGGGCCTAAGAGTTAAAACCTGGCTCACTTTTCTCCTCTTTTTTCTATTTGGAATTTTCTTCAAAATAATCCAGTTTCATCCACATTAAACACCTGTTCTGGCAGGTAACCCCCCTCAGCGATGATGTTTGTATCTTTGAAAGTTTGTAAGTTGAATGTACTTAAGTAGAGGAGCACCTGTATATAAAAAAATTTGTGGTGAAAGTTGCTGGTTGGGAGCGCATCCCCACTAATTACATTGATTCTTATGGGGAAATTTGCCCCAATATTCTCAAATTCGTTATTTGCAATGTCTTTTAGGAACACATCCTTTGCTATAACTGGGGTATTCTTGTATTATATATGATATTTAGTGTTAATTAAAGATAGTTTTGGCCACAGGAATCTAATTGATTATTTCCTTTTAAATCAATCTAACTATAATTCACGATTCGATAACTCATGATGTCTTCTGGTACCTAACCTGCAAATGTTCGTGATTCCACTGAAGTATACAGGTGGACATATGTTAATATTTGTCATAGGTGTAAACCGGCAGTAGTGGTGACCCTTGTCTCAATGGCATTTCAGGGTCACTGACATCAATTCCCATAAATCAAGTTTGTTTTCCTTGAGATACACGATTGGATCACAGTATGATAACCAGTCTTTGCACTGATCGCTTGAATGTTTTCCTGTTAGATCCCGGTGCACTGAGAGGGGAAAGGAAATGGGAGGGGGCAACATGCTGGCTGGCGAAGCCCACAGGAGAGTTGAGACGTGTGTGTGTGTGTGTGCATTTGCGTGCTTGCAGTGTGTATGAGTGGTGGATGTGTTATAATTTATTTCTAATAATGTATATATTCCTTTTTTATTTAATAGGTAGTGCCCACAGCTCAAGCAGTGACAGTGAAGGGGTGCTGCAGTGTGGTGTATGTGTACAGCAGACAACAATATCACCCACTGATTCTCTCATAGCCTCGCAAGCTCTCCATCTCCTTGTAGCCTGCCTAAGATTCCGTCCTCAGCTCATAGGTAATAAGACATTTTCTGTTTCAAGTGCAATCCTCATCATCATCATTGTCATCATTATCATCATCATCATCATCGTCATCCCCCATCATTCAGCATTATCAAGCATTCTATTTGTTCATACCATCTTATACTTTTTAGTCTTGTGTTTTTCCTAGGATTCAAATCACTTGTATTTCTCACATCCTTATTCTTTAGATTATCACTTGTTTTCATTCCTATAATACTTTATAAGTTATAAATTTCCACTGCACTCATGTGTTAACGACCTGTTCTTCTGCTTGATATAACAAAAGAACAGTTGTACTCATATTAGTTGATAACAAATTCTATCTTTTTGTCACTGAGATCTTAAACTGACATCATAATTATCAAGCAGTGAGAATGTTACCTTTTTTTTGTATGCATATAATTGCCCATGAACTTTGGCTTGACACCCCCCCCCCCTTTTTTTTTTACCAGATCGGTGGTATGGAATGGTAAATGTGAAAGATTTTATCGTGGAGGTTTTAGTTGGCTGCAGTAGTCAAGAAGTGCGAGAAGTTACCTACCAACAGTTCACCAACCTTATCAACATGTCCACACCATCGGAAGTTCATCCCAAACAATTTCTTACTCAGGTGTGTTTTATGTTCTGTACCAAAGTTCTGATCCTCAGGCCAGTGTTTGCTCTCAAGACCATGAAGCTCCAGTTTGAAATGTTTTAGCATTATGATATTTGAATGTTATAACTCAATCTTTGTCTTCTCCTTTTGGAAATATAGTTATCTATAGGCATTGTTCTTATTTAAGAAACCTATTTATCTACATCAGTTTTGCTTTGGACATTATTAGTTCAGTGATAAAATTTGAGGATGCTTGATGGAATACTGTATAAGGGAATCAATATCTAGAATATTATTGATCATGGTATTGTCAATTGAAAAAGTGTTAGCAGAGGTTTTGGAAGTTGTATACTGTACTGAATTTAGTGATTTAGAAATGGTCCATAATAGAATTAATTTAGATATGATTCTCTAAAATATAAGGAAATAGAATTCACGACTCGAACAGTGTTATAAATGTCAAGGTAATTAAGTAATTCTTTCAATGTGGCTGGTGAAGAAGTCCTTAGAAATAAGAATGAATAAAACTATGCAAAAGATATATGTTGGATGAATTCATATTGACAGTAAAAGAATAGACATGTCACTCTGCACACTAATACAGGTTCTATTATGGGCTATAATTTTTATCACTAATGATTCTTGGCAGAGTTATGGTCTCTTGTGTAATATGCTACAGTCAAGGAGCTGTATCATCTTCATGTAACTCTCTTTCTTTTTCAGGTGCTATTGAAAGCCCCTCTTCCCTTATGGGTGCCTTCCACTAGTGCTCGGGGTGCAACGCTCAAACTTCTATCACAGTGTACCCAATACTTCAGTCTCAGGTGAGTCATGCATTAAGGGTGTTTTGTCTTATACTGTATCAAGTTGTTTATGGCCAAAACAGTGTGTGTTTGTTAGTGTTAATCATCATTGTTTTATGACCATTTTCCACTCACCATTTCTCATTTAATGTACTGTATGTTAACAGGAAGCAATAGCAAATACAGACACACACCTTTTCATTTTTTCTTAATCATTCATTCATTCTTCGTGCCATAAAATAAATTTGCCAAAGACATGTGGAAAAGGCATGTAATTTAAAGACTAAATCAGAAGATATAGTAAGGGTAGTTCAGGGGTCATTTCTAGAAGTATTGTGTTCTTTGAATGGCCTCATCCCATTTGGGTCCACTTACTGTATGTCTTCCAGGTTAAAGCAACAAGGGATATCTAATGTAAGTCTGCCGAAACTCCTTATAAGGTCATAATTCAATAACTACGAATGATCAAGATCAACCCGACTGACTTTAGCTAAACAATAGGATTTCATGATGAGGCCTTCCTGTTGTATATACGTATCTATTTAAAATATTATACAGTACCTATGCATTTTGTTAATCAGCATATATATATATATATATATATATATATATATATATATATATATATATATATATATATATATATATATATATATATATATATATATATATATATATATATATATATATATACACACATACATACACTAAACTTTCTATTGAGATACATTTCCTCCTGTTAGGTCAAAGTTATTATCTGGACTTTGTGCCAAAGACCAGGAATTCCTTGGAATTAGTGCTCATCAAATGTTAGAAGATGAAACAGGATGGCTCACAAACTTCACAGCCACCCGAGAAGCTGCCCGAGAGAGACCAGAGTCTGGCATCTCATCTTTGCGCCATGCTGATAATGTCCTGTTGGCTGGCCATCTGACGCTTATTACAGCTTTATTGTCTTGTGAAGGCATTAACAAAGAAGAAACTGGTGAGTTTTTAGGACTATATTTCATCCTGTTTTTTGTTACAATAGAATGATTGTTTTTAATCTAAACCAGGGGTCACCAAACTACGGCCCGCGGGCTGGATCCCAAGTCCTTCCCCGGCTCGTGGTAGCTCAAAACTACGCTCTGACGTTACCAGAGCTTTCGTTCTGGCTTGCAAGTATTGAACAGAATGATTATGCGGCCCGCGCTCGTCATTCTTTCAGTTATCCGGCCGACTGTGAAAAAAGTTTGGTGACCCCTGATCTAAACACTGGCCAAAATATCACCATTTGTTTCAAGACACTGAAGTGAATAATCAGTTTTCAGCTCTCAGTTAGTTAGATTGATTAAAAGATTTTCAATTGCATTTTAGCAATAGAATAAAAATCAGACTTTTATATTGAGTTATAGGAAATTGAATCAGACATTCGTATTGTGTTAGTTATTTACCGGGTAAGTTTCCATTTTAGCCAAACACAGAATCAGATATGCACATTGCTAGTTATTCATGCATTATTAATTACTTACTTTACTCCCAAATTTAGTCATCTTTGAGACTTACATTTCTTTACATTTCTCCACTTTCATTGACAATTCCTCTCTACTGTCCATAGTTTGCTACATGTGATTCTTTTGTTTATATTCTACAAATATATTCCTTGACCCCTTAACAACTTTGGTGACAACTCAAGTCAACAGTGCAATCTACTTCTCCCATTCCCAACATCAGCTTCAGTACTGTAGTTATTCCTCACCATCACACACACTGTTATCCAATGTTTGTGCTTACTGTAGCAACTATCACACCAAGTGTTATGTTGTTTGTTGCAGGTGCTACACTTATTCCTCTACTTGTTTTTGAATACCTGTTCCCGGCCTCCAAGTTAGTGTTGGAGGGAGGATCAGAACAGGATTCACTAAGTGCCAGCAGAAATTACTGGGCCAAGTGCACTGGGAAGGAATCTCGGTTAGCAGCCTACCAGCTCCTGGTTCATCTGGTCACACAGTCACAACATCATCTTAAACAGCACTATCTTTGCTGGTCATCTCGTCTCTGACCTTCATCCTCCTTAAACCATGTACAGAATCATTAAAGGAATACAGTTCAGTTATCTTTAAAGTAAACTCAAGGCGAGGGTTATATGTAACCCCTACAATGTTTTCTTGAATGTGACAGTGTCCCAAAGTTAAAAATTTTTAATAGTTGAATAATAAAAGAGTTGCGTGATAGGTTGACCTGGGGTAGATTTTTTTTTTTTACTGTACAGTATATATATATATATATATATATATATATATATATATATATATATATATATATATATATATATATATATACACACACACACACAGTCTGCGCGGAATATTAAATCGCGATAGGGCCGACGAACTAAGTTCTCCCAAAAATAAGATCATATGTTGTGAAGGCTGTCCTGGGATGCGAGATGTCAAAACGCTTGGTTTGCTGGCAAGTGATGACATTTGGCAACTGAGAACACGTCACGGCTTGTAGTCAGTGCGCCTCTGGCAACTGTGAGGGGAAGATTTATTGTGCGGGTTCCCGCGCCATGTGGCCATGTTTTGTCTGGTTTAAGGCGCTTTAACCCGACATAGAGATGTCCAGGAGGGTTACTACAAGAGACGGTATTGCAGCAGTGATTGCATTGTACAAAGCGAGCCATGTACTGAGAGAAATTTCGGCTCAGACTGGTGTGGCATTACGAGTTGTTCAAAATCTTGTCAAACGTTTCCGTGACCTTGGAGAGGACGAGTTACCAGCTCCATTACCTAAGTCTGGTAGGCCTAAATTATTGTCTCCACGGGCACTTAAGGTTATTTCTCGACAAGTTCGGTCCAATCCCTCATTCACAGCACGTGAAGTGAATGAGAGAAATCCCCGTCTTTTGAGTCACGTCTCGTTGACGTTGTGCTACAACAAGTACCCTGCACGATGACCTCAGGGATGATGAAGAGCTTTCGTGCCCATGCACTGCTCAAACCTGCTGGGACTTTGAGACAAAGAGACATGTAAGTATGTACGATCTCACATTAGATGTATGTATATATAATTCATTTAGTCCATATAGCATGCAGACTTTCAACATATAATCAACGTTGTCATTTTTTGTCTATCAACATCCTAGTATGCACCAGCTGTAGATGGAAGGTGCAGCAGTGGCTACGTGGGTCTCAAGAACGGAGGGGCAACTTGTTACATGAACTCAGTCCTTCAGCACCTCTTCTTGGTTCCAGGAGTACCTGAGGACATTCTGGCTGTTTGTAGTGATGATGAGAATGAAGAAAGGTAAATTTGTAATGTTTGTGAATTATGTTTTATTTGTGTTACAGTATTTTCTCTCATAGAATTTAGTTATACACCTCAAAAGTGGATTCAACAAAATCCTGTTCTGCAAGTGGTGGGACTGTGACCCTCCAGGTTACCTCCACTTGGCTGTCAATTTGAGTAAGTCCAGAATGGGAAACTTTTATAAATTAATACTAATTTTCTTTTTAGATATTAGAAGCAGTAATTTATATTGCAGAAACCTCATATAAACTAGTGGTGAAACTACTTCAGCCTTTAGTACTAATTTGCTTGAAATGTAATGTGATAACCGGGTAGTCTTTTTGCAAAATTTTTTTGATGTGAAATTGTAAGGGATGAGTACATGAATCCTTCAGGTATTAATCATCCTTATGGCAGTGGGCTACACCTTCTCCAATGACTTATTTTAAAGATTACCATTAATTTCCTGAAAGTCTTGTTGGTTTGTTGTCAGTCTGGATCGTTTGTCCTGCCATCAAACGTACCAAGGACCTCAGGAAAAGGATAGACTAAGCAAAATAATATTTATTGATGCAGATCTTAGGTGTCTTATGTTTCTTATCCTTGGTCAACACTTCACTTTCATCTTTTCAGTCTGTTCTATCAGCTGCAGACAGTGTTTGGACATCTGATGGAATCTCAACTTCAGTATTATGTACCAGACAAATTTTGGAAGTGCTTTAGAATGGATGGACAGCCAGTTAATGTCAGGGAACAGCAAGGTCAGTCATCTTTCTATCTTTCTACTTTTTATTTGTTTGATTTATGTTTTACTCCTTTGAGAGTGGTATGCGTGCCATGCTAGACTTGATGCCTTTGCCCTAGTGTGTCATCTCATTCCCTGGTACAATTTATAGCCTAAAGGTACTATTTATTGCAGATCAAGTAAAATGGAATTGGCATAATTTTCTTCTTTGGGTACTTCTAAACCATTTAGGTAATACTGTATAGAACTAGGTGCTAATATGGTCATTATTCATAACTATCCCAAGCCATCTTTTAATCCAATGTAGTCTCTTCTATGGGGGTTTAAACCTACACCATTGGTTAACTACATGTTTTTTTTTTTTGTTTTTTTTGTTTTTTTTTTTAATGTCAAAGTATGTAGAGCTCCCAAACACAATGTTATTGTTCTGGATTCCAAGACTGAGAAGCAGGTTCAAATGTGTGACACAGCAAGGATTGTGGAGAGCATTAGTGTTTATTGTCGGCATGTAGCAAGCCAGTGGATCATATCTAGTCACCAGATTGCTTTAATTCTTCTTACTGGGGTGTTGCCTTCATGTGAAGAATGGTAGGTGATGTAAAGGTTCTTAGCATTTAGAAAGAATATTAGCAAAAATGTGAGTGAATTAGTTTTTACTCTTCACAGATATACATCACTTTAACAGTGTTTCTTTTCTAGATGCATTTGAATTTTATACAAGATTGACAGAACAAATTGATGACTATTTGAAGAGCCAACGGCAAGAGAGTGTATTTGCACAGCGATTTGAAGGGGTTTACTCCATCCAAAGAATATGCCAGGATTGTCCTCACAGGTTTGTTTGTTGCCATCAGATTTTTCAAAATTCATGGAAGAAAGTAGAAGAGATTTTAAATATTAGTTTTTTCTCCCCATCCAGAATTTAGTATTGCACAGTGAAAGTGGAAGTTAGATGAGAGCAAGTATGAGAGTGTGTGTGTGTGTGTGTGTGTGTGTGTGTGTGAAAGATTAATTCATCCTCATCCAATTTATTGGGGGTGTTCTGTATATGGATATTTATTGTGCAACTGTCTACTTGTTGGTTCATCTCAGATGAGTTTGTGTATTCATCCATTCATCCAATCACTCGGACCAAGTAGGTGTATCACCCTCAGATGACCTTTGTTTACTAAACTTATGCATGTTTACACCTTTGAATGAATCACTTATACTGGTACTCAAGTAATTCGTGGTCTTTTCATTAACTGACAGCATAGATGTTTTGAAATTTTAGTCATCGGTGTTTTTATTGAAAGAAATTTCTTGTTATTTTATTCATCACTCAGCTGAAAATGTGAAAGGCTTAATTTATTATATAGTGTGTCATATTTCAATTTCCAGATATGAAAGAGAGGAACCATTCTTTGCCCTGAACCTCACTGTCACAAAGTGCCATGATCTACAGGACTCCTTAGACCAGTTTGTTAAAGGGGAGCTCCTGGAGGGTGATAATGCCTATTACTGTGAGAAGTGCAGTGTAAAGGTAATTACTGTATACAGTATATATTGTAACTGCTTATTGAGTTATTTATTTTTTCTGAATGCAAATGTGCAGTTCAAGTAAGGTTCTTGTGTAGCAATATTTTGCTACTAGACTGTTGAAAATGAGTCTGGTATTTCAAGAGGAAAAGTAGTGGGATGTAAAAATATCAATGTATCTAGAGAGATGATAAGACAATATGAGTTTTTTATGAGATTTGTGGAGGAGGAAAAAATGGAAATCTGGTTAATATTGGCAAATGGAAATAATATTTAAAGGGCGCTAATGAATAGTGTGTGTTATGGAGGCAAGTTTTTGTACATGTAGGTATAAGTCAGAGTGAGGAGGAATTGTTTGTTCATAAGGGTGTTAGGGGTGAAGATGAATAATGTTATTTGCCATGTGCAAGGTAATTTGGAATAATGTTGAAATTACACTGTATGTATATTGATATACCAGGGAAAGTTAATACATGTACATGTTTTTTTTTTACATACAAAATGCCAGAGCTTATGCCATACCCCAGTGCTAAAGCCATTACATACTTTACTTAGCACTATCCTGGACAAATGCTCTGTACCTCTTATCTCCATCTCATGTGCTTCTCAAATGTTACTCAACCCAATATACCAGGTAGCTCTTATTGGCATTGACAAGTTCACCTTTTAATTTTTTTAATAAATTTTATTTCGGTAATTTCTTGTCTAATTGTCATGGAATAAAATATCTGTGTGCCTGTCTTTTTCTTCCCTTTGTCATTGACTTTGGATCAGCGACGGGTTGTGACATGCACCTGAATACAGTACAGTAAATATGTTTTCTGCCGACACCTTTTGTGCTATGTGTATGTTTCTTTACACTCATTTGTGCTTTTTAGTGACATTGGTACAGTACAGGTTGTAGCTCTCTAGTCCGGCAACCTCGGGACCTGACCTGTGCCGGACCATGGAAATTCACCCTTTTCCTGGATAGATAGTGACTTGTGCTTATGCCTGGAAGCACGAGCACCACTTTCTCTGCATCATGGTCTCTTTGAAGACATATTGAAGGGTTAAATGTCGTATAGTAGCTTCTCAAATTTCGCGAGTTTTTAATTCTTAACGTATTTTATTGGAACACAAAAAAATAAATAAATAAAAATTTTGACGGCGGAAACTTGAATTTCGACGGGTTTGAACGGCCCGCCAACGTGCAGACGACGTGCATAATCGTGTAAACAGCGTCATTTCTCTTATGTACAAAAGATTCATTATTGTTTATTACTGAATGTCTTTTTTATTGAATTAATGTTTATGTGTGCAAAATGAGCAATACAATTCATTAATAATACGTAGAATATTAAAACACACTAGGAAATGACACAGCATTGTATTCGTTGATTACAAAACCAGTGACTGACTGGTTCTACATATAAAACTGAAGAAAATAAGACCTTGGTTGTAGCTGTAGTAAAATTAATATGGTTGTTTTAAGTAATGTTATTTAATGTTAATAAATGGAACAATAGAAGTAGCTAACGATAATGGTAAAGAAAAGAGAGATCGCATATGTAAGTGCGCATGCGCACACGTGAAAACATATCATCATTACTTTACATAAGAATATGAAAGCAACACTTATTTACTGTTCATATATATTTTAATTAATGTTTCTGAATTTGTTTTTATTGAATTAATGTACGTGTGTGCAAAATTAACAATACAATTTATTAATAATACGTGGAATATTAGAGGAGACGAGACGGCTGCCGGCATTGTTTATGTTAAAGCTTACGAAACCAGTGACTGATTGGTTCTACATATAAAACTGAAGAAAATAAGACCCTGAGTTTAGCTGTAGTAAAATTAATGTAAAAAAATGAATATGGTTGCTTGAAGTACCTGTAATGTTATTTAATGTTAATAAATGGAACAATATAAGTAGCTAACCATTAATGGTAAAAAAATAAGTGAGACTGCTCATATGTAAGTGTGCACATGTGAAAATATATCGTCATTACTCTACATAAGAATATGAAAGCAACACTTATTTACTGCTCATATATATTGAAGGGTTAAATGTTGTACTCTGTATAGACAAGCAGAGAGAGAGCAGCCGAACTGCCGGATGTAAACAAACCTTAATTTCCTGTGGCTTTTTTTTTTAAGGGGATTAGCCCACCCGGGAATAGGTCACTGACCCACATTGGGGCCTGAGGGGCAAAAATTTAATACTCCTGTAATAATAATAATAATTCAGATAAGTAAAAAAAAAAAATAGCTGCCTATCTACTTATTGGACAAACTAAAATCGTTCCGGACCACGGGAGTTTACGGACCACAGAATGCCGGACTAGAGAGGTACAACCTGTACTTGTAGCTGATTTGTGCTAGTTAATTTTTTTATTATGCTCATCAGTTATGTAGGAATTCTTTTTTATCATACATTTTATATTACAATGTCATTTGATATATTTTCAGAGAACAGCCCTCATTAGAACCTGTGTCAAGACGCTACCTCCTGTGTTGGTTATACAGTTAAAGAGATTTGGTTATGACTGGGAAGCTTCTAGAGCACTCAAGTTTGACGACTACTTTAAAGTAAGTAACAACAAAGGTCATCTGTATTCAGGGAATTATCAATATAGAAATATTAGTACCCATATCCCACAATATGTGAACGTTTGAGATACAAAAATTTGCTTATAGAATTTCTTAAATTTCCACCTCTTTTTGGTGTTATGTAAACTTCCCCCGTTTATACAAATTTCGGTCCCAGGAAAAATTTAATCGCTTGCCCCCAGGAGTCAGATTGGGCGGCCACATCCCCCTAGCATTCTCCCTAACAGGCTGAGGTAGGAGTTTTGTTGTGGTTATTTTTCAATTTGTAATTTCGGTAATATTAACGTAACTTTCTCCATGTATTTTTCATTCAGTTACATGCACACACAATCCAACATACAGAATGTGTAAAAAAAAATAACTATCATAAGGCCAAAAACAAATGGAATAAACATTTCTTTGTGTGTGTGAACAGGGGAGAGAGTGTTGTTAAGGGTAGGCAGAAGCAGCTGGGCTGGTTGCTGTGGCAATGCTTGAGGGCAACCAGCATGAAGCAGCCAGTATCTATACAAATGGCACTGCTGGCGGCTGTGTAAAACTTTTATCTAGCTTTTCTTTAATAGTTTTGGCTGCATATTTTCATCTAGGTACTGTAGTATTGTACAGTACAGTGGTTCCTCGGTTAACGGACACAATTCGTTCCACAGAGTTGTTCGTTAACCGAATCTATTACTTCAATGGGATATTGGGTAATTGGTTCCAACTCAGAAAAAGTACATACAAAGTACTGTATACCAGTAATAGAATTAACAAAACATTAAATATAAACTAAATACAGTACTGTACAATAATAAATAAAAAACAATAGAATACAGCTGCTCCCCGACTTACGATGGGGTTAGGGACCCAAATCCAGGTCGTAAGTCGAAAATGCTTAAATAATACGTAGAAAATCTAAAATGGGTGTCTCTTTTTCTTCTCAGCACCACAAAACTTACTTTTAAGCTTGCCAGCCATTTTAAAGTGAATTACAAACAAAAATTTTGCCAGTACACAACGCAATCTCTGACGTTGGGACTCGAAAATACATAATTTGACAAAATTTTGGTATGACCGAGGCGGTTTATGTCCGGATGGTCGTAAGTCTGGGAGTAGCTGTACTGTATTTTAACTTACTTTGAGGTGTGTATGTCGTATTACCGGCAGCTTTTATATATATATATATATATATATATATATATATATATATATATATATATATATATATATATATATATATATATATATATATATATATATATATATATATATATATATATATATATATATATATATATATATATATATAGTATATATATAAGGGATTAGCCCACCCAGGCACAGATCACTGACCCACATCGGGCCTGGGGAAATAATAATAAATAATAATATTAATTATTATTATTATTATTATAATAAAGAACCATTAAGAAATACAAAATGACAAAAATTCAAAAGTGAGGAACAATATATGTATGTTGTGTTGTCAATAGTAAGAGAAACAATTGAGACCCTGCAATTGTGTGTAAATGAGGCAGAAAGTCAGATCAGCAACCTGAGACTTGGTCAACATTTTCGTGATGCCATATGGCAGCAGGGTCTACCGTTAGACAACACATTATGCTTCCAATATCTTCCCAGGCGGTAGTACCTCCCTGTTTGGTAGCTGCCTAATACCTACTACCTAGTATATCAAACAGATTGTAAAGGCAGTCGATGATGACATGCCATATTCTTTACAGAGTGCATTGGTTCTAATGCCTTCTTCATGTTTCATAATAATTTCTGCACTGTATATTATCAATAGGTTAACTAAATTTCAGATTGACCAGTAATTTTAATGTAAAAATGCAAAAAGATTCAAGACCAACAAAATTGATGTTCAATCCACTGTAAATAAAGTTAAACTGAGAAGCGTTGTTGGGTGATTCAATCAGCTGATGGGCACACAAAAACTGTTCCCTGTACTGTCTATATTATCAATATGTTAGCTAAATTTCAGAATGACCAATAATTTTAATATAGAAAATGCAGACATTTTCAAGAGACCAACTTTCTTGATAATTTACTTCACTGGAAACGAATGTAGACATAGAACCAATTACTGTATTGCCAGACTAGCCGATAAGCTGATGCACACAACAAAACGTGTTTGTCGTAAGGATTTCGTTAATCGAACTGAAAATCCTTATGGGAGCTAATTCGTTAATCGAACCTTTCATTACCCGAGGGACCACTGTATTAATGTTTTTAAAGTGTTGAACCTCCCTAATCCGGCACCCTTTGGACCTGACCAGTGCCGGACTATAGAATTTTCCGAACCACAGGTGGTCTTTGTAAAATACATACAGGTAGTATTATTCATGCGCCACTCTGGCGCATCATATTTAAAATTTTGCGCCTAATGTTTCTCTGGGCACGCTACACTGTCCTAAGGGCAAAGCTGTACTGTACATGTACTCAAAATAATGTACTAAATGATTACTAAAATTTTTGTCTAGTGCACACTATACCATGTTTATATTCAAATTAATTACTATCTTATAAGAATTCCATCAATGTAAATTATATTATCCCTGGTCACTTCTGCGACATTTTATAAGCAAAAAACTTAAACTCAATCTAAAGGAAATAAATAAACAAGTAAATACTTCACTAGACCTTTGGAGCCAACTGTTAAACATGCCACTGTCACTTCCCTCCCTCCCTCCCTCCCCCTCCATCTTCCCAGCCAGGGTTTGGTGTTTTAGGCTCAAAGTTTTTATCTTATATAATGTCACAGACTAAATTTACGAGAATATAATTTGTATTACTGGAATCCTTGCAAGACAGCGAATAATTTGAATATAAACGTCATATAATTTGCACAAGAGGAAAAAAAAAAAATTATGTCTAATGCGAGCTATAGCATGTTTATATTCAAATTAATCACTACATTATTTTATAAGAATTCCAGCAATGTTAATTATAATCTTCCATGTCAGTTTAGTGATATTTTATAAGAGAAAAACTTAAAAGTCACTCTTAAAGACAGATAAATAAATAAGCACTAGACTTTGTCATCAACTGTCAAACATTTCACCTCAACCCTCCCCCCCCCACATCGTCCCAGCCAGTAAACAGACCATTTTGCATCCCTTAATTTTATCTGTGTTGATTTATGAGTGTTTGTTTTAACTTAATACTACAAAAAACAATGTTTTGTTTTTTCTAGGAGAAGGGCTGAGGTGCATCTGGGTAGACTCAGTCTTTTTAGTCTTTTGTGTTTCTCAAGTACCAAACTAAATTATTCTATTTAAACAACACTTCCATTTAGTGGGAATTCGGTTTGAAGTAACCTCTCTTAGAACATATCTCCTGTTATATCCACGTTCTACTGTACAGTGTAATTGTAATAAACAAAAATAGTTAAACAATAATTCTCATTCTGCACTTAGAATGACAAAATAGTTACGGTAAATTGGTGATGTTCACCTGTAAAGAAGAAAAAATATCTGTACAGTAAATGAAATAATAACATAAATATGCTTAGGAGGCATATTAAGGGTAAATAACAAGTAAATATTACAGAAACACTTGAAATACCAAGGAATGCACCAAACTCCACGAGGACCAGATGTAAACAAAGGGTATTCTGAACCATGGATACTAGCGCTGGTGGGTACTAGCAGCCGTCCGGCAAACTAAAATTTTGCCGGACAATAGAGTAGCGGATTAGGGAGGTTCAACCTGTAGTAGTAAATTACAGTACTGTAGTTGTGTATTATTTATCATTAGTTAGGTAGGGTTTTTTCTTGTTTGCGAACCGATTTCGTGTTTTGGGGGTTATTTTGTCAATGGAGAACTGAACCGTATTTTACCATTTGTCGTTATTTGAGAGATGAAAATTCACTAAACGATTATTTATTTATATTTTTATATTTATATGGAGGGATACCTGAAATAAGTAATTGGCATGACTACTGCCATAATTTATCCCATTCTAACTACAGGTATCTTTCAACTCCTGAGAATGGCTTGTCACTTGCATATGACAGCAGTATTGTTCTCAGTACAGTGACCCCTCGGTTAACGAACTCAATCCGTTCCAGAAGGTCGTTCGTTAACCGAAAAGTTCGTTAACCGAAACCATTTTTTCAATGGGTTTTTGGGTAATTGGTTCCAGCTCACCGAAAATTTCCTAAATTCAACAAAAATGGTAGAAAAGTTCACTTACTTTGAGGTGTGTATGTAGAAGGCTCCTGGATGATGATGATGATGATGATGATGGTGATGGGAATTAGAATGGGGATGGAGGAGAAGGGAGAAGAGAAGGCATTGGGGTGGAAGAGAAGTCACCCAATGGCACCATTTCACCCATAAAATTTTAGTTCTCTTGGTGTAATTCAAGATTATTTTCTTTAAATCAACACTGCACTGCATTATATATTGTCAATATGTAAAATAAATTTCAAAATGACCAATAATTTGCTTGGAAACACAGAAAAAAGCGTTTAGTTGAAGAGAGTCTCAAGCAATATGTTACCTCCACTGAAAAGAGAGAGAAACTAACGCCTGTTTGTGTGTTAACAGGCTGGATGGCGCGCCAGAAGCTAGTTTCTTTACCTTCAATTATGTTCAATAATTGTTAAAATGACTAAAAAAATTTAATATTAAACTTTTAAAATTATTGAATAGTATAAACTTCTTGATATTTACTAAAATAGTAAGGAATTTAAGCCCTAAAACCGATTACTGTATTGGCGGACTAATACTACAGCTGGTGGACCGCCAAATGCAAGCGAAAACATGTTGAGGTCGGCTTGTAAAAAACTAGTTAATCGAGGGATTGCTCGTTAACCGAATTTAAGAATCTTATGGAAGGTAAATCGTTAACCAAGGGATCATTGTATTTTGATTTTGTATTTCCTTTCCCCATCTTTGTGTGTTTCTTACTTGTATTTTGACTCTTTCATTGTCCATACACAGTTCCCATGGGTTCTGGATATGAGTGCATACACAGCAGAAGGCCTGGCTGAGCAGGAAGAAGATCCTGGTGGCGGTAGTGATAGTGACCAAAGAGCTACTCCATCCCCTGATCCAAAAGATTCTCTACTTTCCCAAAAAGTGGTAAATACACAAGCTACCTGCAGCCCCCACACACCAGGCAGAAAGGCTGGTATAACCTCTCAACATGCTCCACGGTCAGTGTAAAGGGAAATTTTATATTTAATTTTTTTGCTAATGAATTGAGTACTTTTTAAAATATTTTATAGTAATAAGTTTTTAATTTTGTTTCATAAAAAAAAAAACTGACTTCTCGGGAGATTTATGTAGGTTTAAAATATTCACTGTACCGTAGTGTAAGGTTGCATTTGTTTAGTTCCCAATTGAAGGTAAGGAGTATTTGGTGTACAAATTGTCTTAACGTTGCAATTTAGTCACCTACTCTTCATGTTGCATAAAAAAAAATTTCATAAAAATATTTTTACTGTTGAGTTATTTCTGTACCCACTAGTATTTCTTCATTTACAGTATTCCTATGGTCTTGAAATAAATTTGGAAGTGTGTGTGAAGGGCTTTTAAGTATAAAAACCATGGAAGAAACTAAGGAAGTGCTATAACAATAAGAAACCTTGAATCTCTAGACAGTAGTACCTTGATACACTGGGCTAATTGCAGCAGACCCCAGTCTGGAAAATGCGAAAGTCCGGAAAAACAAATCTGTGGGGGGTGGGGAGGGGGGGGTGGAGATGATACTGTACTGCTTACCGGGTATTTGAATGGCTTAAAAAAATGAGTTGTTGTATTTTAATTACTGCACCTCAACAATTAGGTCTGGTTGTCGACAAGTGTTTTCATGGAATTTGCCTGAAGAATAAAAATAAAATTGTATACTGTACTGTACTATAAAGATAAAAATAAGAGTGTAAGGGTATATTGTGTTTGAGATACAAGAGTATATCTGGTAGCAGCAGGCGGGGGGTAGCACAAGTGGGTGGCTCCCACTCCCTCCCTCCCCCAGGGTCCCTGTGACACATCTTTATGCAATTTCACCATAATTTTCATGTTATTTAGGTTCATTTGGTGCCAGGTTGATAAAATATTATGGTAAAATAATCGACTTTCCCGAAGAAAGAATTCCACACTCAACCCTAGATGAGTCATTGCTTCGTATTAAATTCCTGATTATTTGTTTACAAAGTGCAAACATCTGATTGTCCTAGCTTCCTCACCAGTGCTCTTTATCTCTCATGCTTACCACAAAATCTGTCTTCAGCATTAAGTAAGTAGTATTGTAATGTATTCATCAACACTTAGTAAATATTATTGTAGTGTATTATGCATTTGCATATACCCTAGTTTATTCATTAATCAGTTGTCTAAGTGTACATGTAGTCAAATCAAATCACCATGTATCACTCAAAGGTAATAAATAATGTTGTTCGGAAGGATCTCCATATCAAATACTATACACTATTTTATGTTATACAGTATAGTGTTCCTGTTGTAATCTCTCCCTCCAGGAAGTGAATACTTTCTGAAACAGCTTATCCTTTTATTTTCAAGTCAAATTACAAATTATATGCAGTATTGTATTTGCTCTATTAATTATTGAACATGTTACATGAATCATGATAAATTACACACCGTAAGAGGCTGATCATACGAGAAAATAATATTGAATCACTAAATATACCTGACGAATGTTTACAGTCGCCGTGACATAGCTTTTGAACTTCATAGCTGTCATTAGGCCTACAGCATTAGACCACTGTACAGTATTCAGAAAGCAGGTGGTGTTCTTTTCATAAGATTTTTATTTATTTTTTAGTTTTACCCATTTCTTAAATTACATACTCTACATTATTTTACCCATTTCTTAAAACCTTCAAGTACTCTATCTGCATTAAAGACGGTATATACTCTACATAAAAAGTCACGTAAACTAGTGTAGGTAGCGAGGTGCGGCACACTGATACATGTGAAGGCAGGACTCAAATTGAGACATGTGCCATGCGACACCCACAGACGTTCAACCACACGTACTAACACACTAACTGTCTGGACTGATGCTGGATTTTTCGGACTTTTTAAAATATTTCTGATGAACATTGGGCTGTCCGAAAAAGGCAAAATCTGGTGTATAGAGGTTGTATTGTAATTAGAAGAAACCTTGAATCATTATAAGAATATTCATTACAGTACATTACTATCAAAGATGATTTTTATTCCATCAACAGAGGCTTGTTTGTTTAATCATGTGGTTCTGTTTTCTGGCGCTGTAATGAAAATACAATACTGTACTGTACAGTGTGAATACTTTAATATTCACTTTGTATACTGCATGCAAATTTAGGAACTGACCAAGAGTTTGTGTGTGGATATTACTACCTCTTGTTTCAACACTTTCCTGTCGCTCTCTACATGTGTCTTGTGTTACTCCCTATTATTTCCAGTATTCCTACCTCTCAGGTTTTTGTGACATAATTCACCTCACAAAAACTATTGAAAGAAGTGACGATACCCCAAAAAAATTTAATTTCTCTAATTGATCACATTTTTTGTTATACAGGATAAACACAAGAATAAGGCACAAAGGAGCCATCTATGAACTTGTTGGCGTTATTGTACACAGCGGACAAGCAAGTGCTGGACACTATTATTCCTACATTAAGGACCGCAGGTACTTAAGTGTTTGGGTTTTTTTTTTTTTTTAGAATTTATCTTTGTTAACACAGTACTGGAGTTTACCAGCCTCACAGGGATAATTGATTGGTTAATTGATTGTGATAATTACATCCCTGGCGACGCAACAGCTTTGGTCATATGTTGCCAAATTAAAATGCATTAGCAGTGGTGGTCAAGTACAAAAGAATCTACTTTGTACTCGATTGATTGACAAGAGTTGCAGTGTTTATGTCCCAGCAGTTAATTTTAAGGGGAAAAGGTCAGGAGTGTTACGTGACAATAACATCCAAAATGTGGCTCCTATGACTCAGGTGACAAGGAGATGAGTAAGAAATAGACGAGTGTATTATAAACCTAACTGGTGTGTGTATGTGTGTACCTGCATGTGTGTGTACCTATATGTGTGTGTGTACAGTATGTGTATAAGAACATAAGAATGGATGAAACTGCAGCAGGCCTATTGACCCATACTGGGCAGTCCTGTTTACACCCAACCTCTATCACTCATATATCCATCCAACCTATGTTTGAAGCTATCCAGCATATTTTAGTTAGTGATAATGTTTGGTAACTTGTTCCACTCATCCACTACTCTATTTCCAAACTAATGTTTACTTATCTCATGCCTAAATCTAAATTTGTCTAATTTGAAACCATTGCTACGATTTTGCTCCTGGTTGAATAGTTTGAGTACCTTTGTTTAGCCCTGACTTCCATTTATACACACTTGCATGTGTGTGTACATGTATGTGTGTATACCTGTATATGTGTTTACCTGTATGTGTGTAAATGTATGTGTCAAAATAGTTACTTGTCAGCTATTATGATGCTAAACTATGTTATGTAAACAGATAATTCTCTTCTGTTAGTGTTGGGTGCAATGTCACATTCAAATTTATTCCTTGTAAATAATGAGATATTACCTGCCTCGTCACTGTCAACTTTATAGCAACTTATACAGTGTTCAAAGGTTATACAATCATTACGGTAATTTTTATCAGTATCCATTTAGTCAAAGGATTTAACTATGTGTCTGCCATAAGTACTCAGTAAATTAATAACTGTAACAGTTACTGGTATGGACTACAATAGATTAGACCTAGAGTAAGTAGGACACCGTCTGATGAAATCCCAGCATATTTTTGTTGTACAGTACACTATAAGAGATTTTCAGTTGTGATATCTCACAGGTCAATCGTTTTATCCCCTCAACCATAAAATGACTCAACTTTATTTATTTTTATTCTAGGTAATAAAACTACAGGGGATTGTGTTTTAACCTCTACATTCCTCGAGTTAAATTATGGGCTCATTGCATTTTAGCGATTGTAATATAATTCATTTCCCTGATTTTCAGAGGAGACCCACTGACGAATCCCAACAAAGGTCAGTGGTTCAAGTTTAATGATACCAGCGTGGAACAGGTGGAGATGAATGATGCTCTTCTGGAACAAGAATGCTTTGGGGGAACATACAAAGCCAAAGTCTCTTATGATTCTTGTAAGTACAAATGATGTTTGTAACTCTTTCAATTTAGTGACATAAATACACATCAGGAAATTTTAACTTCAAATCATTAATATTTTTATATATGTTGATCACTAAACTGCAATTGGGAATTCTCTATGAAGTTTATATTTGGGGAGAACTTTGATAGAGATTTTGGGGATCATTTCTGTAGAGATATGATAAAGGTCTGACCTAAAAAATGAATTTATCCCACTGAGTCAATGATATACTGTATACCAAATCATTGAAATATGCAATGGGCTTGACTGCTGATATCTTATACTCTGCCATGAACTCCAGGGTTTCTACACAGCAATAAAAAAGTTGCCAAAGGATGAGTTTGTGATGTACAGTACGGTACTTCCTTACTGATTGGTAAGGAAGATTTGCAAGAACACAAACAGAGGTAGTTAACCTCATGTCCATTCAGTTTTATGTTGTAGATTTTTCCTCATTGTCCATCTAACTATTCATTTGCAGACATTATTGCATTTCTTTTATCCTACTTGCTTTCTTTCTTCTTCATTCTCTGTCTTCAAACCAGAAACCTACCCTAGTGTTACATTGTACTTTCTTAAGACAAGGAAACTCAGTCAGATCATGTATGTGTTGTGCAAGCTATTAACAATTGACTACTGTTACTGGATGACTCAAAGATTAACCACCCCAGCTTGTTTCACACCGTAATGTTACCCAGGAGGTTAAGTTACTTTAGGTCAGCATTTGGTTGATTAATTTTAAAGTGGAATAAGTTGGGAGGGGCTAATCTTCAGGTGACCCCTATTACTTACTGTATCATTTAAACATAAGGACTTTCTTGTGTGAAATAGCATGAACAACTCTCAGTTCCACTGTACACTTCATTCTTGAATTCTTAAACTTGCATTCAGGTAATTGACAACTTTGAGTTGCTCTCTTGTACTGTAGCTGTACTTCAGTAATCCCATTAACTGTTTTTTTCTTAAAATACTGGAGTATATGTAGTTCCCCTCTCTTTTAATGCTTGGTACAGTATATAACTAGTGATGTCATTATTCACAAACTTATATTACTTCCAATAATCTCCAAATGCCTCTCATCTTTTATCACAAGATTTTTCAACCATCATTATTGAAGATTAAATTTATAAAACACACTTTTTGTAAAATATTTTTTTTTGTTATGGTAGGTTAAAAATTTTTTTTTTTTTTTTAGCAAATCCTCTACCTGAAGATCGATTGAGATACTGGAATGGTTACATGCTTGTATATGACAGCATGGATGACCGTTTGGCCACCCCCAAAACCCCTAAAACTCCAAAGGTGGGGGTAATGTCCCGGTCCTTCAGAGCCTCTACCAGCAGGTGCGTCCTGTTCTTTGTTGCTGGAACAATATGTAACTCTTAACTGACTGTTGACACCTTGGTCTTATCCCCTCCTTTCAGAATAATTACAGTATCTCAGCCAGATAGATTATGTTTGATTAATTATCAGAGACTTGGTATTGTGCTTGAAACATTATTAAGTCCCTACTTTGATGAATTTTGTGTTGAAAAGAGTCATTGTGTTGTTATTAAAAGTTTATTATAGTTTCATCTAGGATAGAGTCTCGTGTGTATTCAATCTAGCCTATAAAAAATAATTGGGGAAAAAGTATTAAATTTTTGTCTTATGTGGTTACTTCAACCATTGAGTTTGTACAGTACTTGTACTAGTCACATATTTAGCTAATGATAACATTTGTACTGGAGAGTTGTGCAAGCACAGGGTCAAACCTGGAATATATGCAAACCGAGAGAATACTTCCATCATAGGATTTTGTATGGACTGTGAGTAAGAAAAGAATTTAATTGTGGGAAAATTAAATGTGTATCATGTTAATAACCCAAATGTGTATGATAAAGCTGGTGATATTAAATAGCTTGAATATTTAGCTTCTATATTTTTCCTTTTCTCTCTAATTTCCAGTGCAAGGAAAAGTTTGTCTCTTGGAAGTGGGAGCAGTGAGAGGAGAGCCCGAACTAGCTTATGCGAGTTAAGTCATCTACTGCAGCAGGGAGAAAAACAAGGAATGTTCCGTGAACAAATTCCTCCACGTATCCTGTCTGCCATCACACACGAAAACCTCACCTTTCTTAAGAATCGTGATATTTTCTCTCACGATTACTACTACTTTGTACAGCAACTGTGCTCAGCAAATTTGGTAAGAACTTTCTTGGTATAAATTATTTTTGGGGAGTGAATTAATACAGACACAGATTACAGATGGGTTTCTGTTCCTGAAGGCTATCCATAAGCCAAACGTGACCCTTGCACAGGTAATCATTGAACACACACAGTACATATAATGTATATACAATCACTAAACTACTTGATACAATACATTTTTATTAATTAAAATACTATACCCTGTATATGAGGTGCCAAGTGCCAAAAATCACAATCGAGAAAAATGCTCTTAAAGTTTGTGAAAATTCAAAATGATGTAACTTTTGAAGCAATGAAGATCTTAGTTAATTCAAGTGGTACAGTGTAGAGCTCTTAAAGCTGGTTTTACAGCTACTAGTGTCATATTAATTGAAAAGATTGTTTATTGTAAAAATTGCATTGTTTTTGATGGGTAGTGTTTGCAGTTTCATTAATATACATTGTTGAAGTATAATTTTCATTACATGGAAGCAACAATGTATTAAGACCACACCAGAAAGTCAAAAGTCATTGTACTGTTGGCATAAAGCAAACAATACGAGGTATTACCAATATTTCAACCAGGGGCCAAGCACCAAAAAGTGCCACCAGCCCTCACTCCCACCCTCCTCTGTTTTGTTTATTTTTCTCTCAATGGCCCGCGCCCCCTCCTTTTCTGCCAGTTGGAAAATATAAAAAAGAAGGTTCAAGTGTTATTACATAGCATTCCTAAGACATTTTTGTAGAAATAGGATTCCCATTAGCTATTAAAATGGAAAATAATGAGTCACTATGAGTGAGAGAAGCTGTGATTGGGGGCCGCGGGCACTTGCCCTCTTCTTACCCTCAGTCTGCCTTGGGGCACAGGTCACGCACGCGCTGTAGAGACACTTTTATCTACCTTCACTAATATGGCTCTCAGCCTTATAAATATTGTGCTACTGGGACAGTTTGTTTTTCTGCAGATAGAGGAAAGATTGGGGAGTGCAGATAATCCTATAACTCAATTTTGGGGGGTGGCACTTGGCACCTTGTTGCATTTTGGCACCTCATATATTAGCAGTAGAAGCGTAGGAAATAAAGATAAGTACCGTACACTGTAGATCAAAATAATTATAAAAAATTAAGCACGGAACACAAATACAATTTAGTAGCTACAAAAATGGTATACCGGGTATCTTTAAACTCGGAAATCCATAACCTGAATCCTCCATAACCCAGGGAGTGTCTGTACCAGTGATTTTCTCTCTTATATTCTTATTAATCATAGAACATTTCTGAATATTGAAAGTTTATTTTTCTTGTCATGGCTCTTAATCAAAATAACTTTTTCTAAGAGATATGTAGTAGATATACTATAGTGAAGATAAATGTCTTAAATTAATTTTACTTTTTCCATTAAAAATTTATTTGATTCCTACATTGCCATGGTTCCTTTTTTTTTTTTTTACATTTAAGTTTGGTTTACAGGAAAATGGTCAAACTAGTAGCAACGGTGCCCTCTTTGTCCAAGCAATTTATTTAGGAATGAACTTTCTGTTGAACACGTACCTCCGAACCAAAGATAAAGAGGAGTCGGTGATCAACCAGTGGGTCCATTTGCTCAACACTGTTGTCCAGCAATCCAGGGAAGCATGTAGCTGGGCCGTGAATTACATGTCGATTGAGGATGGAGGAGCACACATCCAACCCCTTTTGTTAGAGTGCTCAAACAAAATGATTCGAGGACAGTTCAGGTTAGTGTCTACTGTATTGCATTTAGAACTCTGAATATTATCTATGGTCATTGTCTGATTCAACTAATTTTTCTTTATCTAATATATTCAATAAACTTTCCTGAACATATTGTCCTGAAGCACATATCCCAGTAGATTTTTCAAGCACTTTTTATTTTTTTCCATTATGCAAAACCCTTTCATTCATATGAGTATTTGGAGATATCTACAGCATTTTCAAAGGAATGTTGCATCTTTTAATTTCCATTCAGCTGGATTGACATTTCTTTTAATTAAAATATATTTAAAATACCATCCTTGTAAGCTTACTTTATCATACAAATTTTCTTTCACAGCAACCTATTAGGCTCCATCTTCAAAGCAGAGTACGAGCATTCTCAGAGTGTTCACAGTGTGCAGAACATAATAAAGCACCTCCTGTCACTCCTGGCTTCTGATGTGCCAGCAGCTGTCAAGAACTCTTATCAATATTTCTCACTGTTGTACTGCTACTGCCAGCAGGTAAATATAACACATACAGTAATTTACATATACACATTCACACTTAAGATTGATAGATACATATACCGGAAATACACCAGGCATGTGCATTTGTTCCTTCTGAAGTCTGTTCTACCCAGATTACTCTCTCAGGTTTGTGATTTTTATCACAACAAATGTAGAATAAGAAAAGTTCTAAAGGTAATAACACAATAATGGCTAATTTAGGTTTTAGGAAATGGCAATTTGAAGTGTCAGGCTAAGAGGTGGATGTGGTGTTAATATGACTGAAACAAAAACTATTCTCATGTTATGGTAGGGTATGGCAGTCACATCCTAACAAGCAAACTACTTGCCGAGGTTGTGGTTATCTTATGCTGTATAGCTCATCAAAGATGCACAGGTACTTAAAGAATTATGTTGTGTACAGGGTAATGCCCAGTGTCAACAGATCCTCAACCTGGGTGGGTTTTCAAGCTTTCTCAGTTTCCTACTGGGAGCAACAGACTTAGATAAGCGGCGGTGGTCATCATTGCAAGCTCAAGATTTTGGTCCACTGCACTGTATTATTTCAACCTTGATTACAGTATGTGATATGGTTCCCCACCAAAACACAGGTACAGTAATATTATTATCACAAATATATATATATATTTTTATTAAGTATACTGTATCTTTTCTGCTGGATGGTTCAATTGGTGGAGACCTCTCCCTGCTTGTTCATAAAGTTCCCCATCCACAGTGCTTTTGTCTCTTTATATTTTTGCATACATAAATTACTTTTACTCTTGGTGGTTTTTGTTCACAACTCATCTCCCTGTATATCTGTCCATCTCTCTCTCAAAAAAAAAAAATCATCAGCCTCACTGCATAATCCTTGATTTCTTACAATTTACTGAGTTGAAGAGTCCTCATGTAACCACATTTAAGATTTTTTTAATAACTCAGCTCTTTAGTTTGAAGGATTCTTCATTTGACTCGCTCTTTAGTTTGAAGGATTCTTCATTTGACTCATATTTTCATCTTGTTACATTACATCATCCATTTAGTGAGATAATGATTGGATATTGTAATGAATGTAACAACAATTACCCTTATGAAGAATATCATTTTCTTATTTTGATAAATTAGATTCAGCTGTCGAAAAGAAGATTGACAGTGAAACAAAGAAGTTGATGATGCCAGCGGAGGTGGCTCAGGCACTGTACGGTGGGGAACAGGCTCGATGGCTTAAGGAGGCTGTAATGGCTTACAAAGAAATAATGAGCAACATTCCTCAGCTGACACTGGCACTCACAGCAGCTGCAACAGAGAATTCTTCATTCACTAGTGCTTTGTTAACTGCAGTCATGGTAAGGAAGGTCATTCATATTATACACTGATATTGTATTACCATTTAGGTATTGGTATGAATTTATTTAAATGGAAAATTAAGAATATGTTTTTGCAACAATACTTGAGATCGTAAGGTGAATGGATAACAGCCAAGAATAAATAAAAATTGTAATTATCTGTTTCAACTCCTGTGCGTAATCTTGCATCTGAATCCATGTAGTATTATAAGTGATAAGTTACAGGCTAGTGAAGATTAATGACTAGTGCAGCAGAAATATAGAGGTTTAGGGATTTTAATATACACAGTGATATTTGATGAGAGAAGGAAAAATAATTAGATGAAAAGTTTCTTGAACTAGACATCTTGGTGAGTAAAGTGATTGAGTATGAAAATTGAAGTTATGTGAGTCTTCTTGATTCATTGTTACAACTGATATTCACGTCAAACATATTTAAGTTTTTGTAGTTTAGAGTTTTTGGTGTGTGTGTGTGTGTGAAAATATTGTTAGATTGAGGAGCAAAAGATAGAATTTCTTCTATTAGCCGATAAGTTTCTCGATACAGTGACCAGTGTTGGGGTCCCCTTTCCTGAGTATTAGCTATAAGAATATTGATAGTAAATGACTAAATACAGTAACTTTTGAAATTATGTAATTTTTTTAATGTTATTTACACATCATTCTCTTCTATTTCAGACTGAGTATGCTAAACCGCCTTCAAATGTACTGAAAAATCTTTCTCAGTTTATACTAGAGATATTGGTGAGATGTTTGGTCTTTATTACTCTCAGAATCTATTTGTTGTGTAGTTTATTATAACTAAAACCAAATTTATAAGGTTTAATTTATATAGTACAGTATATAGTTTCCTCTTTATCAAGACTCTGTACATTGTTTCCAGTCAAGATATTTATAATGAATGCCTCTTGTACTCTGTAGCCTTTATGTTTTTCTTCACATACATCCATTGTACTAAATTTCTTAACATTTGTTGCATCACTGATCTGGTACTAAACTTTGTGCTGCCTTTCCTGTCGCTCAACCACACCTGTCAATCTGATGACTGTTATTCTTTCTTAATCCACAGTATATCATTTCCATTCAACTTCTCTACCGAGTTTTTTATAGTAAAACCGTGATAAATCGGAATTTGCTTTTTTCGGACTCTCTGAGGTGCTCTGGTCACCAGGAAAAAAAGGGTAATTAAGTACAGTACAGTACATAGTCTATGAAATGGGGAAGATTAAAAAAAAAATCTTATGAAAAAAACACTTATTCACTGAATACTGTACAGTGGTCTAATCAGATTTACTATAGGCCTAATGAGAACTAAGACACTGAGTATGTAAAGGCACTGGGCACTTTCCTCCCAACATGTTGGCCGTTTTTGCTGGCCGCTGGCCTGATGGCCCAGCAAGCAGCAGGATTTCGGCTGTTGCGAGAAATGGACAACAGTTTGGCGGTGAGCTTTACTGATCTGGTTAGTGCTCAAATGAGCTTCATATTAGGTGTTGAATATTTGAATAAAAATCGAAATAAATCATGAAACAATAATAATTTAAAATATAACATAAAACGGTGACATGTTTGTATTTATTCGTCACTTTCAAACTTCTTTAGTATTATTAAATCATTATTCAGGGTCTTTTTTGACCAGCCAGCCACCGCCACATGTAAATTAGCTTCACGAGGCGCCCATTGTCTTTAATTTAGCTTTTGCAGATGCCTCACTTGCTTCAGCAATTGAAGAACTATAGCACAATCCTGCAAGGCCTCAACTCTAGTAACGGGATCCACGGCGAACCTCGTCGAGATGCTTTGTTGTTGTTTTTGTTGCGTTGGGCAGACGCACCAACAAAACATCCCAGTGTGACGCAAATGTCTCTGTTTTACTGGCCAGACCGTGTTTGGCCAACATGTTGGGAGGATAAGTGCCCAATTTGCCGTCGCCTTGAGGGAAGTGTCTGGCTGAAGCACATAATTAGTTAATAATTGATCAGTCAATATCAATTTCCTGTAAGCAATTAAAGACACCAGATACATTGTTGCTATACCCCTGAGTCGGTTCTCCCTAGTCCCTAATCCCTGATGCCTGATTTTTCCCTACTTCTCCATAACTTCTCGCTAGATTACATTGAAATTCATGTGGAGCATAGGTAATTTACTCCTCTTGAACGTGTCATATAGATATTTCTAATTATCACTTTCGTTTAGGGTGCATGAATATTTTTCCTAACTTACCATTTTTTTCTCCAAATATTTTTAAAGATAAATAAGCCAATAATAAACCAAGCCAAATATAAAGAAAGTCTATATGTTCGGCCATGCAAAATTGTTTTATTTGAATTGGCCCATAAGTGGCCGAGCCTTAGGGATTTGAAAGTTAGAAAAACTCGTTTTGAGATACAGCTTTTACTACATAAACAGAAGGGTCTTTTAAATGATTGGGGGGGGGAGTGTAGAACAATCATGCATACCTGCAGTATATAAATATTATGAATTACACAATCAAAATATGTCAGCAGAGAGCCATACCGTAGGCAACAGCTTTCCTCAGGAATTTTTCTGAATAGTTTATCATAATTTTCCAAATTTCATCGTATTTTTCAGCCGGACGCTCCCCTTAAACAGGCTGCGGCTGATTGGGTGTTACCACATTTGTCAGGTTTATTTATTTATTGATTCAGTATTATATTCTCATATGATTGGTCTCTTATGGTTTATGGTTCATCATGATTAACATAACATCTTCAATAATAGTAAAAGAATGCAATATGTAATTAGCAATATAACTTGAAAATAAAAGGATAAACTGTATGGGAAGGTATTCACTCGGGATACATTTGCGTGTCAAAGCTTTCAGCAAATAAGTTTACAACAGGGTCACTATAGCACACTGTATAGAATTTGATATGAAGATTTGGCTACTTGTACACTTAGACAACTAATGAATAAACCAGGGTATATGCAAATGCATTATACTGTACAGTGTAATATACAGTGTACACTACACTATTGCTGTACTGTAGTTATTAAGTGATGATAAATACATTACATTAGTATTTATTAAGTGGTGATCAATACATTACAATAGTATTTATTTTGTGATGATAAATACACTGCTGTACTCTAGTAAGTGTTGAAGACAGCCGTAGTAAGCAACTAAGCCTATCAGCTGTTCGGCCTTTGTAAACAAGCGATTCATGGTGTTGAGTGTGGGATTTTTTTTTTTTCAGGAAAGTTGGTTCTTTTAGGATAATATTTTATCAACTTGGCACCAAATGAACCTGAATTACATGAAAATTATGGTGAAATTAAATAAAGACGTGTTAAAGGTAGCTTGAGGGAGATAGGGGGAGGGGGCCACCCACCTGCACTCTCCCCCCCCCCCTTTCTCCCCTCCCAGATATACACTTGTCTTCCACAGTATATAGTTTTCTCTTTATTCATAAGACAAACTCTCTGGTTACTTACATATAACACTGCAGTGAATAACGATCATCTCTGTGAAAACAGTTGTTGACAACCAGACTTTATGTCTGATTTTCAACCCAGAGAATTCTCTCGTATATTTTTTTTGTTGATGTAATAGTCATTTAATAACCCTGTTATACTCAATAAAGACATTAGTTGTTGAAGTGCAGTAATAACATAACAACAACTGGTTTTCTTTAAACAGTTCAGATAAGCAGTGTTAATCCCCCCCCCCTCCCGATTTATCAAGGTTCCACTATAGTTTTCTGCTTCCATCATAACACTTTCATTTTATGATCTTGTGGTCACAGGGCATTATTAAATAGGACGAATTTGAATGTAGTGTATGTCAGAAGACTGCATAAAGGAACTGAAACTAGTATTTCTGTCATGATGGATCAAGAGATTGACAAACATGTAAATCGGTATAGGAAGTCTGAGGATTGATAGTGAATTATAATGATGGAGAACGAATGTTTATGGTCGAGAAGTCTTTGGACAGCCAAATGGATGAGAGCATATTAAGGTGACATGGGCATATGGAGTGTATGACAAGAGAGAGATTGATAGGGGAGATTTGTGGACACACAGATATAACAATGAGCGGGTGACTGAGATAGTGTAAGTTAAATAGTTGAAATAGTGTAGTTTTATGGCAGGTAATTTTAGATGAATGATTATAAGTAATTTATACAAGTTATTTTAGATGTGGTGGGCTTAGTATGATCTAGCATGGTGACTCAAGGTAATATTCACAGTTTATTGTTGTGAAGTGTTTAATGTAGAATTTAAGGAAACTTGGTATTGAAGTTGAGGGTACATTACAGTATAGGGAAGAGTGAAGAATTTACCTGCGTGCTATTTTCTCCTCCTCCTCTCTATGTTTATCTTAGTGCTACAGTACTAATTAAAGCTTTCTTGTTTCAGAATGTGAGTGACTCCTTACAGCCAAGTCGCACTACTGCTGTCCTGGAAGGCTTTCAGACTGCAGATGGGGAAAACATAATGGGCCTTTTAGGTATGGATTGTCTTTCTTTGCTTTTTTTTTTACAATGTACTATGTGTTGGTAAGTATTCTTTTTTTATTCTTTTTTTATATTTAATGTAAATCAATGTTAAGTATATCATATTCTTTTCTTAAGAATTTTGAATGGATGAACATCAGCATTTGCACTTATATAGATTTCGTTCTTATTTGTAACAGATATGATCGGAACCAACAAAGATTACGACAGTAGGCGAGCTTACCAGTGTATCAAGCTGGTAGTAACACTCTCGGCCCGATGCCCATTAGCCCGGGATCACCTCACTCGTACCCAGGCTCGTTGGCAGTGGGCTGTGGAGTGGCTACGAGGGAAAATGGACGATCACTCGGCAACTCTTTCAACTGTAACAGGAATGAGCAATGAGGATTCTAATACCAAAAATTTCCAGCGCACAACAAGTGCACAGGTGAGTTGAACATTTATCAACCAAGAAACACATAAAACCTGTTGTTAACTTTTATTATTAGCCAAACAATCGTACCATGTTTTGATGAATATAAGTTGCACTTTTTTCCTAAAATGTTTGGCAGTAGTGCAGGTGTGGCTTATTATCAGATAAAATTTTTATTTACACCTCAAAAATAATCTTAAGTTTTACCATAATTCCTTGTGCACTCTAGCACCACCTCTAACCAATCCCCACCACCATTCCTATCCCACTCAGTCAAAATTATCATCAGTACCACCATTACCATCATCACTCTGCAAGTTGTCTACCCTTGAGTTTGTTTACAAGAATGAAGTACAGTGAACTGTATTTACTGTGTCTGAAACTCTCAAAGTAGTATCTCAGCCTTCCAAGCTGTGAGCTGCATTATTGTTATTTTTCATGCAGAATGTGCAAAAATAAAAAATATTATTATCATAAGGTCAAAAATGTAAGGGATTAAACATTTATTATGTGTGTGGGAGCTAGCACAAGAGAGTGAGGGAGGGAGAGTATGGCATTCCTTCAAGGCTTTGCTGTCTTGTGCATAGTGACAAGATTGCCAAATGGCAACCCAGTATGTTTTCTTTTATTTTATTTATTTCTCACATTTGCTGGTACAGTATACTGTATTATTTTATGTACAAAGAATAGCTTCTTCCACATGCAAACCATCCTCTGGACAACGTGAATTAGTTCAACTGCTTAGACTGACAGTCACCGGGGACAGGTGGGTCGCTCATGTTACGCAATTCCGAGATCGAGTCATCAAGTCATCATATCGGAATATTGCAAGTTACTATTGCACATTACTTTTTCATCGCAGTGACGTGCAGGAAAAGCAATTGGGTAGCAACCATCATAAAGCTGATCTTTAGCCATTGCAAAGGAGTAAATGGTGTTAGTATTTAACATTGTAAAACTGATCAAGCATATATAAATTCATCGTATTATAGTCATTGCCTGTTTCCTTCTTTATGGCCTTTATTGCATGTTTCTGTGATAGAGTGAAGGGGTCAGTATTAACTACCTGTATATTATTTCTAATGGTCTTTGTACCTTACATATCTAACTGTACTGTATCTTCACTTTGTTCCCCTTTCTTACTACCATACCCTCTCCTCAAGATACCTTGCCTTTGTATAGTACTGTTAACTTAGTGACTTTGCTTGACCCTTGAGAAACAAATGTTGCCTTTAGCATACTGTACTTATCAATGAACAATGCTGTTTTTATGGTGTCTTTGTATCTTTTTATTTCCATTATTTCCTTACAAAGGAGTTATGGTTCAGCATTCGGTGTGGAATCTTCAGTACATTCATTGCAACTATTCCTTATTTATATATTTGATTTTGTTTCAGTTAACACTGGAGGAGGCCACAGCCCTGCTAAGTGAGTTGGAATCAACAGAGATGGAAATTGAATGTGATCCTACTGAGCTTGGAGATATTAAGGAAAGTGTTTCTGAACATGATACATCTCCATCCCAGGATTTGGATGCCATTGACCCTTGAAATATTAATCAATGTGACCAAAGTCTGATTAGTCTTTTACCCAAATGCTATTTCTTTACGAGTACTTGATGTGATCTCTCACTGTGTGGGGTGGCTCAAAGAGAAAAAGTCCTCCCCTCCCCCATCCAATTAAGTGAGGAATCAACTAAAGGTTGCATGAATGGATGCACTGTATACCTAAATACTTACGCAGAGAAGATACAGTCTTTCAAATGTTGGACTAAATGTTCTCATATATAATACTCGTCTTTAAACAAAAAACTTCCCTATCTGGGTAAAACAGCTGTGATTGAGATTGATTTTTAACCTCTGTGTAAAATGATATTAAGGGTTGGGAGTCCCTATATGTGAAAACTTGTACTATTCGCTCACACACACATTAATGAAGCGTTCAGTTTCTCCGGTGTTACATATTTTATGACTTTATTTTAATGAAGTTCTGATGTGTTTTCATCATTATCTCCTATTTGGTTATTACATTGAGTTTAACTATCATGTATTTTTTCCATGGTAAGAATAAATCCTTGTATAAAGATGTCCTTCACGAGACAGGTCTTTGTGATTAGCGTTTTCCGCAGTGTTTGAGTGTCCAGTCCTTAGTACTGTTAATACCAAAAGTGCCATAAAATATATTTTATCCAAACTTGTTTTAGCATTTCTTGCAAGAGTACAAAGCTGTAGAACATGGCTGAATAATCACAGTGTTTTATTGTGCACATATGATAGTAACCTTTTTCATACAGCTAAAGTTGAATTATTCTTATAATAATCATACTTTTTTGTTTCTTGTTTGGCACATAACCAGAGAAATGGTTCAGTGTGCATTACAGGTAATGTATATCTCACCTTCCCAGTTTTTGAAAGTTTTAATAGTTTTAATAAAGACAGTAATTAAATCTGGTGAGTAAAAAAGAAAAATTGAAAAGTTGATTACTGTACAGGTAGAAGTTTTTTACAAACATGTATCTCCATTACATGGAGGGTAATGAAACATTGTTAAACATGGATAAAAGGTTTAAATAAAGATAAAACAAACTGTAGCTGGACATTTACTTTTCACCGTACTTGAAGAGGATCCAACATTTCCATCACTTTGTGACAAATCCAAATGCTCCTCCTGCCCTTGCAGCTTGTCTGCTACCAAACTTTGAGTAACAGACTGAAAGACCAGGTTCTTGCTGCTTGCATCCCTCAAGCCAGTATAACCACTAAAGCGTAACTCAGTGGTTCTTAAACTTTTTGTTGTGACCCATAGTATAAAATTAACAAGATTATTACAGAAATAAATTTTGTTCTTTATTTTGTTAGTAAATACAAGCATTAAATCAATATAATAAAATATTATAATATAATATAACTCCACTAATAATACTGTAATATAATATCATAAATTACAAATATCTGTAAAGGTATGGGACATTAATGCGGTGTCCTGGTATCCGGAATGCTCAAAATCCGGCTATATTTTGGAACAAATAATTTAAAATGAGTACCAAGTAATTCCCGGGGGAATGGGGAAATATCCACCCATGTTATTGTAATTTTGGGTACATACACATAGTTATTTTTTTTACTTGGTTACATGCACACAATCCTGCATACAGAGAGTGCAAAAAGAAAAAAGATAATTAATTATTATAAAGTATTTTTCATCTCTTTACTTTGGGTAGATACACATAATTTTCTTCATCTTTTATATAGTTACATGCACACAGTCCAACGTACAGAAAAGGCAAAAAGAAATAATTATAATAAGGTACAAAATTTTAAGTATCCAGGGATATCCACTGTAAAGCTGTTTGGTGAGATTGTGTAGTGGTTGGAGGGTCAGTGGTGCAGAACACCGTTGCTAGGGGCGATGTCGAGTTGCAAAGGAGAGCATCAGTAACGTCTACAATGCAGTGTGTGCACTGACTTGTATCAATTTTGCTCTTTTAATGATTTTATTACTGAACTGCTATTTATATGCTCTTTTTAATAGCTGTTTTTATGCCTACAATTCTAACTTTTAATATTACAGTGTACAGTTAAAGCTACTTTTAAGGGTCAATCAATTTATCTAAACAGAGGTTTTGCTGCCATCTACAAAGGTTTTACTGTACATTTAGTCCATTTTAGGCGTGGCGCTCCAAATTCCAGAAAAGAAGCCTATACGCTAACCCCAGATCCCAAGCATGCCGAATAAATGGTCCCATACCATATGACTTAAACTGATGAGGGATGATTTTTTGTCTTCACCAGGCCTTCAAAGCTGCTAGACAGGCTGCAGCACAAATCATGGTGAAGTTGCTGTCTGTTTCTAAGCTTTGTCTTGTCACTGCCATTGTTGAAAATTTTGCTTAACAAAGGTACTGTATATGGTCATGAATGACTGGAGGACATGCAGAGTTTCACCAGTAACAATTGCTTTTTCATTGAAGAATGCGACCCAGAAAGTACTGAGGGACTACTTCTTGAGGTTGTGGCACAGTAAATCATATATTTCATGTCAGTTGTCTTGTGCGCTATCAGCTGGCATATCTTCCACTTTAACATCGAAAGAATTTTGAACCCAGCAGTATTTCTTGGTATCTTCCCTGATATTATTCAAGTGCTCTAAGACACTGCCATGAATATACTCAAACAATGCTGATGCATTTTTCTCACTTCAGTTTGTCCTTAAACCATTAATGGTCACTGACATAAATTATGTCATCCCTTGTCATACGCTAATTGGTCACTGGCGTAGTTTACATCACATTAAGCTAGGGTTCTGTGGGCTTTGCTAAGAGCTCTTATGGGTTCAGATCTGTAGATGTTGCCCATCATTCTCTGCACCTCCTCTATGGCAGTGAAGAGAGTGACAGGCAATATAAAGGACTTGTGGCACTATACGTTAGATTTGGTTCACTCGTTTTCGACAAAGAAGAATACATGCAACACAATGGCCTAGCCAATGGCTTGTCTCTACATGGAGAATTTTGAGGCAGACAACTAACTACTACTAGGTAGTAGGCAGCCATCAAACAGGAAGGTACTACTGCCTGGGAAGATATTGGAAGCATAATGTGTTGTCTAATGGTAGACCCTGCTGCCATATGACATCATGAAAATTGTGACCAAGTCCCAGGTTGCTGATCTGACTTTCTGCCTCATTTACTACACACAATTGCAGGGTCTCAATTGTTTCTCTTACTTTGACAACACAACATGCATCCTGTTCGTCATTTCTCACTATTGATTTTTATTTCTTTATAGTTCTTTATTATTATTAGTGTTATTATTATTATTGTTATCATTATTATTTTATTTTATTTTGATTATATTTTGTTTTTACTTTGACTTATTTTATTTTTAATTTTGTATTTTTATTATAAATTTTATTTACTATGAATTACAGTACAGTATTATTATTATTATTATCATTATTACATTTTTGCCCCCCTAGCTCCGATGTGGGTCAGTGACCTGTGCCCGGGTTGGCTATCCCCGTAAAAAAAAAAAAAAAGGACTCTGGGTAGAGAGGCTACGTGTACGATGAATTAGTGATTTTACCAAGAGGAACAGATATAAAGAACAAGCTGAGAATGTTGAAGAATATAAATTGCCATTCTTGGACACGATAATTTGCAGAACATAGCAGAGAGCAGAGTATTCAGTCTACCGTAAGCCCACTAACAAAGACGATTTCATCCACTACCTTTCAGCCTACGTACATTGAAAGAACGAAATCGGGAGTCGTGGTCGGATTTTTCCTAGGGGCATGTTGCAGTGAAGAATTCATTGAGGAGGAATTTGCATATATAATCGGTTCATTCATGAAACTGTGTTTCCCTCAGTGACTGCTGATAAAACTTAAGAATAAGCCACTAACCATATAAAGAAGGAAAAGTGAGATATGGATCTGTTCCCAACTCATAGAAGGCTCCAATCCTGAGCAAATACTGTACTTGCAAAAGACCGGGCTGAAAAAAGCTAATACATCTGGGAGAAAAATTGGAGAAATTGTAAATTTAAAGCAGCAAAAATATGTAAACGAGGATAGTATTATTTACATCATACCCTGTTATGATGCACAATGATGTATATAGGGGAGACTGGACGGGGCTTGATGAAAAGATTGTCGGAACACAAAACAGATGTATGTAGACATAACACCTCATATACTCTAGTTAGGCATTTGGGACAATGTCAACAGTTGCCTAAGTGGCAGGGTGCCATGATTATGCAGATAGGGTTAGATAAGGGGATAAGAAAGGCCATAGAATCAGCATATATTTGTAAAAGTGAAGTAACAAACCAGAGGGAGGGTTTTATGTGCTGGTCGAAGCATGTCACAGACATAGCATTGATGTCACACAGTAATTGAATAGAATTGAATTGAAACAGTTTATTTAGCCAGAAAAAACACATACAGTATACAGAGTGGACAATAATAATAATAATATTAACTTGCTGAGCCAGTTGAGAACCTGAGCTCTCCTGTAGGCACCTGATATATACTGAACATTTATCTCAAGGAAGTATTATGTAACATTTAGTATCATCTGGAATAGTACACATAGCATGGTGGTAATAAGAATATCTCAGAATGTTACCACGGTTATCACTTCAATGTTTATTTATTTTAATTATTTTATTTTTATTTTATTTTTTTTTTTTATTATAAGTACAGTACTTGTACTATATACATAAATTACAGTGGAATTGAAAAACATAAATATAAAGAGGGAGCATTACAACATGGGCTGTACAGTACAGTATTAAGGTTGAACAAGAGGACAGAACTGTCAGGATTATGTTTAGTTGGCAAATATATTTATTGTAATGGTAATTTCTTATCTATTTACATGATAATTTCCGATAAAACGGTTTTGATGGTACAATAAAAGCAGGTATATATAGTAGGTATTACAAGAAATATTAATACTTAGACAATAAATATTTTTTAGGAGATGATTTAAAGGAAGGGAGCGTAGTCTTTGCTCGGATGGGTGGGGGTGAGTTGTTCCACACCTTCATACCATGATATTTTATGGAGGTCTGGGAATGAGAAGAGCGCATGAGGGGGGTGGTCTTAGTAGCTCTGAGTGCCTTAAGTTGTATCTCTGATTATTCCGGAACTGGAAATAATTAGTGTCAAGCAAGTGATTGATAGATTTGTGAACAAAGAGGGCATAGCAGTAGGTGTTAATATCTTCGAATTTTAACATTTTCAATTTAGCAAATTGTTCATTTGTGTGATTTTTTTTTCATGTAGGTCATTATCTGTGCAACTCTCTTTTGTACAGGAACTAGGGATTCTGTTTATGAAGAGCCAGAGGCCTCCCATAGTGTGTGACAGTGTATCAGGTGTTGGTAAATAAGATCATGATAGATTTCTCTTATTGCTGTGAGAGTGAGTGACTGTTGAGTGTGATACATGATACTGCATTGTTTATTGACTTTACTGTGAATGGCTTGTATGTGGTTTCTCCAGTTAAGTTAAGTCCAAGAGACTTCACAGAAAAGAATATATTATTAGTTATTTCAAGGAGTAGCTAGCCTAATTTCTATCACGCTTCTTGCTGAACATAGTTTTGCGTGATGGAATAGATAAACATGAATTTTAAAGAATGAAAATAAAAATAATCCAAATGAATAAACAAATAAATAAAATATTGTAATATGTGGAGGCCTCCAGATTGTGGAGGCCCCTGGGCAGCTGCCCACTTTGCCCACTCCTGAATCCGGCCCTGGATATAAGTTCCCACTCAGGATGGGTTGGAGAAAGGAAACTCACAATGTGCTCTCTGTATACACAGGGCTGGATTAAGCTTAATAGGGGCCTGAGGCACAGATCAACTTGGGGCCCCCTACCCTACAAGAACAAAATATACCCAAATTTATCAATGATTTCATCAATATTAAGCTTCTGCAAAATAACACATTTAATGTTCATAAGAGACAGAAAATTGAGACGTTGCTAGGACATCGTTGAACGAAGTTCATATTTTATACGCTTCAACTTCGAGAATGTTTGGATTTGGGGCCCCTTAGAGTCGGGGGGCCTGAGGCTAGTGCCCAAGTGCCTCATGGTTAATCCGGCACTGTGTATACATATTGTATTGGACGTACAATGCAGCTTGGTGCTGGGGGGTGGCAGAGTGAGTCCAAGCGTGATGTAGAGAGAGCTGGTTGGTGAGGATGCTCAGAGGAGAACACACAGCTTGTGGGTCGCCATGGTCACCTGCTGGAGCGAGGGCTACCAGGCAGGAGCGGAGGAGGTGTTGCTTGCGGGTCCGACTAATTACGGTACCCAAATGTACCCAAATGTAGCCAAATATAACCGGAATGAAGTCAAATAATGGTCCTAGATGAATAAATCGGACTGCCAATCACTTCTCAACTAATATTTGTGTCAGAAAGTCACAAAAAATTGGAAAACTTACTTTAATCTGAGTTAATAGATCGCGTGCATGTACCGACGGAGCGAGGAATTACCCAAATGTAGTCGCAATGAAGTCAAATAATGGTCCTAGATGAATAAATCGGACTTCCAATCACTTCTCGACTAGTATTTGGCGTCACGAAGCCACAAAAAATTGGTAAACTTAATTTAATTTGAGTTAATAGATCAAGTGCATGTACCTAACCTAACCTAATCTAACACAACACAACTCAGATTAAATTAAGTTTACCAATTTTTTTGGACTTTATGACACCAAATAATCGAGAAGTGATTCACAGCCCGAATTACACTTGTACGACCATCATTTGACTTCATTGCAGCTGCATTTGGGTACATTTGGGTAATTAGTCGGACCGGTTGCTTGCTGGTGGCTGTAGGTAGAAAGAGGTAGGTCACGGCCAAGGTAGGTATCTACCTACCTTGGGTCATGGCGGGGTGAGGTCTTATATAGCCGGGGTAGGCATGGCTTGATAATTGACCTCCTTGTTAGGCGGCGCTGGTTGCCGACCTTGACCATGAGGCACAGGCTGGGGAATTCGAAGAGGGTCGGCTACTCAGCACAAACGGCATTTGTAGGGGAGGAATCCACTACAAAGATAAGCCCCCCCTCCCATCTCAGAATCTAGAAATTTGCAATAAAAATCAAGGTTAAAAGTGTTCAAAACACATCGAAAACCATTGGAAAAACAGTTGTGAACCTAACCTAACCGGGGGAGCTCTTAAGTCGTTCAATGTTCTGGGTGTGTACCGCGACGTAACAACATGCATAATAAAATTTAAAATATCTCATTAAATATAATTTGCGCCAGAAATGCCATTGAAGAAAATTGTCTTATAATTGTCAAAACTACTGACTGCAATATATAATTCCAGACTCGTTTAGTGGCAACAAGTGAAAAAATACCAATCTTTTAGTTTCCTAAAAAAAAAAAAAGAGATTATCGCTACTGCATTAAGCATCAAATGCTATGCATAATAAGAACAAAGTTGTCCGCCAAACTAGCAAGTCAAGGTCCAAATACTGTATTAGCCACAAAAGTAATAACAGACAAAACGCCCAAACGTCGAATTAGCTGATTCGTGATGATATGACAAGTTAATAATAGCTTCATCATCCCTGATTAATATTGCAAACAAGGAAGATATAAACAGCATAGAGAAACTAGTACATCATTCAATTAATATTCGGCCTCTCAGCGGACCTCAATGCGACGCCATTGTGGGGTTATGAGGTTGTGGGGTATGAGATGTTTGGTTCACACTCAGGATGGAATGGAGAAAGGAAACTCACAATGTGCTCTCTATATACATGTTGTATTGGATGTACAATGCAGCTTGGTGCTGGGAAGGCAGCATGGTTACAAGCGTGATGTAGAGAGAGCTGGTTGGTGGGTCGCCATGCTCGCCAGGCAGGCGGAGGAGCAAGGACCGCCAGGCAGGCGGAGGAGGAGGAGGTGTTGCTGGCTGCGGCTGTAGGTAGAAAAAGACAGATCACCACGAGGTCAGGTCTTAAATAGCGGGGGTAGGCGTGGCTTAGCAGTTGACCCCCGCTCCGTGGTGTATGGCGACGCTGGTTGACCTGAACGAGGCATACACTGGGGAATTGGTGGGGTCGGCTAGGCAGCGACAAACAGGCGTTTGTGGGAGAATTCACTACAAGGTATTGGTTCACACTCAGGATGGGATGGAGAAAGGAACTCACAATGTGCTCACTGTATACATATTGTATTGGATGTACAATGCAGCTTGTTGCTGGGTAGGTAGCATGGTAATAAGCGTTGAGTAAAGAGCTGGGTGGTGGGGTGCCCAGAGTGAGGACGCGGCGAGGACGCCAAGGTCGCTGGCAGGAGCGGCAGCCGCCCGACTGGCGCGAAGGAGGTGTTGCTTGCTGGTGGCACTGGGTAGAAAAGGATGGTCTAGCGGTGTCAGGTCTTATAAGGCGGGGGTAGGCGTGGGTTGATAGTTGACCCGCTCCGTGGGCGGCGCTGGAGGCGTAGGCTGGGGAATTCGAAAAGGTTCGGTACTTGTGGGAGGAATCCTACACCATCTCTTTTTTTTTTTGACTTTTATCCTCTTCGCCACTGATCGGCTTGTTAGCCGCGGGCGATCGGTCAGACTCTTTATATTCTTCACCAAAGGTCGTCGCTAGCCGCCGGGCGATCAGTCACGTCTCTGTCACGCACTGTTGGCAAATGCGGGCGTCTTTCCAAAACGTACACGTTTTTTTTAAGAAAATATATTAAATTTTTCCCAAGTTATCTAGGATCTTATATAAACTTTGATTTTACCGTAACTATTTTAATTATTTACGGCATCAAAATCTTTATCACAGAAAACGTGTAGTTGTCTTGAGAATGATCTTGCCTTAGCGTAGACTCGTCATAGCATAAATATATATGATTGTATTTTTGCCCAATTCGTACCGATGATTTACGGATTATATTTTTTTGAAAAAAAATCAGGTAAATAAGACCATTGCTTGCTTATGTACAGAAATATATTATTTCGTAGGAAAGCACCAAAAGCAAGCAAGCACGTAGACGCTGGAGTTGTTTGTGCAAACTTCAAATCCGTGCCCAGACGTCATTTGCTGAGCAGATTAGTTGTGGGACACGTCTTTTTCATTCTTGAAACTGCATAGGCAATGGAAAACCATTAAATGGAATCTTCGCAAAATACGTGACATAACCTGAACACTTCTCAGTGTGAAAAAAATATTGTATACATTATTATTAGAATCAAAATTTACCATCAGCAGTGCACAATAAAGCCGAATGATTTATCAGTGTTTTTAATCGACTACTAAGGGACAACAGTTTAAGGTTACATGCTGAAAAACAAACTGGAAGGGCACGGAATTCGGGGAAATGTCCTAGCGTGGATAGAAGACTTTCTACATGACCGCAAGCAGTGTGTGGTGATTAATGGCACGAAATCGTCATCCGTACCTGTCACAAGTGGGTATCACAGGGCAGTGTATTGGGCCCGCTGTTGTTTTTGTTTCATAAATGACATGCCTGACGTTGTACACTCCTCCATACAAATGTTTGCCGATGAGGCCAAGTTATTTCGGGAAATTAAAAACCAAGCGGACTGTGAAGAGCTGCAGAAGGGCCTCTGTGGGCTCCAGGAATGGTCGAAGAAATGGCTGCTGAGATTCAATGTCACGAAGTGTAAGAGGATGCACCTGGGGCGTACCAACGGTAAGGAGGCGTATCATATGTCCCAACGGTGTGAAGAAACTGCACTAGTTGAGACTGAATGTGAGAAGGACCTAGGTGTGTATGTTGACAATGAGCTGAAGTTCTCGGGCCATTGCGAGAAGAAGGTAAACCAGGCAAATAAATTATTGGGTCTTATAAGAAGGTCGTTCAGATATCTAGACGGTCCGCCCCTCGTAACGATCTTCAAGAGTGAAGTGCTTCCCCATCTGGAATACTGTCACCCCGTCTGGTCCCCGAGATATGCTAGGGACTGTCAGTTGGTTGAAAATGTTCAAAGGAGGGCCACCAGACTGGTGCCTGCACTTCGGCACTTCAGCTACCTTGAGAGATTGGAGCGCCTGAACTTGCCTAGCTTATAATTACAGACGGGCAAGGGGTGACCTAGTTGAGGTGTATAAGCATCTCAGGAGGCACTACTCAGTCGAGTGTCCTTACTTGGAGCTGGCGGACACTCGCCCCCCAAGGGGTCACAGCTCAAGATTGAAGAAGCCTAAAGTCCAGAAAACTGTGAGGGCAAAATTTTCGGAGTGAGAGTTGTGAACTCTTGGAACAATCTACCAGAGAGTGTTGTGACGCACCGAGTGTGAGATCTTTCAAGACAAGACTTGACCAACACTGGAGCGGGTTCAGGTACACTCAGGAGCCGGTGCATGACTAGTACTTGTCAACAGTGTGTGACAGAGACGTGAACGATCGCCCGGGCGGCTAACGAGCCGATCAGTGGTGAAGAGGATAAAAGTAAGTAAAAGTAGAAAATATTTTAGTGTTCGGTGTATACGAATGTGGATTTCTTTACTTTAGCTTCGCACTGTTATTTGCATTGTTCACAAACTTAGCGAAAAAAATCTGATTTTTTTTATACACACCAAGATTACATGAACTCCCTTTTCATGCATTCATTTGTGCATAGCCTTACTTTAGTCTATCTTTAGTGGAGAAGTGAAATGTCAAGTTTCTGTTTGTTATTCCTCTTGCGTTTGCCGCACACCACACACTGTTTGGGAGGCGGGAGCTTTTATCTGCTAAGCTTGGTATACAGATTACAGTACCTGTTGCAAGCCAAGGACTATAAACAGTATTATTATCCTTACTGCCAACCACCACTGCCAGCTACACGTGACAAACAGACGTACAGTATAACAATTAACAGTGGTGACATCTACAGGGGAGCTTGTTCATTACTAGAGATAAACTGAGAGTCCATAAAAAAACTAGTTCCTCAACTTACTCTCTGTAAAACTGTAACTTCCTTGATAGCAAGGCTCGGGTACAAGAGCTGAGGCAAGTTCAAGGGTGGCACATAACTCGGTGTAATAAAACGCTTTCACACACACTGCCAGGAGCTACACTTATAAGCAATGGCAACATCAAATGGTGCAGGACTTAAGGAAAAGGTGGCCCTAATAACAGGTAATTGCATCATATACTGTACGTGTCTCTGTGTACATGGGCTTAGCCTTAGGGGAACCTGCCAGCGGGGTCCGACTAATTACCCAAATGTAGCCAAGTATAGCCGGAATGAAGTCAAATAATGGTCTTACATGAATAAATCGGACTGCCAATCACTTCTCGACTAGTATTTGGTGTCACGAAGTCACAAAAAATTGGTAAACTTAATTTAATCTGAGTTAATAGATCGAGTGCATGTACCTAACCTAACCTAACCTAACCTCGACTAGTATTTGGTGTCACGAAGTCACAAAAAATTGGTAAACTTAATTTAATATGAGTTAATAGATCAAGTGCATGTACCTAACCTAACCTAACCTAATCTAATCTAATCTAACCTAACCTAACCTAACACAACAAAACTCAGATTAAATTAAGTTTACCAATTTTTTTTGACTTTATGACACCAAATAATAATCGAGAAGTGATTCACAGCCCGAATTACGCTTGTACGACCATCATTTGACTTCATTGCGGCTACATTTGGGTAATTAGTTGGACCGCTGCCAGCGTGGTAGGGGTCCTACTAATTACCCAAATGTAGCCGCAATGAAGTCAAATAATGGTCCTACATAAATAAATCGGACTGCCAATCACTTCTCGACTAGTATTTGGTGTCACAGTCACAAAAAATTGGCAAACTTAATTTAATCTGAGTTAATAGATCGAGTGCATGTACCTAACCTAACCTAACTCAGATTCAGGTTTAACCATCATTTGACTTCATTGTGGCTACATTTGGGTACATTTGGGTTCATTTGGATAATTAGTGGGACCGGCGTGGTAGAGCTTAGGAAACCCGTGTGCTAATATGGAGGACTCGACAGTGGCTTCCGTTCCCTCCCCCATCTCGGTAACAGTAAGCTCGCCCACGGCAGGTTTTAAGTTATGCTGTGCTAGGTGGTATTATCGTTTAGGTCATCCAGTGATTTTTAGGATTTTAAGTTTTGGAATCGGTAATTCAGACAAAAGTGTCTTAGAATTGTCTAAACTACTGATTCCATAACTTAAAATCCTAAAAATCGCTGGATAACCAAAACAATAAATTTACTAGTTAGGTTAGGTTATGGTATGGTTAATTTTAGGTTAACTAGAACTTTTAAATAAACACTTTTGGTAATTTTATAGAAGAGCACAATTCTTTCTTTGGATATTAAAAATATGGGTCAATTTATAGTGTTACATTGGTCGTTTTTTTTGCTATTATTAATATGTATTTCATAATATATGGACAATTCTAGGACAATTTTCTTCTATGATATTTCCGCCGGAACTTAAGGATAACCGACATATTATTTTTTCAATATTATTACTTTCGCTCAGTCACAAGTCGGACACCCCCTCACGCATCGCTCCTTACCCCCGTCTTCGTTTCTTAAGCGTCAACAGTGAATGTCTTGTTTACTTTTGGCGGAGTAGGTAGTACAGTATTGCACCGGTCTTTTTTTTTTTATTAAAAATTGGTTCTTCCTATGATATTTGATGAGTTTCGAACGAATTTGATATTAATTTCCGTGGGAAATCCCTAGTTTTTGAGATAACACCCCCCTCCCCCCCCCACCCAACAATCATAACGGAAAATGTTGGATTTTTTCTCGAATAAATCGCCACATAAATAAAATACCAACCAACAAACAAAACCTAACCTACCCTTTGTTCATGCCCCCACATCTTAGGTTAGGTCAGGTGAGGTTTGGTATTGTTGGTTGATTGGTATTTTATTTGTGATTTATTGGGAAAAAATTCAACTTCTTCCATTATGACTGTTGGGTGTGGGGAGGGGGATTGTCTCAAAAACTAGTGATTTCCGGCAGAAATTAATATCAAATATTATAAAAACCAATTTTTAATATCAAATAAGACGATTACAGCATATAAACAAGAAACATTTTTAAAGTTCATAGAAAAAAATTAAGGAATTAGACCAATTGACCGTCGGAAATTTTTCGTTAGATGGCAGGTCAATGGGTAAAGAAAACACTTAAATTAACTATGGTACTGATATTTTAAAATAAATTAGGCCAAAAAGTGAAAAAAATAAGGGTTTAAGTTGGTAAAAAGTCACGTGACTGCGAAAACCTCTGTGGTTGGTTGTGACGTCACTGACTAGTGCGAGCCGCCCAGCCTGCTGTGGTGTATGTGTTGTTACCAGCAGAAATACAGGACTTGTGGCCATAATGTTGATATACACTGGCATACCTTATTTTAAGGTTAAAATAAATTACTGCTCAAGTATCATCGTGTGTATTTACTTGCTGGGTGCCAAAATGATGCAAAAGACTGATAACTCCATCACGGAAGTTTTCATCACTGTTTTCTATTTCATGTCCGGAAAATTTACGTTATTGTCACTGATGTCTATACAGTATTTAATGTTGTGGAATGACTAGGGACGACCATGACCAGGGGATGGGCTTTAGATGATCAGATGACAGCTGTAATTAAACTTGCTTCATAGCTGGATGGCAGAGTTCTTGCTAATACTCTACTATCATAAAGACATTTACTTTTGTAAATTTCTTTCATCTGCCTTGATGAACCCTGGAAGTAGTTGTCCAACCTTCTCGGCTGATCGGCTGTGAAATAAATATTATTAGATACTGTAATTAATTGTGCTTTACTGTGCAACACAGTAATGCTTTATTGAATATATACATATTACTAAGTACATTAACTAATTCAATGGATATTAGCTGCCCCTATTACAAATTTCATACTATAGACATTCCAAACAATATTGGCATTACAGGTACTCCTCGACTTACGATCTACTCGATTTATGACCACCCAGACATACAACCGCTGCAGTCTTATAAAATAATTTTCAAATTACGTATTTTCGAGTCCCAACGTTAGTGATCGCGCTGTGTACTGACAAAATTTTGGTTGTAATTCCCTTTAAAATGGCTGGCAAGCGTAAAGGTGAGAGTTCTCGTGGTGCTGAGAAGAAAAAGAGACACCCATTTTGGATTTTCTATGTATTATTTTCGCATTTTCGACTTGCGGCCAATTCGACTTACGACCTGGTCGTCGGTCCCTAACCCCGTTGTAAGTCGAGGACTGACTGTATTTTGGTTTTGGTCATCTGGGGAACCTTAAGACTCTAACTAGTTTAGGATTAAGTATCAAATATCACTGACTTTTGCCTTTTTTTCACTCCACTAGCATCACTAGCACTGACACTAGGCAAATTTTGGGAGGCCATTTTCACAAAGAAACACGAAAGTTTTGAGAGTGTGATGCGAGATGCTTTGTCATGGGAACTAGTTGAGGGCAAACAGAGCGAGATGAGACGCCGCAGGCGCGTGGGGTGACTCGTTGCGCTGAGGGAGAAGGCTCACATGCTTGCCACCCAAGCCACCAGCTGCTTACAGCGAATTTTCGAAATCGCAAATCGTAAACCCGTGAATGGGAAGGATCTACTGTTTCTTTAAAAAAAAAGAAAAAGAAAAAAATGACAATGCGGGCAGAACCCCATATACAGTATGGCTGCCACAAAAAATGGCTCGTGTGTGAGGATAGGAAAATATTACCCACCATTTTTTGTGGCACAACAGTCGTGGCCACAGAGTCGATTGAAAGTGATTTGTGTGCAAAGGCCATAAAATTCTTCTGGCTCTTTCACCTGAGCTAGTTCAGCAGTCCCTGCAGTAATAACAAATACAGTACAGTATAAGAGTTTAGGCACTGTACTTAATATTGAGGCCACAATTGCCTGCACATTCATGCATATACTGTGCTGTACATTATTTATTTATTTATATCAAGATTCTTCTTTACAGGAGCCACCTCTGGTATTGGGAGAGCATGTGCAATAGATTTGGGGAAGGAGGGTTGCTTTGTGGCCTTAACAGGTCGCAATGTTGCCGCCCTAGAAGAGGTCGCCAAACTCTGTCTTCAAGCAGGTGCACCAGAAGACAAGGTAGCAATATTCTGTACTGTACACACAGAAATTTTGGGTTAATTTTTATCTTGGACATAAATTCACATCTCTCTTTTTTGTTTCATGATAAGGATCTATTTTTGGTGGTTGTGTTTGTACATATCATATAGAATTTAGAAAGATAGGCCCTGTCTTTGGACCTTATTTAGAGAGACAGTAGTTTTATGCCAGATCAACTGAAGCGTCCATGTAACATAAAAATTTGACAAGAAATCTTCGTAAGCATTTTATTACTTCCCCAAAATAGTGCTTTAAATTCAATGTAGTTTGGGAGGCTGCAGTACTTAGATTTGCTTTTGTGTCAAAATGCTCTAATAACAACTCTTGTGTAAAATATGTCATATTCAGTACAGGTATTTATATAATTCTGTCAGAGATTAAGTACTTGTGACAGCAGAGATGTGTAACTTGGTGCATTGGTGCAACACCCTAGCCCCAAAATACTGTAATAGGTGTAAAAAAAAAAATAACTGAAATGGAAGGATTTGAGTGCTTTGCTTTTGTCTTTTTTGTCTTATGTCCAATAAAGTAAAACTCAAAGTTACTGTCAATTCAGGTGTACTGTACTCTACATACATATCTAAGTATCTGTTGATTTTGCAAACAACTACGTATAGCATGAACTACCATATGGTTGTCGAGTCCCCTAAAAATTGCATTGAGTAGTTGAAGTCTTAAATGTCCCTCTGATCAACATTAATGTATATATTTTTTATAGGGAAAGTCACCAATATGAACAGAGCACATGTAAACAAATAGCCTTGTCACACACAAGTAATATTTAAGTTCTATCAGATTAACAATGCAACTTAGTAATTTTTATACCTGTACTACTGGCAAGTTAGTTTTGTTTAGATTGAAGCTTAATATGTGATACTCAAGTGATCTTATTAGTGCTGTACATATTGGTGCACAAAACATAAAAAAAGGATTTGATACGATCCTTATTGTCCAGTCCAATTTTTACCTTTTCTCCAATATATAGCCTTTAAACAGATGAATACAGGTGTTTGTGTTCTTCTGTTGTTTGCTAGAAGTTATGGTTGTTCTTACCTTTTTTCTAGGTTCTGCAAATAGAAGCCGATTTGTCTAAAGATGAGGATTGTGAGCGAGTTGTTTCATCCGCAGTGTCTCACTTTGGCCGGCTGGACATCCTAGTGAATAGTGCTGGTAAAGAAAATTATCTAGTTATTATAGATTATTCATTTAGTAAAACTTTGTGGGTCATCTGACGCTCACCACCACCACTGACACTTGCCACAACCACCATCAACACTTGCCACAACCACCACCGCTCACCACTCACCACCATCATCACCACCGCTCACCACTCACCAACACTCACCACCACCAACACACACCACCACCAACACTTGCCACCACCAACACTTACCACCACCAACACTTGCCACCACCAACACTGCCACCACCAACACTTGCCACCACCTCAACACTTGCCACCACCAACACTCTGCCACCACCAACACTCACCACCACCAACACTTGCCACCACCAACACTTACCACCACCAACACTTGCCACCACCAACACTTGCCACCACCAACACTTGCCACTCACCAACACTTACACTCACCAACACTTGCCACCACTCAACACTTGCCACCACCAACACTTCTACACTCACCAACACTTCTTGCCACCACCAACACTCCTGCTACCACCAACACTTGCCACCACCAACACTTGCTACCACCAACACTTGCCACCACCTCAACACTCTGCTACCACCAACACTTGCCACCACCAACACTCTTCTGCTTACCTCTCACCAACACTTGCCACCACCAACACTCTGCCACTCACCAACACTTGCCACCACCAACACTCCCCCAGCACCACCAACACTTGCCACCACCAACACTGCCACCACCAACACTGCCACCACCAACACTGCCACCACCAACACTCGCCACCACCAAATGGCTCTGCTACCACCAACACTCGCCACCACCAACACTCGCCACCACCAACACACACGCCACCACCTCAACACTTGCCACCACCAACACTTGCCACCACTCACCAACACTTGCCACCACCAACACTTGCCACCACCAACACTCTCTACACCACCAACACTTGCCACACCAACACTTGCCACCACCAACACTCTTCATACCACCAACACTTGCCACCACCCACGCCACCACCACACTGCCACCACTAACACTTGCCACCACCAACACTTGCCACCACCAACACCACCACCACCACCACCACCACTTACCACCACCACCAACACTTACCACCACCACCCATGATCACTAAGATTCACCACTATCACCAGCTTTCACTACCACCATCATCACCACTAACCAGCACTCCACCCCCTCCCCTCCCCTTCCCACAATCACACTCTAACTACATTCTGTATGAACAATTGTGTGTGCATGTAATAAAATAAAATAAAAATAATAAAAATACGTACATGTATATCTACTCGAAATTACGAGTTGAAAAATAACAAGACAGCTTCACATGGGAGGAGGAGAGGAGGTAAGATCAGCTTCACATGGGAGGAGGAAAAGTAAGACCAGCTTTACATGGGAGGAGGAGAAGTAAGACCAGCTTCACATGGGAGGAGAGGTAAAACCAGCTTCACATGAGAGGAGAAGAGGTAAGACCATGTAACTACAATGAAGTCTAACTAGGCAAATTGCTTACACACACACACACACACACACACGTACATTCATGTAAGGTGAATGAAATGGAAGAGTTGTCGGTCGGAATTTTGTTGTAAGAAGGCAGGTCAATGGGTAAAGAAAACGCGAACATTCACTATGGTAGTTATATTTTAAAATAAATTGGGCCAAAAGGGGTAAAAAAATAAGGGTTAAAGTTGCTAAAAAATCACATGACTGTGAAAAGCTCTGTGATTGGTTGTGACGTCACAGGTTGGCTCGAGCTGCCAAGCAGGAGCCTGGAGGCAGCCAGCTGTGGTATAGTAAGTGTTGTCACCAGCAGGAATACAGGACTTGTGGCCATAATGTTGATATACACTGGCATACCTTATTTTAAGGTTAAAATAAATTACTGCTCAAGTATTATCGTGTGTATTTACTTGCTGGGTGCCAAAATGATGCAAAAGACTGATAACTCCATCACGGAAGTTTTCATCACTGTTGTCTATTTCATGTCTGGAAAATGCAAGTTTTCGTCACTGATGTCTATATTTAATGTTGTGGATGGACTAGGGACGACCATGGCCAAGGAGTTGGCTTGAGATGATCAGATGACAGATGTAATTAAACTTGCTTCATAGCTGGATGGCGGAGTTCTTGCTAATACTCTACTATCATAAAGACATCTACTTTTGGTAAATTTCTTTCATCTGCCTTGATGAACCCTGGAAGTAGTTGTCCAACCTCTATGGCTGATCGGCTCTGTAAATAAATATTATTAGATAATTAATTGTGCTTTACTGTGCAACACAGTACAGGGGTATAATACTATAATGAATATACTGTATAAAAATTACTAAGCACATTAACTAATTCAATGGATATTAGCTGCCCCCACTACAAATTTCATAGTACAGCTCCTTCCCAACTTACGACCTACTCGACTTACGACCACCCGCACTTACGACTTATCTCAGTCGTACCAAAATTTTGTTAAATTACGTATTTTCAAGCCCCATCGTCAGTACACAGACAACATTTTTATTTGTAAATCACTTTGAAATGGCTGGCAAGCTTAAAAGTGAGAGTTTTGTGGTGCTGAGAAGAAAAAGAGACCCATTTTAGATTTTCTATGTATTATTTAAGCATTTTCAACTTATGACCATTTCGACTTACGACCTGGATTTGGGTCCCTAACCCCGTTGTAAGTCGGGGAGGAGCTGTATAAACCTTCCAAACAATATTGGTATTATTTTGGTTTTGGTCATCTGGGGAACCTTAAGATTCTAACTATGGGATTAAGTACTTTAAATAATAAGACACATTATCTCTATGGGATTTCTGTCGCAAATTTTTTTTCGATCGCATAAGAAAATACAGGTCATATGTTAGGTGTGGTTAGGGTGTGGTGAGTTATAAGTTATAAGGTTAGCTTAACATACTGTACATCAGTAAGTGGGGGGGTTAGTAACTCGAAACTAGTGATTTCCGATAGAAATGAAGGTGAAAATCGTTGATAACACATTGCAAACCATCAGAAAAATAAACTTAGTCTGCATGTCTAAGTACAAGAGTGACCAAAATTTTATATTTACCCTATATAGCCTATCTCGAATCTAAACATCCAAATACTTATGGTCGTTAAAGTAAAATTTTACCTATTAATTTATATAAATGGTGATATATCCCAATGCATTCTCAAAATAAAGTCCAGATAATGTCATTACTTTTAAATTAACTCGTATCTCCATCTAGTACCGATATACTCTGTAAATGCACTGAAAAAAAAGAGAAAGTCTACCAGGTAAGAATACATGACAGCTGAGCTGGTGTGAATCTGGGAGTTTTTTATGTCCATAAGCAGCTCTTCACATCACATTTCTTCACTTACGAAATGTCCCTGACTTGGACAAAAAATAAAAAATAAAAAAAAACTTACCTGAACGTGGCATTTGAGGTCTGAAGAAACCATTCTTTGTACTACCTCAGACTGCAGCTGTGGGTTTGTTGGAGAACATCGTCTGCTGGGAAACTGGTAACGTCATTGCAAATGGCGGCCCTGTTTCTAGAGAAATAAACTTATCTCGACTGTTATAGCAATGCTCATTCATCACATTAACCATAAATAGGTATACAAGAAAGGATAAGCAGGCTCTCTACTTCTAAAAGTCATTAAACCTGATTTGGAAATTATCAAGCAGACCCAGTAATATATCTCTGTATTCTTCCAGCTTGTGGTCTTTTATTTCAATATCAGGGAATGTATATACTCTCATTTTGATATTGGGAAGTGGTTGAAGTTTCTTAACAGTATGTCTCTTTGAAAATTCTTATTTTATTCTGGAAGCTGAAAATTGTGTGAGTACGATCAGAAACAATCTTATCCTTCCCCCGGAGTGCCAAGTTGAGAGTTTGTAGATGTTTCATTATATCAGTAAGAAACATCAGATCTTGCATCCATTCATCATTTTCTTAGAAACCTATTCAAGTCATTGCTGGTTGAGAGCCACCTCACAATGCAGTAGAAAGAGACATCATTGGGCTTATCTACAAGGTCAAGTTCTACAATAAAATTTTTGAACTGTCTTCCCATTTAAGTGGATGAAATTAACAATTTCAAGGACAGTTTTCATTACATTTTCATACATGAAGTACCTGGCTGCAAGGTGTTCACAATGAATGATGCAATGAATAGAGAGAACTCTGGAAAGTTGGTCACTTTTTGTGAGTGCAATTAGTCCTGCATCCCCCCATTGCAAGTGCTCCATCCATTGCAACACTGACAAGATTATCCAGTGGAACATTGAAAAATTTTAAAGGCTCTGTCGAGCGCATTTTAATGTCAACATCACAAGATGTTTATTTTAATAGCACGAAAAGTAACATCTCTTCTGTTGCATTTACATCAGAGGAAACATAATGAACAAATACCGCCAGTTGTGGGTTGTCCTGTATGTCTGTAGATTTGTCAAGAGCTAAACTGAATGCCAGAGAATTCTTTAAATAATTTTGCATCTTGTATGTAACATTTAGTGATGATTTTAAAGCAGTTAGCTTGATTTTCTATATTTCTGATTTTCGTGGATAATCTAAGTTTCGTGGATAATCAAAGTTTCGTGGATAATCACAGGAAAACTTTTGTGACTTGTCTCATAGTGGCATTTCAAGTTTTTGGCTTTGCAGTGAGTGAGTGAACAATTGCAGATAAGACACAAAGGTTTATCCCCTTCATTGTTAAATGCAAAATCTTCCTCCCACTCTGTCTTAATATTTCTGTTTTCATCTTCATACTTTCGTTTCCTACAATTTGATTATGCCTTTTTCCTTCACAAATTTTTCATTGACACTGCAAACAAAAATTTTCAACTGTATGTAAAAGCAACTTATTTTTATGAACTGTAAACACAACTTGTATCCTGAGTGTACCAACCAGGTGTGTACAGCTCAACTTCTTGTGTTACACCGCTTTAATGTACATGATGAGACGCCAGGCACAGGCTCATTAAGTTAATTATCTTTGACCTCTCATATCCCCTCTGCCCACTCAGTATCTTTACTCCCCCTTTCTGTGACCTCGTTGCTTCTGACCTTCCTCCGCAATCTATACTAAAATTTCTTTATTTCCTCTGCCTCCCACCATCCTACCCCTCTAGCATTAAGGTTGGGATTTAAATTCTTAAATATCTTTACTTACCTTTAATGTTAAACTTCTGTTTTAATCTTGTGGACTCTTAATTTATAAAGTTTGAGCATTTTTCTTATTTCCCTTTTATATTGATTATGATGCAAAGGGGAGTTCAGCCATGAAGAGTCAAAGACCCACAGTTTGGCCACCCCTGATCTATTGCAGTATTTAATAACAGATCGTAATTTTTGCACCTGCAGAGGAAAATAATTTCTAACTGGTTTGTATACTATGGGTACTTGTAGTGACTAAAGTGTTGTGTAAGACAATACAAGGATATGGTTAAGTTTACAGGTTCATAAATTGCCAATTCAAATAATTACAGTAAACCCTCGAAAGTACGGACCTTGTAAACCTGGATTTTGGGATAGTCCGAACCCTTTGCGGGCAAGACACATTTGTCAGAACCCTTAAATATTTGTCGTTTGAAATTCCCGCCTCACGCAGTCATTTGAAATTCCCACCACTTGCGATAATTTGAAATTCCCACCACTTGCGGTCATTTGAAATTCCCACCACTTGCGATAATTTGAAATTCCCACCACTTGCGGTCATTTGAAATTCCCACCACTTGCGGTCATTTGAAATTCCCGCCAATGAGAGTTCCCTTGAGGTCTCTCTCCTCCTCTCGGGCCTGTGAGTGAGCATTAACTTTATTCCCCCACTCTTAGAATGGACTTGCCTGTAATGCTGCACTGTGATTGGTTAGCTGTAAGTTCAACACACATTCAGCTGCAGAAAAATGGAAAGATTTTAGGTGAAATAATTATTCAAACAGTGGTGATGGTATCATTGCAGGAAGAGTGCAGAACACAAGCACGAATTGCATCATGCATGTCACACACACACACACACCTGCTGCAGTCCATCTCAGTCTCCATTATTTTGAAGCCAAATTATTAGTTATATATCTATTTTTTGTGTTTGATATATTTTATTACTAGCAGAATCGCTCATCCGCAAGGCAATGGTAGGACGCCACCCTCCGGGAGGCTCCACATTGTCTCACTGTTCAGTCCCCAAAACTTCTTCTTCCATCAATAGTTCATTAACGGTGTACTGTATGTAAGTTCCACAATGTTTTTCACTACAACGGTACAGCAAAGTATATTTTTTTAGCATTAAACTGTTATTATTTTATTGTCTAATCATCACTACATATAACACCACCCATCATCACTACATATAACATCATCCATCATCACTACATATAACATCATCCATCATCACTACATATAACACCATCCATCATCACTACATATAACACCATCCATCATCACTACATATAACACCATCCATCATCACTACATATAACACCATCCACCATCACCACAGATCGGTAAAGTAATTTCCGAGATTCTCATGCAGACACACAAACAAATAAACAAACAGACAGACAGACAGACAGACTTCTTTGTTATATATATATATATATATATATATATATATATAGATTAATGATGAAACACACACTATAAGAGACTGATCATCCAAGAATATAATAATGAACAAATAAAAACAAATGCAAATGTGGCAAAGGCTAGTCCCCCACCTCCTTCATGCCTTTATGTAGGGAAGGGATCAGTGGTCAGGTAAGAGATTCAGTTTGTCCTTTTATTTTGAAGTCAAATTACGAATTATATATCAATTTTTTTCTATTATTTAATACAGTACTGTATGTTATATTATTTATGATGAAACATACACCATAAGAGGCTGATCATAAGAGAATATAATAATGAATAAATAAAAACAAACACGAACACAGCAACCACCAGTCCCAGTTCCAGCATGTTTATACGTGAAGTGTCATATCTCCTACCTATTAGCTCTCATTAGGCCTATATCAAATCTGATTAGACTACTGTACAGTATTCTATTTTAAGTAACTGTATTACTACCATATACTGTATATAAATGAAAAATATAAAAGGAAACACAACATTCATTGAACATTAAAATGGAAATTTAAGAGTCATTGGGGGCTAATGAGTGGCTGCTTAGTGCACAGTGGCCCCCAGAACACCTACTTGGTAAAAATCTGGACAATCGGCAAGTCCGCACCCCTTTCCCCTAAATTTTCCAGATTTTTGAGGGTTTACTTTAGTGTTAATTAATGACTCGTGAAATAATTCAAACAAATTTAGAATATAGGCATCCATCGTTATCTGAATGAATTAGGTTCCTTTAAAGCCATTCGGTTATTGAATATTCGGATAGTGAATACGATAATATAATAAATGGACGATTTAAAACTTACAGGCATATCATAATTGGTGTTTTGAATATTGTAAATGTGTTGTTGCTTGAATTTGATTTTTTTTAACTGTAATCATGAGAGGAAAATGGGAAAAAGTAGACATTTACAAAAAAGTACTGTACAGTACAGTTTTATGTATGACTTAAATTTCAAGGGAGTGCAGTGGTCGAGTGGATACATCACTCACATTCCATTCCAGGGATTGGTGGTTCAATTCCTAAGCACTCCCAGTTCACCCAGCTGTAAATGGGTACCTAAGTTTACAACTTGGGGAAGCGAATGGGGTTGAAAGCTGCCTCCTTGTGTACTGAATGCTTAGTATACAGTGTGCTGTATCTGCACTGTCTCAAATGGACAGTCACGGCTATGGGACTCACTGTCACTTTTATATTTCAGGAATCCTTGCTGCGGGTGGCATTGAAACTATTAGTATGGAGACTTATGACAGTCAGATGAACATAAACACTCGTTCAGTATTCCTGTTGATGAAGCTGGCCCTGCCTCACATACTGCAGACCAAGGGAAATATTGTTAACATATCATCTGTAACAGGATTGAGAGCAGTAAGTTTTACTCTGCTCACGACAGTAGATAGTCACAATTTCAGATTTTTCACCATACACTATCTCAGGATAATGTTTGTATAAAACCTGCCTTTGTAATTTATAATTTAATACATTGAGTACTATGCAGAATTTGTACTGACGATGCATCCTGTTGTGGGTTTTTGTGTGTATACAATTTATAATACAGTACAGTATTTAATCTTTAATGTTTCTTTTCAGTTCCCAGGAGTTATAGCATACAATATGAGCAAGGCTGCAGTTGATCAATTAACCCGTAGTGTTGCACTAGAGGTGGCTAGTCGGGGGGTTCGTGTCAACGCTGTCAATCCTGGAGTAATAGTCTCTGAAGTCCATAAGAGGGCAGGATTGAGTGATGAAGCCTATGCAAAAGTAAGTTGTCTAAGGGAATCACACCTCTTTGTGTAAGTGGAAAGTTGGCAGTGAATACAGTGGTCCCTCGGTTAACGAGCGCCTCGGTTAACGATTTACCTTCCATAAGATTCTTAACTTCGGTTAACGAGCAATCCCTCGATTAACGAGTTTTTTACTAGCCGACTTCAACATGTTTTCGCTTACATTTGGCGGTCCACCAGCTGTAGTATTAGTCCGCCAATACAGTAATCGGTTTTAGGGCTTAAATTCCTTACTATTTTAGTAAATATCAAGAAGTTTATACTATTCAATAATTTTAAAAGTTTAATATTAACTTTTTTAGTCATTTTAACAATTATTGAACATAATTGAAGGTAAAGAAACTAGTTTCTGGCATGCCATCCAGCCTGTTAACACACCAGACAGGCATTAGTCTCTCTCTGTTTTCAGTGGAGGTAACATCTGGCTTGAGACTCTCTTCAACTAAACACTTTTTTTCTGTGTTTCCAAGCAAATTATTGGTCATTTTGAAATATATTTTACATATTGACAATATATAATGCAGTGCAGTGTTGATTTAAAGAAAATAATCTTGAAATACACCAAGAGAACTAAAATTTTATGGATGAAATGGTGCCATGGGGTGACTTCTCTTCCACCCCAATGCCTTCTCTTCTTCCTTCTCCTCCACCCGCACTCTAATTCCCATCATCATCATCCAGGAGCCTTCTACATACACACCTCAAAGTAAGTGTACTTTTCTACCTTTTTTGTTGAATTTAGGCAATTTTCTGTGAGCTGGAACCAATTACCCAAAAACCCATTGAAACAATGGTTTCGGTTAACGAGCAACCTGCTGGAACGGATTGTGCTCGTTAACTGAGGGACCACTGTACTGGGAAAACTATCCTGATATTTTTATTGTAACTTTGTCAGTGACTTCTTAGTACTGTATAGTGTACTGTAATTACAGTAAACAGATGTGTGGTTGGTTCTTTCTTCTCAAACATGTATGTGAACTGTACAGTAGACACTTGTGAATAGTGTTATACATATATGTGTTTTGAATGGTTGTCAGTGTTTGTAGTAATGGAAACCAAAATTCACTACAGTAGTACCCCGATTTACGTGGTCAATTGAACCCACGGGGTACTGCGTAAAACGAGAACCGCGTAAATGGAATAGTAGAACATATGGGATTAATTCCAGTAGAGACTGGCCCGACCCCCAAACTCCACTTTTTCAGACACAATACCTACATTGTAGTAAAAATAACATCTTAATTTTATGATGGTATGCACACACAATTAATAATTAAGATAAATATCAATAATATTAGGTTTTTTTAACACTTACAATAGTAGAAAAGATGGCTGGGCACACGGGGATGGGGGTTGGTTCCGAGGCATAGGGCAGATTATTGGCCCTCACCTGTATCACTTGTATCAATTGTATCACTTTCCACCACAGAGGCTTGCAGGGCCTCTTTGTCAAATCCCTCAAAGTCCATATAAGTCCATATCCTCACTATCATTATCACTATCACTGACTTGGGCCGGCTGTGGTGGGTGGCGGGTGAAGAACTCAGTAATGTTTTGATGACTGGGCGACCTTGTGCGCACCCTGCTCACGCCGCTCTCTGCGTAAAAGGGTACACACACCGCGGAAAGTGAGCATTCCGGTTTCGGCAGGGTACCGCGTAAACGTGGAAACGCGTGTGTGTGTATATATATATATATATATGCAGTTGTACCCCGATTTACGCGGTCAATTGAACCCACAGGGTATCGCGTTAAGTGAAATCCGCGTAAATGGAACAACAGAACATATGGGATTAATTCCAATAGAGACTGGCCCGACCCCCAAACTCCACTTTTTGACGACACACAACTATGTTGTAGTAAAAATTTTATCTTAAC